CTTTCGGTCAGATGCGTAATAAATGCTCGCCGTTACAACGATAACGGACCAAATGAATGCAACGGATACCGGTATTTATGCGATCCAGATATCAGTGGAACAATAACGACCACCACCACCACGGTATCGTGTGCAAACGCGTGCGCGTAATTATTTTGAAATTAATGGGGATGAAAGCTTGTTGCTGAAACACTGTTACACTAGAATCGAGAAGAAAAAATAACGAACGGAGAAGAAGAATTTTGTTTGTTTGTTTGTTTGTTTTCTTTATTATTTGATAACGCGTAAAAATATCGTACCGGTAATTGTCGCAGGAATGAAAAGACAAAGCAAACTGGACCGTGGACCGTCGACCGTCGACCGTCGACCATCGACCGGATGGAACTTTGTTATTTTCGTTTTCTGTTTTCTCACTCGAGTAAGAGAATCGATTCCAGATACCTACGGTTTAATAATACGATTTCTAAATAATTGTTTTGCATCGCGAAAATAAACGATTCATGTACGGGTCTGTGTGGCATGTTGGGTCTGGTGGGAGAATTTTTATTCGATATGCATACATGCGCGTTCGTTGAGCCGAATTCCGAAAAGTAAAAGACGCATATAATATAGTAATAAATAAAATTTGTGTACGGTCGGATGTGTCGGTCGGAGGAGAGGAAAAAAAGTAAAAGTAAAGAAATTGTCTGGAATGCGGGATTTCGAAGCTCGTCGTTCGTTCTTTTATCTCGGTAATGAGTGGTGGTAGTTTTTTTTTTTTCGTTTCTTTTTATCCGTCGCATATATCATAGGTATAATACACAACGATGCGGTTAAAAATAGGTGGAAAAGGAAAAAGGTTCTTGGTAGGATATTTGTGTGGGAACGAAGGAATGGCTTGGCTTAAGGAATGTCTACCCTCGCGGTAGCAAGCAAGGGTCGAAGGACTCGACAAATATCGTAAAATGTAAATGTCGCGGATTCACCGTGATCCTGGGGAGAAGTTCTCAATTTACCAATATGCCGAAGCCCTTTTATCCGGCTTACACGTACACGGCTGGATTAATTCCGCGCCCGTTCCTCCCCCGTCTTTACTTCCGCTCTCTTTTACGCGAGAATAATTGCAATAGTCTTTCTTTCGTTATTCTTTTAAAGAAACAACGCGTATACATGTATGTACATACGCCAATGTACAAGTCGAAGAAATAGAAGGACGAATAAATTCTAGTAACGTTCCTAAACAATAATCGCTTCCGACCGGTCTACAACATCTATGTTGTATATGTATTATAGTATATTAAGAGAGGAGACGTTGTATGTACATATGTACATACTAACGTGCTAACTCACTCGTATTTCACGACAGACGACACGCGTCACTGCGCACGGTTTGCAAGTTGCAACAGTTTCGGGGTCTCTGTCGCGCAACGATCCCTCTCGACTCGTATTCGATACGATATGTGCCACTCGTGACGTACAGCTTTCTATTCGAAACAGTACGAACAAAGACACTCGTCGGTCCAAGGGAACCACACGATAGTGCGTATCACAAGTGAAATTACCACCAACTGTTGATCGAATCTCTTTTTCTCCGAGTAATCCATTTTATTTCACAATTGCTCGTTTATCAATGACCCTCGACTATTGCGTTATCGAAGCAACAACGAAACCAACAACTTCTTTGCCAACCGTTGACACACACACAGAGAGAGAAGGGGTGGTCGCAAACAAGATACTCGCACGTGTACATCGGATACATCCACGCGAGTTAAGCCGTACAAGATAGATAGATGGTCTAACCGGTGACCCTCTCTCGCCCTGAACATTTCACTCGCACCTATGATATATGACGAGGCTGCTAAAAACTGCCAGACGAGTTGTTCCCCAGCGTTCTCTCTACCTGGCACCGTTTCGCGACAATTGTCGACCACCACCACCTTTCTCGCCTTAGCAGCTGGATAAATCGACGCGAGATGCGAACAATACGTGAGAGATTCTAGGACGCGGCAACAACCTAACCCAGACCGCCTTAAAGGAAACTCTACGTACATATATGTACATGTATGTATTCGTTGCTCTCGTCATCTATGATCAAATCGTCGCACGCGTTGCTTCTTACAGAGGCTTATTTCTTACAAATAATTATTATAATTACCCGTCTGTTCTGCTAACCACCTACATATAACATATTCCTATAAGAAAAAAGACTTTAATAATCGTAACGATCAACTTACCGCACGAGCTATTTTTAAAACACGGTGGCAATAGCGAAATTCTCGAGTACGCGAATGATGGTTTCTCGGTGTCTGTGTCTTGGCGCAACGATGAAATTTCGAGGAAAATTTCATTCCAAAATCTGTGCAGAAGCCATGCGAACGCGAGCAGGTATTTCAAGCTCTGCTTTGATTGCGAGTGCCAAATTAACGTTGGAGTTGTGCCGTCGTCATAGTCGTTATCGTCAACGTCGTTTCACACACATCTATACGCGTGCCCGCTAATCACGCCCCAGACCTAACACGAAACCGTGACTCGAAAACTCTTAATACCGAAATACACAGGGGAACGCATACAACCATTTTTATCGAGGCTTATGCAATTTTAAAATAACATTTATTCCATTCAAGAAACAAGCCTGCACCGACCCCACGACCGCGACCGCGACCGCGACCGCGACCGCGACCGTGACCGAACAACGTCTTCGCATCCGATACGCGTCTGCCCACACAAAACAACCAACAGTTTTATTTTAAAAATTGATTTTCTACCGAACCGGTTTCTCGGTAGCTTTCCAACCTGCCACCTTAAACGTGGCAAGGGTGAGGATGAACCTGTTCGACGACGGGAGGATTACAACGAGAATGTAGGACGAGCCTAGGGACCCCACCACCCACCCGGTCTGGGGTTAACCAACATTTACATAGGCGCGAGCGTAGACTGAATAACAATGCTTGAAACGGAGCTAAAACCAGCCAGGCCATGGCCATTCCACCGAGACGGCACGTTCCTCATCCTTCTACGGGGGAAGGCTGTTCAATTCCAACATGTATCGAACTTGCATGGAAATTAGGATAGATGAATAGAGCTTTGTTAGTTGAGAGAAACAAAACTACAGATTCGAATATAATCTTATCGGCTCGCCTACACTCGTTTCGATAACGGCCTGCTTATTCCATCAACTACCTTTCGCCCTTTTACCCTTTCGCCCTTTCGCCCTTTCGCCCTTTCGCCATTTCGCCCTTTCCCGTTAATTCCCGGCTACTCTATTTTTCTATTAAACAGTCCTATTCCTCTCAGATAGACACAACGCCAACATCCCCTCTTCTCACAGCAACGCATACTCCTAATTTCTACGTTTCTTTCAACAAATACGCGGTGGTTCCACGTTGTGTCAAACGTAATACACATTAACTTGAGACTATATGCACGTCAGTCTAATTAATAAACAGTGTCTAAAGCTTATTATTACTATAATAACTACAACAGTGCCCACATAAGTGACCGCGTTATCTCCATCAATGCCCACGTTACCTCAAGCGCAGACAATTAAGTGGGCACTGTACCACTGTATATCTATATATATCAAGACGACATCTACGGTAAAACGCCCAAGTTTGTCGAGAAATAATTCACTTCTTTGCACGCTAGATGGCGCCCCAATTATTTACGATCGAAAATTAATTTCTACTTATTTATTAATACAACAATAGAGTACTGGGTAATTTAGATCGCTTATAAATGCTTCACAATTAACGTCAAAGACCCAAACTTGTCTAGAAACAGTCCTATTCCTATCAGAACAAACCGCCAATCTAACCATGACACTGCAACACATACAATTCCTAGTTTTTACGTTTCTTTGAGCAAATATACAGTTTCACATGGCGTTAAACGTAATGGACATTAACTTTAGATTATATGTGCGTCAGTCTGATTCATAAACAGTGTCTATAAAACGTAGAAACTAGGACCATGTGTTGTAGTGTCATGGTTAGATTGGCGGTTTGTTCTGACAGGAATAGGACTGTTTCTGGACAAATTTGGGCCTTTGGCATTAATTGTGAAATATTTATAAGCGATCTGAATTACCAAGTACTGTATTGTTGTATTAATAAATAAATTGAAATTAATTTTCGATCGTAAATAATTGGGGCGCCATCTAGCGTGCAAAGAAGTGAATTATTTCTCGACAAACTTGGGCGTTTTACCGTAGATGTCGTCTTGATATATATAGATATACAGTGGCACTGTACCATTGTAATTTACTAATAATTCCTTTTCTACGATTAAATTATGAACTTTTAGAGTTTAAGAATATAGCTGGGACCCATGGCAAGATTCAAGGATAGCTATTCCAACCATGGCACGCGTTGTTAAATAGTTATTAACGAATATCGGGAAGTCGGCACACGTTTTCGAACTTTTAACGCGACACCTTACGGATGTATCGCTAATAACTAACTAATTAGAGCGCGGAGCGTTGTAAAATTGATCCTTGAATGTTGCCAGGGATGTCTACTTGATTCCCTAATAGCGAAAATATGTCTGTTATTGGCGAAAAATTGATAACTCATCGATTAATGCAGACTGTGATACAGCCGTAAATGTTCCGACTTGAGATATTTGTTAATAACTATTTAATAACGCATGGCATGGCTAGAAAAAGTATCCTTGAATGTTGCCAAGGGTCTATACTATATTCTTCGATTCTAAAAGTTTATATTTTATTCCCAGAAAAGGAGTTATTAGCGAATAATCAAGGTACTGCCCACACATTCTGTGATCCGGGCACGATTTTTTCAGTTCGAACCCCTGATATTAGATGGCGACACTATATTTCGGCACTTTTTAGGCGCAATATTGAAATAACAACTATCGTTCCCAGTAATCGTTTATAACTAATTAATTACATGAAATAACATATAGAGAGAAATGGTTTCAGAACTTAGTTAGATTCGAATTTGTTTTAAGGGAACACCGTGGTCACTCCGGCCGGGCAGCTTTGGAGAATAGAGTTAAAAGAGGACGAGTGTCGGTTTATCTTTCTCGACTTTCCGAAACTGTACGAGCTCAGTTACTTACACGTAATCTGGCATAATTTCTGAAATAAGAATGTGCGAGGCGAGGAGTTCCCGGTGCACGTAGTGCGCGGTCTGATAACACTGCCTGAAACCTCAAACAGAATTTTACGTAGCCGCCCGGAATGATTCATATTTACAATTTAATGTGTGCGCAATACATGTACTTACTTACACTAATTTTTATATATTTTATCTACGAGCGTAATATCGATAACGTGTCTAATTATTGAATGAATAGCAAACAAGTTCATGAAGAAGTAGTGTATCCGATATATTTAATAAAAGAATTATTAAATTATTGGTTATTTTGTACAGAAGAACGTTGTTAGTATGGCTAAAAAAATTTCTATCAACACTGGAAATGATGAATTGGATGATAAAATCAATGAATGGTTAATGTGGAACAAGGTTCTGATATTGGCAATATTTTCAATACATATAATTCATATTTTATAGCTTAAATACATACTATATTGATTACAAGGCTTATTTTTAAATGATGCATTCTTAGGATCCAAAAGCAGAACGCCAAGTTGAAAAACTTATTTCTGACAATAATAGCAAAGTTTTATTCAATTTATTCTTAAAGAGGCTTGAATTTGGGACAGCTGGTTTGAGAGGTTGTATGGGTCCAGGATATAGTCAGATGAATGATTTAGTTATAGTTCAAACTGGTCAAGGTTTATCTAAGTATTTAATCGATGTTGTACTTGATGTAACTGCAAAAGGTGTAGTAATAGGATACGACGGGCGTCACCATAGTAAAAGGTTAATATTAATCTATATCATGTATTTTGTATTAACACGTTACATTTTTGTTTACACATTATTATTTTAGATTTGCAGAATTGACTGCCACAATTTTTGCAGCGAGAAACATAAAAGTTTATCTTTTCTCAAAAGTTGTTCCAACCCCCTTTATATCTTATAGCATATTGAAATACAAATGTGCGGCTGGAATAATGATTACAGCTTCTCATAATCCCAAAAATGATAATGGCTATAAAGTCTATTGGGAAAATGGAGCCCAAATAATTTCACCGCACGATAAGAAAATCCAAAAGTATATACTTGAAAATCTTGAACCGATCGAATCGTCGTGGAATGTGTCCAAAATCTACAACAGTCCTTTATACAAAGATCCATGGAATGACATTATGGAATCCTATTGTTATGATCTCAAACAAACTGTTCTATATCCTGAAGTAAATAAAAATACAATACTAAAATTCACATACACTCCTATGCATGGTGTTGGATATGAATATATGAGTGCAGCCTTTAATACTGCAAATTTAAAGGTATTGCTAATTATTTTAATGCTTTCGCAAATAAACAAACTAAATTGCTTAGCAATTTAAAAAAATGAATTCTTCTTACGGCCAAAGAATCTACTAATACAATTTACAATTTACCTATTGAGAATCCAAAAAAAAAATATATATTTTAATTGTTCTAAATTATAAAACTAATTTTTATTTTTATTTATTTTAGCCATTTATAGTAGTCGAGCAACAAAAGTTACCGGATCCAGAATTTTCAACTGTTAAATTTCCAAACCCCGAAGAAGGAAAAAGTGCTCTAGATCTCAGTATAAAAGTAGCAAACGAAAATTCTTCTTCGATTATTATTGCTAATGACCCTGATGCAGATAGATTAGCTTGTGCTATAAAAATAACCAAGTATGTAATTTGGGCATTTTATTAATGAAAATGTTTAATACGCTAAATACTTGAACGTTTTTGTTGCAGCGATGAATGGTACATATTTTCTGGTAATGAATTAGGAGCACTGTTGGGATGGTGGATGATGCATGTGTATCAAGTGCAACATCCTGATACAGATTTTTCTCATACATATATGTTAGCATCAACGGTATCGAGTAAAATTTTGGCATCGATGGCTAAACAAGAAGGATTTAATTTTGAGGTATGTACATTTAGAGTAAAATAGTTTTTGTTACTTCTATTATTCTAACTGTATTTTGTGTGTTTCAAAAGGAAACTCTAACAGGTTTTAAGTGGATGGGTAATAGAACTGTGGAATTGAAAAAAGCAGGTAAAGAAGTTATCTTTGCATTTGAAGAAGCTATTGGCTTCATGTGTGGTTCTAACGTTCTTGATAAGGATGGTATAAGTGCTGGCATGCATATAGCAGAATTATCAACTTACCTTGAAACTATGGGCCTTACTCTTCGTGATAAGTTGGATGAAATATATGCTCGGTACGATACACTATTGTTTATGTTTCAATCATTTATCTACATTAAAACTTGTAGAATTATATATACAACTAAAAAACTGTATACATTTAATCTAGATACGGATATCACATTTCTAAAAACTCGTACTGGATATGCCATGAACCAGATGTAATAAAGATAATATTTGAAAGATTAAGAAATTATGCTGATGAACCAAATACGGTAAAAATCTCAGGAAGAAATCTATTATAAATGCAAAGATTCGTGATAACAAATAAATTATTTTAAACTTGCTACTGTTTTAATCTAAACTATTTTTCAGTACCCAACAAGCATCCTAGATGGAAAATATTCAATAATAGGTGTTCGTGACCTAACAACTGGATATGATAATACAAAACCAGAAAATAAGGCACTTTTACCTGTTTCAAAATCAAGTCAGATGATTACTTTTACATTCAAGAATGGTTTGGTCGTAACATTAAGAACCAGCGGTACCGAACCTAAAATTAAATATTATAGTGAACTATGCGCATCCCCTGAGAAGCAGTAAGTTGCTTAAAATTTCCGAAGAAATGATATACACAATTTTTTTAAATTACTACAGATATAGCACTCTCAAAAATGTTTCTAGGAACCTTAATATATTAAGGAATATGCTTGATGAAATGGTGTCAGCTGTTGTAGCAGAATTTCTTCAACCCGAACTAAATGGACTCATATCTCGTACTAGTTAAATAATATTACAAGCTTTAAACATGAATTATTTACCACATAAAATGAAAATTTACAACAGAAATTTGTTAATAATAGTTACGAAACAACAAGTCATTTCTCTCAGCAGGATATACTGGAATATACATCATAATAGGAAAGTATTATGAGATGCATTTAAATTTGAAAATTTCTTATTCCTTCTCGTAATATTAATATAATGAAATGCGCAATCAAAATTATATTCTAGTAAAATATTTTTATGTTCTTAATTAATTAAACAATTTGATCCAAGTATACAATATTTTTAGCATCATTCGATCATTACGAATAATATTTGAATCGACTATAGCAACTAGTTATCATCCTAGTCGTCCATAAGGATTAATGAATATATATATACGTGGATCTATCTGCATTATTCATTCAACATACATATATCTATCTCATTTGTTTCGCTTATGTTAAATTCTATTTTTTCCTACTTTTCTTTAGTTTTGTGTCTTGAAAATAAAACGTAATACACTGAAAAAGTATAACTATCATATTAAAATATTTTAAATATTTTATACTTTATTTAAAAATAGAAATGTTGTTACCTGTTCGTCTAAAAAGTTCATGAGTATATTCATGTTGCATTTCAAGCCTTCTTCCTTCAACATGGAATATAATGATTCTATACATAATGGTTCGTATGCTAAAATGTTGTTATGTAATTCTCTTTTAACTTTAATTAATTTAGAAAACATATTATTAATATTTGATGGATTATCAGTTGTAGTTGTCAGTTCGAATTTATTAAATTTTCTTTCATCGCTGATTATATTTACTGATGATTCTATAGTTTCAGGGCTATAGAATTGTTAAATTTACATGTATATTAAATACACTCAAAATCTACAATTTTAATTAATCATAAAAAACTAAATATATGTATAGTAATAATTACATATACCTATCTTGAGAAAGCTTCAATTCATATTTATAATCATCGACGCAACCAACGTCACTTTTATCGTAACTTGTCTTTTTTCTTGGTGGTTCTTCGTCGTCACTGCTTATAACTTCAAATTCAGATTCAGATTCTATTTTTTTTGGTGTTGTAAAAATTTTAGGATGTAACTCGTCGTAAATGTATGTCAATAATTTTACAGCTTTATTTCGTTTCTGTAATTTCAATCCATATTTCTGTAATTCTCTCTAAAATCAAATTAATAAATTGTAAATTTAACTTTGTTGTCTACCAAACATAATTTATTAACTTACATGAAGTTCAGGTGTCTTCATGCCATTATAATTAGGAGAAGGAGTTACATTGTCTCTGATAATTGTAGGTGATGTAACTGTTTTTAAAATTCCTTTACGAGCACACTTGCATTGTGATTGATTTAAACTATCATAAGGATTTGATACATTACTCTTAGTATTTTTTGCATCAATGGGCAAATTGTTCTCTGACATAGATTTTCTTTGAAATTTTCTGTTACTTTGTTTCATGGTTAATGATCTTTCTGAATTTTTGAATTTTTTTAAAAAGTACTCATTAGTTCTGAACGATTTATTATTTTCATTAGTCGTTGTAGTAAATGAAATTTCTCCTTTTCTTTTTTTACGTATTAGAGAAGGAGATTCAGTTAACAGGCCTATTCTATTAACAATTGGCAAACAAGTATCTCTACTATCATTTTTATTATTACGATTATTATCATCATCATCATTATTGTAAACATTTGCTAAATAAATATCTTTTTCAAAAAATTCGATATTATCGTCAGATTTATTAAAATTTGGAACATTGAGATTTACTTTGTTTTCATTACATACATCCACATTTACAGCATCAAAATCTAATTCCGGGCTAGAGGATATAAATATAGGAGATCCCACTGACTCGCATCTATCTGTTCTTGATTTTGTTGATGATATTAACAAATTATTTCTTATTGCATCCAAATCTATATTACTCTCTGAATTGCTACATTTTAATTCGCTTAAATTATTAGTTTTTCGAATCTTTTGAATATTTCTTTGAGTACTTATTGGAGATGTAATATTAATAGAAAAATCAATTTTGTCATTACGGTTTTGTAAATTATGTTGAGATGTTTGCACAGATTCTTCAATGTCAAAGGCCAATTGTTTCTTTTCTGCTTTATTAATATATTGATTTTCTGTAATTATAGAAAAATTATTGTCTATATCTACATCAGACAATACAGTAACGTCTTCATTATCCATATTACTTGTTCCTTTATATTCGCATTCTTCCGAATTATTTAGTACATGCTTTGCTACATAATCCCGATAATTAACTATACTATTATTTTGATGCTTTTTTTTATATCTTGTATATATAGATACTTCACCATCATCTGTATCGAAATCGGAAGAATTAATGCTTTGAACTTCATTGTATTCTGATAGAAAACATGCTTTTCCAGTCACAATGTTATCTAAACTTTTAACATTTGCATTTTGCTTCGGTAGATTTTCAGACATAGAAGCTGTTATTTCATTCTGAATTTTCTTTTCTCTGCTGGAAACACTTTTGTTTATAGAGTTACTTTCCATATACTTTTCTGTGCAACTTGCTACATTATGTTCCAACAATTGCGTCAAGTTGTCTATTGGCTCAAAATTCAAATGCATATTAGCATCACTTTCTGTGGATGTAGTATCTATATCTAATTTACAACTTGCATCATCATAATCAAACTTACTCAAAATATCTCTCTTTTCCTCCAATCTTTTTTCTGCAAAAGCATTTCCATTTGATATAGAATCTAAATCACTATCGTCATATTGATTCGTATTAAATGGATTTCTACTTAATTTAAGAGAATCCGATATCGTTGTAACTTCCGAATCTGTATCAAAATCTGAATTTGCATTTTCTATTTGAAATCGGTCAATAAATAAACTCAGATTACTCTTTGTTTTTATTACATTAGAATGATTTATATTCCTTTGTTTTGATCTACTGAGGTGAGGTGTATTTGACGATGAATTTATACACTCTTCAACATTCTTGTATGGGACAGTGTTTGTAATCTTAGAACAATTGGCGGTATCATTTATCTTATCAATCGATTCAAGAATACTAAGATCTTCATTTGTTTTTGTTTCTTTGTACACAATTTGATCGCTACATTTCTTTTTGTAGTTTGGCATTGTATAATTATTATCATCAAACATATCTGGAGATGCATTACACTGTCGGATAATATTTATTTTATTTAGACAATCGAGTTCTTCTTGAGGCAATCGTTCTCTGCATGTATTTTCTTTTATCTTTTGCGTGGAAAAATATGGTAGGTATTCTTCCAAGTATTTCTGACTTGATTTTTCATCTAATACGAGATCTTTTTCATCATCGATTAAATCTTCTAAATTATTCGAATTTAATTTTATATTATCTGTTTCTCTCACAATCAATGTCTCTTCGCATTCAATATTTTTCATATTGTTCATTTGAACCTCTGCTTGTTTAATTTCAGATTCTTTTATTTGTAAATAAGCAAACAATTCTTTCACTTTATACTTTCTTGCCAAATTTCTTAAAAAAGAAAAGTTTACCAAATCTTCAAAAATATTCAAATACTTTTGAATGATTCCACAATAAATAAATTCCAAAAATGCTATGGCAATATTGTAAGATGTATCAAGCCAACAAATTTTTTCTTTGATTGCAGTAAATTGTGAAGTATCATTAGGCATACTATCAAACAGTATGTTGGAACAACGCACGTAAAACACTAATTTATGGGCCCAAATATATTTGCCACTATTAACAAATATTATTATATCACTTGCAGAGCTATCGTTCAATGCATCTCCCCAATTTATTGCAAGAGTACTAATGAATTGTTTATCTTCACAGTTCTCATGATTTTTACTTGTAAGATTTAAATCTGTTTGAGATATATCAAAAAATTTGTTCCTGTCTCTGCTTGTATCTATCTTATTCAGATTCAATTTTATATTGTCCATTTTGCATGTATTTGCACGTTTTATAACAACTGTTTCTTTCTATAAGTATAATTGAGATATAGTTAATAATTCTGTCAATAAAATATAAGTAATTAATTTACAAGATTTAATACACGTATGTATATCTTACTTACTGCTTCTATTTGTTTTTCTTGTGGAATTATATATTTTGAGAGATTTGATACATAAAAGGATTTTTGGTTTGGTGTTAATCTTGCTTTGTCCCATATTTTTTCACCCTTTAAATTAGGTAATAAGCAATATGTAATTTATGAAATATATGATTGCAATGTACAAATAGTACTCATACCTTATTATACAGTTCTTGGAGTAAATAACTTTTTAGAACAGTTTTCACTCTAATTTCTTGGCTAAATTCATTTTCTTGTTTCTGTTTTTGAGTAATTGGTTCATCTCCCATGAGAATCTCTGCAATTCTGTCCGTTAAGATTCGATTTCTGTCTTCTTGAGAACGTGTTTGAAGAACAGTTATTCTGTTACAGTTTTCTGATAAAAAATTTACTACATAATTTACTAAAACTACTTATTTATTAAAATTAAGATATACATAAATATAATATATGCATACTTTTTTTAGTTTTCATAAGCGATACAGGTTTGCTGTTTGCAAATCCAAACCTTTCCAATGGTTTATTATTAACTGGTTCCAGTACTTTTAATGCAAACTGATTTGGTGCTTGAGATAATTTTTCACTAATTTCATCAAATTCTTCTGCTTCTTGAAGAGATTTTGATAATACTAATGCAAGTTGAAGGTCAGAGTCTTGGTATGAATTCTATTAAAAAAATAATATGTGTAATTCTAATTATTATTTTGTGGAAGGCATTAGATACAATGTTTGAAACAAAAAGTACATACTATTCGACATGATACTGGTCTCTTCTTGTCTTGTATTTTTGGTGCAGCAAGTAAACCTAAAGATATTCTTTCATCTTCTTGACGCTTTTGAAGCTCTATTGCATCTAGTAGCTTTTTTGTAGAAATGTTATTTTTGCATGCACAGATTTTCATATGTAATACCTGAGAGTTTATATCTTTGAATGTTTTAAAACATAAAGGACATACAAAAGCCACTTTTACATCGGTAGTCGAATCTTTATTATCACAATCAATTTTAGATTTAAAGAAAGATGATTCTATAGAAAGTTGAGATTCTTGTAACTGTTTTCTTTTCTCTGAATGTTGCTTAAGCTTTATTTCTTTATGATTTTTGCCAACATTCTTCAATTTTGTGGTTGTTTTTCTTTTCTGTTTCAAAATATTAAACTTGGTACATTCACTTAATGTTGGTTTAATAATTTTTGATTTTGGACTTTTAAAATCTAATATACTATCGTCCTCAGTTAGAAGCAATTTGTTACACGAAACATTACTATTTTGTAATTCTTCGTCCATATTACCTTCATACAAGGAATGCTTTATATTAAATTTTAATAATTCCTTAGATGTGCTGTAACATATACACGTATTTATATTTAATATAAAATTAAGAACTTGTATAACATTCAGTTTATAGATTTATGTAAAATACAACAATAATTAATAGTAGGAACCAATCAATATTCTAACGAAAATGTTATTCAATAAATGATTAAACAATTACATCATGCATATATTTGAACAATTTATTTCGTTTAATAGTACAAGATTCTAGAATAAATACTATGCAATTATAAAAATTTCATTATCTACTTTCCACAATCATACTTTTCTACATCGATCCTCTTTAAATATAATCTACGTTCCACCATATAAATTTTATAAATCAAGACTACCTCAAAAATTGAATAATTATTAAACAAAACAACAGAGTACATAAGCAAATTAATTTTTTTGCCATAGATATTTCTTAGTTCATTGTTGAAGAGTTTCCTGTTGATTATGGTACATGAATCTTTCTGTACAAATTTCCAACAAGATAATTAGAATTGTTTTCGTTTAACAATAGTATGCTCCTATTAAAAGCATCGAATGGATTTAGATCAGGCATTCCCTCAAATTCTTTAACAAGTCTCTCTTTCCTTATAACATTTTTACTGAAATGCAAGATAAAATTATTGTTATACTTACATTGGTGAAAGAAACTTTTTATGTTTTTAAATCGAACGATTTAGGTTAAAAGTGCTAATGCCGTATCTTTAATTACTCTGAATAACAAGGTTATATTATAACTGTTTCTCATAAAGTAAACACATACAGAACAATGTTAAACGAGAATACTATTTTATTAATTGAGACTGAAATTAATTATATCACGCGAAACATGCAAACATTAACCTCCATAAATAAAGTAATACAGCGCTCGCGGTGATCACCGTAACATTTATGATAACTTTCGCTCTACCACCCAGTGTACCTGCAAGAGAAACAATCTTTTCTTTCTTTATAACTCTCGGTTCGTACATTATCACAGAGTAACGTATAAAGTCGACACGTTTTTGTTAAATCAAATTTGAGGACGCGTCAGGGCGAAATCTATATACCTACGTGAATATAGCGCGGGTTACATACATATAATCTTAACGCGATAACATAATAACGTAGTAGTAATTTGAATACGTTCTATACAATTGTTGTAGGTTTAATGTTTTTCGACTCCAAGAATTCTAGCACAGTATAGTTTCTCTATACACCAATTTTTCTCCATCTGGACCTCAAATATTATATTTAATTAATAGCATATTTTTCTTCTGTTTCTTCTATTAACTTTATTATTGTAGGATTTCTTTCCAACTACTCGTGCAAACTACTCTGATTCTTACGAAGTTTATTCGTTATTATTTTTTAACAAACTTTGTTACTAATACTTCTCTTTAATTCATCAGTTATTTTAAGAGAACTTTCAAATGGATTTTCTTTTATTTTCCTAAAAATTGATTGATTACTATGAAACAAAAGAAAACCGGGATTCCTCCGGCATTCTGATTTTTATTGGTACTTGGTACAATATTTCGTCAGTAGATGCTACTGTACGAATACTTTTTTTCACGCTGACTTCCTTACTTCATTCGGCATTTGAAACTTGTTTGTTATATTTTTATTCAAGTTATACGAAAATTCATACAATTTTAAAGCCGAATTAATTCCCTAACTGCTATGATCAAAATTATCTATATTTAAATTGAACGCATTGCAGTGCATGGATACTTATTTCGATGACTGTATCTATTATCACATATTTTAAGTAGTAATCCAGTGATATCTAACATTGCAAATAGTTTTATTTAAGCATGGTATGTATTGCATTTATTATTCATTTTGGTAATGTTTATACTGGAGTAAATACTATTTACATAAACAAATAATCATTTTTCAGGCTTCTACTTCTGAGGAGCAATCTGGCGTTAGTATGAAAAAAGGGGGTAGACAAAAACTGGAATTGTCAGCAGAACACAGAAATGATATAAAAGAAGCATTTGATTTATTTGATCCAGACGGTACTGGAAAAATTGCTACCAAGGAACTTATAGTGGCTATTAGGGCACTTGGATTCGAACCAAAGGAAGAAGAAATGAAAAAGCTTATAGCAAATACTGATCCAGATGGCCTTTGTATATTATCGTACGCAGAATTCTTGAACTTAATGTCTGCCAAAATATTTGAAATGGATGCAAAGGAAGAAGTTTTAAGAGCATTTCGACTGTTTGATTATGACAATACAGGAAAAATAACTTTTAAAAATTTACAAACAGTTGCTCGACAAATAGGTGATGATGTTACAGATGAAGAACTACAAGAAATGATCGATGAGGCAGATGTAGATGGCGATGGAGAGATTTCTCAAGAAGAATTTTTCCGTATTATGGAAAAAACAAACAATTATTAATTTAAGAAAGTTACTTTACTTCTTCTTTTATAAGTTATTCGTTAAAAATTGTTTATTTGTATGTGTTTGTACAGAAGCATTACAAATATCAATTACTTTAATTTTTTTAGCATTAATTGTTTGATACAGAAATCATAATATATAATTTCATTGTAAATTAATTGTTCATTACATTACATTACACTAAATGCAAGTTATCATTACAATATGAAATTTTTAACTGTATAATGTCATTTATAAAATAAGAATTTCTTTATACAAATAAAGTAATTAAATGTTAATAATCTTACGAGAAGATGGAATATCAAACATGTTTTTAAAGAGTGTTACAAAATAATTATAAAATACTTTATTATTAATATATAATGATATATATATATATATATATATAGAGCTCTTCGATACAATTTATCATTCTTTTGATTCTTCGTTTCTGGTTGATGATATAGCAGTGATAATTAGTGATCTTACTAACTCTGCTCTTTTTTTAGATTTTGCTAAACTTTTTGAAAATAGATTGTGCGAAATAGGAATTCCACCTAAATAAAGAATATTTAACATATAATTTGAAACTTTATTAGGGACATATCATATTTAAATGTATTTTCTTAACTAACATACAACATACCAGGCTTGTGTATGCAACAAATTTTTTCTTCGTCCATTACAATTGTTAATTTTCCCAAACATAAACTTTCCTCCTCGTCAGTAGGATCAGCAATTAATAATTGACTAAACAAAACAATAAAGTAATATGTTGTGAAAATTCGTACAAATTACTTATTTAATGTAACTTTTATAAGCAAGTAATTTAACTTACTCATCAAATACTGCAAATGTTACTGATACTGGTAATGTTTTAATTGGAAACTTTGTCTTTTTTGTAGAATGTATAGAAATATTTCCTGTTGTTACATTGTAAACTGTCTCAGGTAAACATACTATACAAAAGTAAATACTACATGAATGAAAGAAATAAATTATAGGTATAATCAGATTTTGGTTAAAACATAATTGCATAAAACTTACGTGTGTTAAGTGCACTGGTCAAAGCTCCGATGCAAGCATCGATTACTGAACCATCATAGTTGATACATAATAAATCACAATATAATACCCATACCAGTTTACCTTTACAAATACAAAGATCTTTTAAATCAACAGCCGCAGAATTTCTTAAAATATTCTCTATTGTTTTTGAAATAACTTGTGCTTGGTCGCTCGGTGGACCTGGTCGAAATTTTGGAGAACATAATGGAGAAAGTTCAATATTTGGTATAATATATCCACATTCGGAAGATATAGTTTTCGGTGTTGCTAATTCCTATAACAAGATTAAACACTTTGTTATAATGAGATAGATGAATTCTCTAGGAATACATGATATATACATTTAACAATTGTAGAGGAAAGTAAGATACTTTTATTTTAACTGATATTTATTGTAATTATAAACAAACGAAATATAAATAAGAATATCGGATGAAAAATACTTACGGCTTTAATACCGCATACAACTGTTGTATTACCAATTTTAAATATTGATGAACTATCGGCGTGAGTGATGGATGAAATGTTAACACTTATTGGACGAAATGATAAAAATTGTCTTCCATCTGGTCGAACATCTTGTGCCTAAAAATTTTGAATAGTAAATTCCAGTATATAGTACTTAAATACATTTATACATACCAGATGATCTTGTAAATATTTCATTGGGTGTATAGTTCTAAAATTATATTGTTTAGATTAATTTAATTATAAAATAATAAATTTTTGAAAATGAAATTAAAATATGGTTATCGAAATATTTTGTAAAACTCGATATTCTATCCAGAAACAAAAAATTCGTTTCAATGTATTTGCATATGATGTAAAAACACTTGGAATCAGTTACTAAACAGGTTATATTAGAATCATATAAACGTAGTCGAATAATCAATCATTTATCCGTGTAAAATTTTAGTTTTATGTTTTCTTAAATATATATTATTTCCTAAAATAAAACTGGCATTAATTAAAGCGTTAAATACTAACTTATATTGAGTATCCATAATATAAAATTTTGATTGGTTTTTAGTTATACAAGTTAACGACACTATTCTTATTGCTTTAAAATAGAATTCATTCAAAACACTACACTAATTCATATACATCTGCAAAAGAATTTTGTATAAATTAAGGAAAATGTTTTAATATAAAAAAAATGACACTGCCCAAAGTTAAAGATAAGGTTATTTAGAAATTAAAATTCTTGATAATAAAATATAAGGGTCTTAGATTCATTCGTAAACTAGTTTTCATCTGTAGCTCTGTTAGTATAATCGTCGTTTTTAAAAATCCGTTAATTTACGAATCAAATAGAAACGAAAATTAGTTTAAGAATTAATTTAAAATTTTTATTCGTTATTCGTGAATAAAATTTGCCCAACTTTAAAATTATACTGTATGTACTTTTATTACAATTTCATAAGTAAATTTTAAGCATTTTCAAAATGTTTATCATAAACAAAGTGCATTTATATCTTGTAAAGAAAGAGTTTCTGGATCTATGCGTTTATGCGACTTTTTGTCACCCTATGAAAGTATGTACACGATACGTTACCAAGTACAATCACCTATTTCTGTATCACAAAACATATAAATTAAACAGATGTTATTTAAATATTATTTTGTTTATTATATTTTATTTATTACAATCATCGCATTTCACAAAGATTCATGTATTCTTATAATATACAAATGACTGAAGAAAATTTAGTTCCGTGTTATTGAAAATTTGTTATTTAATGTATTTTTTTCGAAATTAGCATTAGATCAATATTAGTTGTTTATAAATAGTAAAAAAGATCAAACAGTGTATTTGGAAAGGCACAATGTGGCATATAATTTTACAATATCGTATCAATGACAATTAGAATCTAATTACGGTAGATATTGAAATATTACAATATAACATAGAGATACAAGTATAAACGGTAAAAATGTCATAATTTGACATATGATGAATTATTTCTTTACAACATATAAAGAGTTAAAAATAATAGTCTCTTTTATTTGAATGTCTGTGTAGATACTATAATACTTTAACTAACTTTAAATGTCAAATATATTTTTCAAATTATTTATATAAATCTGATATACATAACAAAGATATTGGTTCTCGAAATTTAATATAAAATCATTTTAGTTATTTGTACATAAGACATTTTTCTCGGTACTTTGCATAAATACAATTTAAAAATAGTTTTAACCCTTTCGATATGGTAGGTACTAGCCAAAAAGCATTATTGCTGTCTGGCACGCACGTCATGTCATTAGAGTACCTCTATGATAACGCATACTAATCATTCAGTATAACTGACACAAGGGCTTTAAAGGGTGCATAGTGCTCATCCAGTAATTTGAACATTCGTACCGAAATGGTTAACAATCTTCAAATTACTAGAAGTTTTAATTATTGGCAATTTAAAGTTATTACTTTTCAAAAATATTGTTTTGAATAATGCTTTTATCCGTAATTTCCTTTATTTGTTTATAATGTAGTCAACTTCATGGTGCAAGCGAGAATAAAATTTAGGCTGTAACGAAATAAAAATATGTGATTTAGTTTATGATTTTACTAATGCAAAACAAGAATGTCTTTCGACAAAATGCATCACCTCGTCATGATTTTCTTCCTTATTTCCGTCATCATCATCGCCAGAACTGTCACCTCCTGAACTATCAGCAGAATTGCGTTGCTGGTCCTTATTATTTAGATTGTCGACAGTAGTTGGAGATGACGCTTTTATTTTACTAGCCGCGTCATAACATTGTAAACAGACTCTGACTGCTTTTCCATTTCCTTGGCCAGGTAGTAATAACTTCTTATTGCTGCAAGGTCCACATACTACAGCCCCACATTGTCTACAATGGTGCTAAAAAATTTGATTGATACTTTCAATATTTTAAAACCATGTTTTGCAATGATATATTTAAAACAATAATTTTGTACATACTCGTCGATTTAAGACTGTAAATTGTGTTTTATTACAGTGCATGCAAATTGTAGCTTCATTATCTGGTACCCATACAGCTGCATGAACTTCAACTGGTTTCTTACCACCTATCAACAAAAACATGTTGAAATTTTTGAAAAGAAAAAAAAAAACCATTTAAATATAATTACATTTCTAGTTAAAATAATAATAATTGCTTACTTTTTCTTAATAAATCTTCGATACATCTTGTAATATGAGCCATCCATTCTTGCTTCTCTGTACCAGTAGCAGCATAAACAGCAAACGACTTTGTTACTGTTTTTATAAGCCAACCATTGCGATATTCTATAAATAATGATGAATTACTACACTATCTTTATGAAACTATGAACACATGCAACATTGAATATATACAATTTGAAATGAATTAGTAGTTCAAGAATTAATCCTGAAACTGTTACCAATGAGAAATGCTGCTTTAACTCTAAATAAAAGCGTTCTTAAGTGAACTAGTAATTACATTACTATCTTTTTTATTAGTCTGCAAATATATTCTAAACAGACAATGAAAAATAGAACTGTTAAGTTAAACTCATGTTACAAGATGTTTTATAATAAATATAATTTATAAGCAATAGAGAACATGACAAGATAGTAGATAATTAAATCATAACTTACGACCATCGTCTGCCAAAGACTCCAATTTGACTTCTTCGAGTGGTATAATATGCTGTTTATTGTACTGTAAATACAAAGAATACATATTTCTTTTAAAATGTTTAATAAATTATATCAAATAATTACTGTAATAAATAAAATAAAAATATTTTTGTATATCATTATTTTTACTTATAGGTAAACTAATAAGATATTAATAACAAACCTTCTTTTTGTTTATTACAATGTTTCCATAAACCAATATGTCATTAAATAGAAAGAACTGTCTTGGTTTTGGTTTTTTCCTACACATTTTTGTGAGGACACCTTCTCCTACTAAAACTCTTCCAGGTACTGCAACTGGCTAAAATAAATAATATATTTAGATTAATAATAAATTATATTGATAATTTTACGTTCAATATTTTTTTGCAGACACGATAGAATTTAAGATTGCTATATTAAACATACCTGGCCGGAACTGCCAAAGCAGTTTTCAACCATGCCAATACGCCTGGCATTAGCTTCGCTATTTACTGCAACAAGCCATATAATAAATCAATAATTTTCAATCACTATTTTTAGAAAAATATCAGGTAGTAGATGAAGTGCAATGAAATATTAGGTATTTTGTTTCAATAGTAGACACATTATGTATTCAATTTAACTGTTAAAAACATAAGCTGTTGAGCTACACTGTTACCAGATGCAAATGTCACAAGTTGTAGAACATGCGAATTGTGAATCTTCTAATTCTTGAACCGGAACAAATGTCACATATCTTGAAATGATACATGTCAGAAATAAGTTAAATGGCATTAGCCTTCCTATTTACTGTAACAAATTGTACAAGTTGATAAATTTTAATCGTCGTTCCTGGAGAAGTACGCGTGAATAAACAGAATTGGACAAAGTATTGGCTATTTCGTTTTAGTAATTCATGTATTATGTATTCGATTTAACTGTCAAAATCACAAGCTACCGAACTACACCGTTATTCGATACAAATATTACAAATTGTAGTATATGCAAAGTACAATCATTTAATGGTTGAACCGAAACAACTATTAAATATTTTAAAATGTTATATTAAGAATAAGTAACATTATTCGTTAAATTTCTAACAATAATTAAATGATAATAAATGGGATACAAACTAACCCAATCGGTCAACCATGATCCTATGAATCAGGGCTGACAACAACAGGAAGTATGAATCACATCCATGTCTCGCTATTTGTCATATTCAAAGTAATTTAAAAACAATGATTGTTACATTATGGAAATTGCAAATGAAAAGTTATTTGATCACTTAAAAGGAAACGTTTTCAGAATAATACAAAATCTGCATTTTTCTTTAAAAAAGTATCATTTGATGTTAAATCTTACCCTATTTATACTTTGTCTAGGGGAAAAAAACTCGGGTGCTAGTGAACAGATCGAAGCAACGACGTCAGAATTCATTGGTTCGCTGTGTCTATAGTTGGAAATGAACCTTAGGGCCGATGCATATTTGGTTGATAAATATATTTTTATTTTTATCACTTTAATTGATATCTTTATAAATTTTCTTTTATTGACTCTTTCATTGCAAAAACTATAAATATTATACATAAATAATAACATGTATAATTTCTTGTAAAGATTTGTGGACTTATGCTAGTGGAAATAATGCTAGATGGCATGACAAATTCATTGTCAACTATGGAAAAAATTTTAACTAGAGTAAAATCCCTAAAGAGTCGCCATAACAGGATATACTCTTTCGAGATATCGATAGTTTCTACACAGCTCATTATGAAGATCATATGATTACTGAGGGCGTAGCAATACATCTGTAGCGAGACGTTCCATGTAGGTTATTCTATTCAAAAAGCAAGAGAAAATAATATTTGAAAAAAAATGAAGATATGTGGACCTAAGTATGCCTTATGTGGCTTAATATTATCTGTTTGGGGTATATTTCAACTAGTAAGTAATTTTTGTTTAATTCAACGACAATTTAATGTCAATGTATATAACAAACTTAATATATAGTTGTAATAGTTAATTAAAAACATTATTGAATCAACTCTTTTATTTAAATTTTATCTCTTTTAATTAGTATCAAAATTTGATTATAGTAGAAGACAGGTTATCTTTCAGTAAAATCTATATCATTTTATCATATTATAATAAAAAGTGAATTTTTTAATTAGTCCTCTAATAAATATAAAACTTGCAAACAAAATAATATTTTAATGAGATAATATTTTTGTAATTATATATACATTTTTCAGAAACTGTCAGTCTGTCAAGAAATAAAAAGACATTATATTTAATTTTCAGCTCCTGATGGGTATATTCTTCTATGTCAAGAGTGTAGCTTTAGTAGAAGATCTTGCATTAAAAGGAACTTTTACTGATGTTAAGTATTTCTATGCAGAAGCAGACAGAGGCTATACACAAAATGCATATAATTGTTGGATAGCTGCTTGTATTTATGTTATTACATTCCTGTTTTCAGGACATCAATTTTATGTAAATTCAAGATCATCTCTTAGTGTTTAGAAAAATACTGATAGCATGTTACACAACAAATAAGAAATATGTATAAATTTATCAAATAATGCTGTATTGTAAACAAAGAAATCATATTTAAGAATAATCTAGATTATGTTTAAAAGTATATAATAGATGTGAATAACAAACTATATAATATTGGTGATATAGATATTTTATCCATTGCATTTCAAATCTAAAAATTAATTAAGTTTAAAATGTTTGAACCTTTGTGTAGTTATATATATATATATATCATTCTAATTTTAGGCAACATGAAATCCATAAAATATGGAAATTAATATTATTTCATATTATTATATCTGTATAAAAATGTACAATAGTATTATCAATTGAATTTGTTTTCTTTAATGATGTATAATATTTTATGTTCTTTCATTTATAAACACTGTTAGGCTCAAAACTGTGTTTCTTACATTTTTAGATATTAATAAATATAAATATAATGCATACGACGTTTGAAATACCTATTACAAATATCTAGAAAAAAACAAAAATATTTGCAAGCTTATCTAAACTTGATTGTAATATTAAAAAATGTACTATTATCATTTATTAACAAAAAATTGAATACATCGATAATAATATTTTAAATTTTAACGTTTATGTATGTATTACTGTAAATATATATGGCACACGATTATCACCACTGAATCATCATTTTTAATCATTTCTACTTCTGCATTTGTTAAATTTATAATCTGAATTTTATGTAAGATATTTAAAATAATGAATTTTTCACAACGCTATAACGTTATTACATTGAGAAAACCTAAAAATGACGTAAACTAAACGTGGAATTGTAATTGATTGTAATTGGTACATAAATGACAGTTTCATAGGTTATGTATCTGCTCAACAACTCAAATATCACATGAGAAAAAGGATGGTTAAGGCAAATGGACAAATATTTTAGCACAGTGGTAATATACATATATTAGGCTAACTTAATACGACTTAAAATTAAAAACATTATTATTTACAAGTAATTCCTTTTGAATAAATATAATTTAAATATTATTATATCTTTGATTACATTGATTATATTGAATTTCATTATCATGGAAAGTGAACGAGTAAGTTTGACTAATGATTATACAGAAGTAATACAACGTCTTCCTATTTCATTAAGACTAGCATATGGTATAGGACACATTTTAAATGATATTTGTGCTTCTATGTGGTTCACATATTTATTAGTGTATTTTCACTTGGTATTGGGTTTTAATGCAACATTGGCTGGAGTAATTTTACTTATTGGACAAGTAGCGGATGCTTTAGCCACTCCGTTTGTTGGATTTTATTCTGATAAATATGATGAATTGTGGTTCTGTAAATATGGAAGGAGGAAAACATGGCATTTAATAGGTATATATGTTATATAAATTATTACTTGTATTATGTTATATCAAAAATTTATTTTAGGCACACTTTGCGTATTATTTGCATTTCCTTTTATATTTTCACCTTGTATTGGATGCGAAAATTCTCACAAGTGGGCTCAATTAATTTATTATGCAACATTTGTTGTAATTTTTCAATTTGGTTGGGCTGCAGTACAAATATCTCATTTATCATTGGTCCCAGAACTTACACCAACTGAATATGAAAGATCAGAACTCATAGCTATCAGGTATATTTTAAAATATTCTTTAAAAAAAAAAAAAAAAAAATTGACATATTTTAAATGTTTCTATTTTGCTAAAAAAATATTGTAAACATAATTTGGATCTTACGATATAATATTATATATAAACTTGAAAATCATAAGAATGAACAATTATAACATTTATTGCAATTCTGTTTAGATATAGCTTCACTGTCCTCTCAAATATTTTTGTTTATTGCATCGCTTGGGCTGTATTTCATATAACAAATAACAAAGATTCCAGTTCTCAAATTGGTCCTAATGATGCAAAGAAATTTCAAAATATTCTATTCATTGGAATAGGAATAGGATCTATAGCATCCGTTCTTTTCCACATCTTTATTAAGGAAGGAGCTGTTAACATCTCTAATGGTAAGATGAATCTTGTATTAATCTGTTTATACAGAGTGTTCCCAAATAAAATGTCAAAGCGGGCTGGAGGTGATTCGTTATGAAAAAATAAGAAAAATAAAAAGAATACAGTGGGTGAATTGTATCTTAGTCGTAATTGAAAGTAACACAAAGTGTTCCTTATTTTTCTATAAGGAATCACCTCCAGCCTGCTTTGACATGTTATACGGAAACACCCTGTATATTTACTATATAATGATTAAAATGTTATTAATAATTTGTTGCATCTATTTTAGGATTATTGCAGAGAAATACACGCACAGTATCAGTTTTATTAACAGACATACGTTTATATCAAGTAGCCTGTGTATATATGTCTACACGTGCATGTGTAAATTTATTACAAATTTATATTCCTTTATATTTGCACAAATCACTAAATATGCCAGCTACATCTTTAGCTGTAATACCTTTAGTAATATTTTTGAGTAGTTTTGCAATGTCTTTAATTATTGAAAAGTTAAATACAAAAGTAGGCAGAAAAATTTCATTTTGTTTTGGTGTTATATTAACCATATGTGCTTGCATTTGGATTCAATTAGGTACAGACATAACGTACACAAACTATCAAATCTATGTAATATCTTTATTGTTAGGTAATATTATGTAATTTTTTTAATATTATGAAGTTAATAAATGCACAAAGTATTTGAAAATTAAACATTTTTTGGTATAGGATCTGCAGGATCTATCATATTAGTGACCAGTCTTGGAGTTACTGCAGATTATATTGGACAAAACACTGATAGTGGTGGATTTGTATATGGTATATTGAGTTTCACGGATAAACTTTGCAATGGATTAGCAGTTATAATTATTCAGTATTTGTAAGTATATTTAAGGACTCCATTCACCTGGGACTACTTTCTTTTATCATTTTTTTCAGAGAATCTTGGTTTAGTTCTACAATTTTCTACAAAGATGTTGTGGTTTATGTTTGTGGTTCTTTTGCAGTCTTTGCTTTGTTAATAATATTATGGATAAAACCATTTTCTCACAGCACAGGTATAATTCTTACAGATAAATACAAATTAATAAATTATGAATCATAAAAAATATTGTAATTTCTTTCAGCATATACTGCAGTACCTTCAGACCAAACTGTACAACATGATAACACATTCGTTTCCATAGCATCATCAGAAAATGAACCTGGCAACTTACTAGGACAAGAACTTGCCACATAATCTAGGAAAGAAAATTCCAATATAACAAAATTAAATGTAAAACTATGAAATGCGTATGAGCTGAAATATTTATATATAATTCAGTGTTATCACTAGTTATTTACATACTAAATAAGATCTGTCTTAATTCTATTTTAATAGCATTATATAAATATTAATTTTTTTATCGTAAATTTTGATTCTATTTTTAATATTTTATTATATAAGAAATGTGATCAATTTTTCTATTAACTGTATGCGTATTCATTTATGTGGTTAAATTACGAAGTTAAATTGAAATAATAAAACTAAGTAAGTCAATAGTAATACACGTTTCTAAAAAATTCTAAATGTGACTCTGAAAATCTTGGAAAAGAAACGAAACTTAAACTTTTTTTTTTAAGAGAATCTTGACAAATATGACTAGTATACTACTGAGAAGTTGTTGATAATTATAATAAGTCACGAAATATTCGTATAAGATGGTACGGTGCCTGTCCCTGTAAGACACAAACGATCTTTCTGTATGCAATCTACCATAGTCTGTGTTCAGTTGAATTCAACTTCAATTTTCTTAAGTCTTATTGTAATACTTTTGCTGACTGATTAATGTGAATTTGGACAAGTACACACTTAATTCATTGATTGGCATATGTTGTTATATGTATATGACGACTCGGCAAACTGGTAAAATGAGCTTAGAATGCTTAGGGCAAGTAATTGTAGATAACATAAAACTTTCTTTACAGAATTACCTGAAGTTGAGAGAGAATTTTTCACATTTCACGGTTCTAACGAATTTTGCACGAATGAAGAGATTAAGTTTAAAGACAAAGTAGGTACTTGTTATTTCTAAATTTCTAAAATTGCACTATATTTTTATTGTATTTACACACGTAGATCTTAATTTTATAGAAAAGTAAATGGAATTCAAAAAGTAGATTTAAATAAGAAGAAGTCTACAGATTATACAGAAATGGCATATAAAGAGGCTGTATCAAAATTAAAGTATTTGCTAGCCGATTCTTATGTCTCGAAGCCAATAACAGGGTAACTTAATATTAAATATTCTTATTAATTTTACAATCTATTCTGTACACGGAATTTGATATTTATAAAATTGAATGTTAAAAATAATTTTCACATAGAGGATTACAAGGAACTAAAGATATTTATCAATTTGATAATACAAAAATTAATAAATTTGATGAAGAAAGAGATGATGGAAGTATGATAATTGACAATTCCAAAGCAAAGAAATTTCAAGAAGATATAAATAAAGTAGTGAATCCAAATTTTGGTTCTCTCAAAACTATGTATCAGATGAAAGCATGTAACAGTTTAGCGTCTTCAACTGCAGACATACAATCTGTTCCTCCAGAATTAAATTCTTTTATTGAGCAACAAGAAGAATATATACAACAATTACAACAGGAATCTCAGTTTTGCAGAAATCAATTAACTAATTTAATTCATAAAGTTAGAGAGGTATTAGAACTATGTTTAATTAATTAAATAATTAATAGTCATTATTATAATAATTTATTTCAAAATTTAAATTCATTAATTTTAGGTTGTAGTTGAAAATGAAGCTCTGCATTATAAAAATAAAACAGGATTTTTCAACTGTGCTCTTAACGAGTATATACACGTTGATGACAATGATAATGACAATAGTAAACGAAAATTGTCTGTTCAAACAGAAGCCTCTGAAATTATAAAACCCAAAATTTTGGAAGGTCCTAATATACTGTTTGAGTCAAGGATTAGTGAGTTAGAAGCGCAACTTACTGAAGCAAAATTAGAACTCCGTAAAACTCAAGAGGAAAGTCAGTTTAATTTGAAACAATTATCTGAAAGTTGTTTAAAAAATGATGCATCGAAAGTAAAAACTCAGTTGGAACAAGCATTACATGCTAAATATGAAACTGAAATGAAAATGGAAGATTTACAAAAGTCTTTAGCTTTTGCACAAAATAAGGAAACTGAGGCAGCACAGAAAGTAAAACAAACCATAAATGTTATACAGCAAATTGAATTTGAAAAGAATCAATTTAAAATAGAAATCAAAACATTGAAAGAAGAATTAGATAGACAATGTGATAAACTTAAAGAAGCTACTCAGGAAGCAAGTAGACGTATTGCAGAAGAGAGACAGCAGATAGAACGCAAATACAATCATCAAGTTGAACAATTATCTAATGATGTAGCTTCCCATTGGAATGTGGTTAATAAATCTAAATTAGAATCAGAGAAACAACGTAGAGAGCTAACAGAACTTAAAAAAGAATTATCTCAGAAACAAATACTTATCAGTAATTTAAAGAAAGAACTTCAAAACGAAATATGTAAGTTTTATAATTTAATTGTTAATCTTATTAAGTTTAATGATATTTAATGAAACAAATATAATAAATTGTAATACCATATAATTTGCGTCGCATATAGCAAATTTGCAAAGTAAACTAGATGAAGCATTAACTGAAAAGGATGGTATAGAACAAGAAGTTCTAGCTGCAAAATTAGCCGCTGAACGAAATGAAAGACAAAATCATCAAGAACAAAGTAGATTACAAATTGAAATAAATTCATATAAACAACGATTAGAGAGAACAGAAACTGACTTAGTACATCTTAAAAGAGAAAATTTAAGACTTTCAGAACAAATAACTTCTTTGGAGAAAGAAGTAAGATATTAAACATTTGAAATGGACACTATGTGTTATACAATTTCATGACAATTATGTACATAATTCAGAGTTTAGAAATCTACTTTCTTATGTTTTCCACTTTTCATATATAGTGTAATACAATTCAAGTTTAAGATAAAATGTTTCTTTTAGATTAATATAAGTAAATCTACATGTCCAGAAAATTTTTCTCTACAAGCTTCATCGATATCGAAAAATGAAAAAGAATTAGCTTCTATGATAATGGATATGGAAACTAAACATGGTAAGGTAATAGTTTATACTTGCCTATGTTAGGTATATTGTCTTTGGAAAAGTGTATAAATTTCATATTATTTAAAAACATTTTGTGTGTGAGAAATCGGCATATTGACACTATGCCTAGCATGGGTAGGAATTAAATTAGTCAATTTATTAAGAATTGACTAATGAAATTGTATTTCTTAGCTGCTACAGTGGCTGGTCTAGAAGATGTCCTGAATAATCAGGCTACACTCGTCTCTCAACTGACCATCGAATGCCAATCTCTCACACAACGTTTGGAAGCTAGTAACTTCAAGCACAAGTATATTCTTATTTTTGTGTAGATAAGAAGATTGACTTTATTTTTGACTAGTAACTAATAATATATCATTTGGCTTGCACTACTTTTAATTATAAATAGTTTGCAATAGTTTATAAACTTAATAGTATAATAATTAATAATAATTTTATCATCTAGAGCTATTCTGTGTTGACAGAGAGAGCCACTGACAGAGATGTAACAAGAATTGGAAAAACTACATCAACTTCGAACAAGAAACGTACTGTTAAGATTGATCTGAAAGTAAAAGTAATTCCAAAGCAAAAGTGAAAATTTTTAAATATACCTCTATCAGCACAGTAATAGCATATACGATAGTAGCAAATTAAATATATGCTTAATTTTATGATACTGGATAGTAAACAATATTGTAAGGAAGATAATGCAATGAGTACAATTCTGACATTCATAATAATACTGTAGATGAATTTAATATAAAGTTCAAAAAATGGTGTTTTTAATACCTACTATTTCGTAGGGAAGATATGGCCAATCTACAAACTAACATAGAATACTTATCAGATAAAATACAGAATGCTATTAGTAATCAACAAGGTAATATTTTCCACATAAAGTTATATGCTCATATGATCATTTGAATTACCACAAAGTAATACAATTTATCGTTTAGAACTCGCATCAATGAAAAATAAAGATGAATCTTTAATAAGTTATTCTCATAGTGCATCGCTTAATTCATCGATAGAAACACAAAAGCCAACAGTTCCTTATATGGTTTATCAAGAATACGATATTAAAGCAAATAAGTTTATTGACAAACATAATAAACTTTTGGATAACGATTCTTCTGATGAGAGAAAATATGACATCAGAAATGAAACAGACAATGATTTCAATAATGCAATAAAAAAATATGATGAAAACAAAAACGAAGATAGCGATAAAAAAATCCATGATCAGCAGGAACATATCGAATCAAAACAGAACCCTAATGAAATGACTCACAATTTGCCTTAGTATGCTTTATCAGATATTTATTAAAATGATACTGAAAATATTGTAAAGCAATATGCAAAGCACTGCAAACCATATTCAAATATTACATTGCAAATTGACACAGACATTTTCAATAAAATATGTACAAAATTAAATGTTGTAGTTTATAATATTATTTAATGATACATTTGATAATTACACTGTAGTATTATAAATGCATTATTATTTTTTGTTTAATTTTTAATTCAAGACTTTTATTTTTTAAATTTATATTTAAATTAATAATTAAATTTATTTTATCAAATTGAAAGTTTAGCGCCATATATTTAGCGCTGTAATCTCATGGCAGATTCAATACCTAACTTGCACAGCTCAACTAGTCTAAATACATACGTATGGTGTATTCATGTTACATTCTAATGTTAAGTAATCTATAAAATTTGTTAATTCTACGAAAAGATTTTTTAAAATAATGCTAACAATTAAGAATATACATATAAAATTTTTAAATATTTAATATGGCTCTATCAACGGGTAAGTAAACACGTGACTAGTTCTAACCTTTAAATATCTGTAATAAATATTTATATATGTATGTATATTTAACAGAATTACTGAAGCGCCTTGATACGAACGAAGAACCTTTAGCAAAACGTTTGAAATTGGCAGAAAATGTTTTTTGTACTGCTGACATACCAATAGTGCGCAAAGAAGATCTCATCCTACAGTGGTTTTGTGAATCATGTTCCATGGATAAAAATGTTTGGGTTTCTTTAAAGAGCTGTTTACAAACTACACATTTGGATGTTAAAGTGGATGTGAAAAAGTTATTGATTAATGTGATTATTGAAAAATTACAAAAAGATGTAGAAAATGTACACAGTGGTATTTTTGAATGCTGTAGATTATTGGTTTCGAATAATGGGATGCAACAGTATTTCATTAATGAACCAAAAGATTTAGGACTTTTGGTAAAGTCTTTATTGAATTATGTATTTAAACTTTATAAACATACCTTTAATATTAAAGAACAATCAGCGGATGGAATAGATATAGCATTAATTAACAAAAGCAATGGATTGATATTGATCACATACAACATTGTAATTAATGTTATAGAAAGTATAATACAAATTTTTAAATCAGCTTTTATGACAAAAAATACATTAAGAAATGTATTCATACATGATATTTTGTATCCTTTATGTGCTATAATTGATCATAAATGCACCAATAATATGAATAGACTGGGAGCAGTAGCTCATAAATGTGTTCAACAATTAGTATTTGGAAGAATACATGCACAACGTGAAATATTTTTAAAGGATGACAACACAGATCACTTTGCAGATTTATTACCTACTTTGACTGAAAATGCAAGAACAAAAGATCTTCATAGTAATTTAACGACATTTGTTTTTATTTTTCGTGCTGCAATAGGTGTTTATAAATCGGACAGTGTTGTATTGGATTTAATTTTGCGAGAATTAGTAGAATGTGCTGGAACTTATAGAAAACAAATTTTAAATTCCCTTTTGAAGAATTTGAATGATATAGCATTCGATTTTGATAATGAAGTACATGGTATTACGTTATTTGAGTATTGCCAAAATGTGGTAAACAGTATTTTATTAAATAAAAATATGAGCAATGTAGATTATGATCTTCTTACACAATTTTGCTATTTTAATCCTCTCATAATTGAGAAAAGAATTCAAGATATACTGAGAAAAGTATTTGTTGGAAGTCCAACATTGGAATATACAAATTTAATGATTGCTATTCAAAATGCTACTATACAATTACGGCAAGAGGAAAAATTAATTTCAGCAATATTAGTAGCTTTAAAACATTCTTTGAATCAGATTTCAAATACAAAATCTAATATGTTTTTTCCGCAAGAATTCAAAGAAATGTTTTTGAAATCATTGAGTGATATTACAATTTTACAAAGTATAGCTATATTAAAAACATTGATATATCATTTAAAACATGACTGCATGGAAGTACTACAATCTAATGACACATGTAAGGGAAAGGATCATAAAATAGTAACTAAACCGATATTATTAATTAAATATTAATTCTTATTTAAAATTTTCTAATCTTTTGTAATTTCTTCCAGGTAAAAATATTTCATTTATGCAATCAACTGTTGATTTACTTGTTACATTTTTAGATGGTTTATGTATTTTCGAATATACAGGAACATTAACTTCTCATCAAAAATTTATAAACGCCTTTGACGACTTAGGAAGTGTTTTATCACTTCTAACAGATCAAGTTTTACATTTAAACCACAGCAAGAAAATTATTATAATATTATTAGCTGCAATATTTTCATGGAATGAAACACAAATGGCACTGAAATATTATGTGCCAAAAGTTGCAACGCGAGATTTAAGATTTCCAATATCTCAAATTCAGTGGCAGCAATTGATTCAAAGAATAACAAATTTTGGCAAAGACAGTTGCAAAAACAGCATGGTATGTTAATTAAATGTTTTTATTATTCACCTTGTCATTAATATATTATAATTTCAGAATAAACTTATTTTACAAAGAATTAAAATGTCCCAAAATACAGTAAATGACTCTTCCATTAAACTTAATAGTTTGATAGGTGGCTTAGAATACTCTTGGCCCACTATATTAAAGCTTGATACAGAAGTAATATCGTTCTTGTCTAACGAAGAGATGTCGAAAGTAACATATTTATTATTAGTAGATATGACTTCTAGCATGGGTAATTTTTGTGAATGGATGAAAGTATTGCATGAAGATAGCCTACAAGGAAACAGGAGATTCATAATATCTTTTTTATGTTGTATTGTTAAACACATTGCGCATTTGATAACCAATAGAGTGACAAAATCGTTATGTAAAAATTTTGTTACTGTAAGTGTAAATATTTAATCACTAATTAAATGATACATATAATATCATTTATGTAATATTTGTACTTTGTTTTTTAGGAAACTCTACTCAGAGGTGAAAGTGCTGAAAATCAAGATGTAAATGAAATATTGATATCTATGAGAAAAGAATTCTTGAAAGATAAATGGGTACAGATTGAAAGTGCATCATTATATAAAATAAAAATGTATCTGGAAATATTACTTCATATACCTTTGATGTTTTTGAGTACCCGTGTAAGGTCAATAATATTTATAATTGTATTTGCTCTCAGAAAAGAATGTGATGGAAATGATGAAATAATTTCCTTATGTAATATGATATTCACAGGTGCTCTTCTTTTTCCTATAGAAACAGAGTAATAAGTTTATAAAATCAGTATATAACAAGTTTTTTATTTTCAGATCTTTTAGAAATGTCTGGTCTCGACATGTTTCGATATATAAATCCTTCTTTATTATTGGACCAGTTACCACAAAATAGAAATATCCAGAAAACTGTGGAACTATCTCTTAGAAACGATTTATCGTATACAATGTTAAAAACACTTATAAAGTCTTCCATAAATTCTAAGAAAAACATTCATTTTATATTAGAATCTATAGAACATGTTAAACCAAAATTAAATGTTGACCAAAAGGCAATAGTTAAAAAAGCAGCAGAAAAATTAAATAAAATTATAATAAAGATGCTACCATCAAAAATGACAGAAACCGACGATGTGAAAATATTAAGTATATTATTAAAAATAAGTATTCCTAATGAAGATATTGATGAAAAATTAAAAAGTGCAACAGAGCTAATACTTGGTGATATATTTCTGGTAAATATAAGATAGCTAATCAGGCTTACTTTGAAATTATTACACTTTTAATGCATAAAAATATTTTATAAGCAGAATGATACTGATAGAAGTGAGTTGTTGAAGGACGGTTTATGCTTAGCAGTTCTTGTTCTTCACAATCGAAAAATATTTCAAGTGACCAACCAAATTGTAAGAGGTATATGGTATGCTCTATTGAAGTATCCATGTACAGACGTACTTTTACCTCTGTTTGAATCAAGCAAACCACAAGAATTCAATGAATTTTTAGAATATTTGCATGATCACATGGTATGTATCTGTTATGAGTGTTTAAATTAAATAGTACAAAATACTCAACATAATATTTTATAGAAATAATTTACTATTTTGTTTTATTACAGGTAAAAATTCTTTCAAACGTACAAAAAAATGACTTGGAAAATGTTTGCATTATATGGCATGCTATATTGAAAACAAATATGTCTGCCGACCGAAATAAATTACGTTTAACTGCAATTAATAAATTATTACAAGCAGTACAAATTATAAACATACCAGACAAATTTTGGCCAAGTTTATTAAAATTAATTCAGAGTATTCTTGCCACTAAACATTTATATCTTCGTGGTAATGTGATTGATATGAGTATATTTCTCGGTTTAAAATCATTGCAAGAAACAACAATAACAACGTGTAACGATGCACTGACATTATGTAACACGCTATTAAAAATGAGAACAGATCTAATCTCAGATAGACTACCCGCATTATTGGTATTCTATAGACGTATACTAAATGTTGTTGTACAAAAATCCAAAGCTATAGTCGATAAATCTGAAGATCACACATTTAAATGTCTCGCATTGGATATAGAGAAGTAAATTACCAATCTTTTTTTATTTATTACAAGAAAGTATAAGTACGTGTGATTTTATTTGTTTCGTTTTGTTTATAGATTTACGAGTTCTTTGATAAAACTGAAAAAAGATATGATTCGATTAAGTCCGTACGTAATAGCAGATTTGTTGGAATTGTTTTCAGAAGCTTTAATAGCAACTTCTGTTAAGGTAATGTTTCGAATATTATATTGTGTGCGATAGTTATATTTTTGAAACATAAAGAATATATAAATGTATATTGAAAATTATATTTTATTATTTTTTCGTTTCAGATTTCTATTCAGAATTGTATAAATTTATTAATTAGTATATGCGATCAACATGGAATAGCTTTATTATCTCGTACGCTACCAGTTTCAATGCAAGAGATTTTCAAAACTCAACTAGATCTATTTAATAAATTTTATAAATTTTCAGGGAAGGTTTAACTTCTGCAGGAAGAAATGTAAAATTATAATGTAAAACAATTTTAGTTATCGTTTACCACAATTCCTATGTCATGCCCGTCGTTCGTTTTCCAGTAATACTCTATACACATTATAAATCACCCTATCAATTACAACGAATTATCTCATCCCTTTCTAGATGATCCTTAGTCATTTTGTGACTAGTCTGGTTAGTTTGTAGTGACTAGAATTTATCGCTAGTAATATATGTACATAGATGGGTTAGTCGAGCTAAGAAATAGTTTCTAGCGTGCCGTCACGTTTAATTTTCTTAATCGTAAAAAACCCCAGTCCTGTGCAGGGTGCGGAAGTAAACTGATGCAAGTACGAACACTTGTTTAGCGTTGAATCACATGGAAACAGGCCTTTAGTTTTATACAATTCCGCAGGATCTAAATCTAAATTAATAACAGTAAGAATTTCGACAACTTGGTTAGAATATATCAGTATTTTTATCTGGAGTAATAGTGTGTAAGAATTGTTCAATTGTTGTTTTTAGAATTTTGAAACTACAACAAACAATGCGATTTTCCAGATTACCTAAGCATCAAATTTATTTGATCATTATATTAGGGTGTACCACTAGCTATTTTGTGTGGACTGAACCTTTAAAGTCTTATATTCGAGAGAATGTTCCTAATAATAATTTAAGCGAAGTAAGTTTACTTTTGTAACGAAAATAATGGCTTGAATACATTATAAATGTGTACGTTAAAGAACATTAATATTTTGTCATTAAGCCAAGATTAAATTTTGTGGGTCAATATATAGTTAAATATTTTTATATGTAGTAATAGAGCATTATTAAAATCTTCAAAAAGTTATATCAACGGATTGTTTTTATAAGTATTAAATTATTTTACAGAAAATATCTGATGGCGAGAAGTAAAAGATTGTTGCCATTACCAACAAAGGTGTTTTTAGGCGTATCATGTTGTTTAGTAGTCGTACAGTGTTACAGGTAAGTATAATTTACTGTACTATTGAAACACTATTGGAAAATAAGTATCTAACTAATATATTTTATTAACAGATATTACAAATATAATTATTTGAGATTAGGTCGACACAAAGAATCTGAAGCATATGCAAATATCATTTATAAAAGTTACAAAGAAAAAGAAAAAGTAGAAATGGAAACTTAAGGCTTTTAAGAATTTTTAACATATATTTATTAATATTTAATATGTGTACATCGATTAATATCTACAATATTGTATGCAATATATCAATATATGTGTTCATTTAATAAATGATACAGCCAATAATTATATAATACTATACTTTATTATATAATATAACATCATGAGTATATCTCACAATCTAGTCTTTAAATTTTCCATTGTAAAGGGGAATATATTGACCTATTACTCTCCAATCTGTAAAATATACTACTGCCATGCCCGCAGAACCTCCATAAATCATTGCAGACGGCAACCTGATTAACATAAATATTAATTCCCAATCTGTACAATTATTAAAGCAGTAACTTGATTACAATTTAAAAGATATTTACTAAAGAACACATTATACAATATTTATGCGATAAATTAATCAATATATCTATCTTATAAAGAAGATTGTTAGTATTTACCATCTCGTAGCTATTTCCAGGTGTTTTTTCCCCAATCTCATTGCTATAAGTCTGTAAGAATGTAATGTCAAGTTAATATTTTAAATTGCTCTTTAAATATAACTAATGTTTGTACCATTCGAAAAGTGACGAATAACGAAATATTTAAATAATTTGAATAAACATTGTAATCCCAGATTACGTACTTTATCTTCTCTCTACCTGTATAATATGGGACAACCACAGACTACTTGTAGAAGTCGTGTTATAATAGTATGCCGATCAGTATACCTAGATTTGTCGCATTTTCGGGCATGCGTACTTGGAAATTGTCTCAGATACATAGTATTAAAATTTAGTGTATAGACGAAAATCGTATTGCCAATGTAGTGACCAGAACTAACACAACTGCTATAGATGGCGTAACCAAGTTGGGGAATTGTCCCATCGTACCGCAATGCCGTCAAGTTACAGAGTGTTATTCTATATGACTACTTTTCAATAGGAATACCCCGAAATTCGGATAGCGAATACCAATCTCTTGGTTGGTGAGGACAGGACGATTTAAAATTTGATACGGTTATCATATTTTGTTCAATAATTACTAAATAGTAGACTGTGGAATAATAATTTTTGTTCAAACAAAGTGAGTGACTGTAAGTAGGTACATATTGGCACAATATACGATTCTGTGTACCTACGAATGTTTATAAGTGCTGAAAAAAAAGTGCATATCATTGTGTGTATATAAAATCAAAATAAAATTAATAATATAAGGAATATTGTATTGACATGCACTTGAAAATCTTCATTTATACATACTAGTCTATGAACATATTGTTCTTTATTTGTTGAAACTAGTGAATACTGCCCGGATAGTTATTTTATTTGGTTTTGTTCCTGTTCAATAATTGATTTAGTAAATAATTATCAATTTTTATTAAAGAAGTTATTAATTCTGTTTTGTTCTTCTCTATAGTTAAATAAGATATATGCATGTTCATATACAGAATTTTCTATTATACTAATATGTACTTATGTTTACCATTGTGTGCAGTAGGCTGTATTTATATTATTTATATTAATACTTTTCACAAATATAATATAATTATGCATATTATTTGTTTCAGATTATGGAGAATATTGATGATACAAACGAATTTATTCCAAGAGCTTATCAAATTGATCTCTTAGAACTTGCACTAAAACAAAATGCTATTGTTTATTTACCAACAGGCTCTGGGAAAACTTTTATAGCTGTCAAGCTTATACAAGAATTAAGTGCAGATATACGAAAGTATTTATTCTCAATTCTGTATTTGTACAAATTCTCTATTAACTAAAATATATCTGACATTATCAATAATAGTTAAATTAATAAGTCAACAAAGTTTCTTTTACATAAAACATGTTATTGATATATTTTGTTACATCAAATTTTTAATACAGTAGAGTAGTAACACATTATTAAAGTAATTTTAATTATTATTTAAAAATAATTATGTATATTACATATTTAATTTTACATTTAGATCTTACAGCGAAGGTGGAAAACATTCTGTATTTTTAGTTAATACAGTACCTTTAGTTAGCCAACAAAGTGAATATATAAGAAGATTAACTGGATTGAAATGTGGACAGTTAAGTGGTGACAAAAACGTTGATTATTGGAAAGATATAGAATGGTTGGCAGAATTAGACAAATATCAGGTATTAATAATTAATTATATTTTATGTAACTGCTGTAAATGTTACATGTACATATTGTATTATCTTATTCAATTTACATATAATTTATTAAATTATCATTATAGAGATTGTCTACAGATCTAATTTTATTATTTAAAGAACATTTCATTTTAGGTGTTCGTAATGACCTCACAAATTTTGGTAGATGCAATTTCTCATGGATATATGTTTTTAAACAAAATAAATGTCCTCATTTTTGATGAATGCCACAAAGGAGTACATGATCATCCGATGAGACAGATTATGCAAAAATTTGTACACTGCCCAAAAGATCAACAACCACGAGTTTTAGGTTTAACAGCTTCATTATTAAATTCAAACATAAAGTTGGATATGATAGAATCAATTATTGAAGTAAGTTTAAAGTATTTTTTTTTTATATATTGATTATATTTTTCCATTATTACGTAGTCATTCAATAATATTAATTCTAGTATTTTTAAGTATAAAAATAAAAGAGTAAAGTATTGTAGCCTAATTGTTCTAATGTGATATTCACATTTTATTACAGAATTTGGAAGTAACATATAATGCAAAAATAATTACAGTAAGTTCAGTATTACAAATTAAAAGTTATTTTGCATGTCCAAACGAAACAGTTGTTTTGTTCGATGAATACACAATATCTAATATTGAAAAAAATATAAGTAATATCGTAGACGAAATAATTAAAATATTGAAGGATGTAACTGTAGAAAGTATATTAAAGCAAAACGAATCTAGTATAGAATTTCGACCACTATCTAAGGAGAGAAAAATAAGCAACACATTACTTGATATGCAAGTACAGTTAGCAGCTGAAGGTAAATGCATCAAATTTATTATAAAAGAAATTATCAATATTAATTTCATTTTTAATATAGGAATATATGGTGGAAGTAAATGTGCTTTACTCCTTTTGATCCAATTAGAATCTATAAAAAAACATACAGACAATTTGGTATGTATGAGAACAGAGTAAATAAAAAAAAATGAATAAATTTTAATCTTTTGATTTTCATGGTTTGTTATAATATTGATCAATATGTATTGTGTTATATTTAGGACACTATTTATCTTTTGGAGTACATTATTTCAGAATTGACTAAATGTAGGAAATTGTTAGAAGATGAAATGAAAGACAATACAGAAGTGGAAAAAATTTACAAGTTAGTCAATGCTAGTTGTATTTATTCTAATCTATTTAATCCTTAGTTTGTTAATAATTTGAACATAGTTTTGATAGTTATATTAATGTCAATTATATTTTTAAATTATCTTCAAGTGATAAGATTATACGATTTAAAAAATAATATTAAATTACAGATACTCATCTGATAAAGTTCGAAAACTTTTTACAGTGTTGAAAGATTTCAAAAGTAATATGTCTAATGATCAGACATTTTGTTGCATTATTTTTGTACAACGACAAATTACGGCTAAAATATTATATCAGATATTAAAGGTGAAAATTAGTTTTTATATTGATAATTTATATTAACTTATTCTTATTTAATTATTATCGGCTTAGAATCTAAGTGAGCACGATGAAGAATTCAAATTTCTACAACCTGACTTTATAGTAGGGGGTTCATGTCACCCTTACAAAGATAATAGAGAAGCACTATGTTTCTTAAAGTGGAATAACGAAGCTATACATAGGTATAATTATATCAATTTCATATGTTTTACAGCTAATTTACTATGTGTAATAATAATTTTGAAGTAATATTTTTGATAAAAATTTATTTAGATTCAAGAGTGGTATAACAAATTGTATTATTGCGACAGATATAGTAGATGAAGGTATAGATATACCACATTGTACATTGGTTATACGATATAATTTGCCAATGGATGTTAGGGCATATGTCCAAAGTAAAGGGAGAGCACGATTTAATAATAGTCAATATACATTGTTAGTGTCGAAAAATGATATGAATTATTTAAAACGTTATGCAAACTTTAAAGAAGTGGAATCGTATTTGCAGAAGGTATTTTCTCTTTTTGTATTTATTACTCTTTTCTTTGTAATTTGTTCTTCATTTAATATAATATTACAAACAGTAACTAAATACGTACTAGTTATTTATAAACATAGAAATTACAAATGTAATTTTATCCACATTTTCATAAGATTGTATAAAAATTTATTAAATTTATTTTTATTTTTTAAACAGCTTTTGATAAGTGGGACACCCCGTGAGGAACCAAAAGAAAATGCAATAAAAAATAAATTATATACACACAACATAGAACCATATGTTGTCACAAATAAAGATGGAACAGTATGTACAATAACAGAGCAAATAGCAGTTAGTATAATAAATAGATATTGTGGCACATTATTCAGCAATAAATTTTTGTCTTTAACACCAGTTTGGACATTAAATACCATTGAGGAACATGAACGTACAATGTACCAGGTATTAAAAACCTTAAAGTATTTTGTTTTTCATTTACTTGTCTATTTGTGTAAATGATTTCTATTCTATACAATATTATTATTTGTATAGTAATTACATAATTACTAATCTATACAATAGTTTCTCTATTAAAATATTTGTAGGTTTCTCTTAAACTACCAATTTTATCTCCAATGAAAAGTGTAGTTCTTGGGGATCCTATGATGAGCATTAATTATGCAAAACGATCTGCTGCTATGAATACATGTATAAAATTACATGAAATTAATGAATTATCTGACAATTTACTACCAAATGTAAACAGTTATATTATTCAGAACGCGAATCATCTATTCCCAAATTGGATAGATGAAGATAAGTCAGAAAATGCATTTATTGGGACATATAAAAAAAAACGACATCATCAATTACAAGTATAATAAAATATAAATTTATTACAGTTTTATTAAAAATGAAGTTACATCTGTATGTGTCATTTAAACATTATTTACAGTTTCCATCTGCGTTATATGGTGCATACCCTTTACCAGAAAAATTATTATATCTTCACCTTCTTCATGCTAAACCCACATATTCAGCACCACATTACGATAACCGATATTTAGTATTTTATGATTTGCTATCTGACAATGCAGGTTTTGGAATACTATCTACAAAACGGTTGCCAGAGGTAAAAATTAAAGTTCTTTATATACTTTTAAATGAAATATTTAATAACGTATATTTTTTTTACAGATACCATCATTTCCAATCTTTATGAATGTTGGAGAATTAAACGTTGATGTTAAAGTAAATTATGCAACAATGCATTTATCTGAAGAGCAAATTGGGTTTATAAAAGTCTTTCATACTTTAATGTTTACTCAAGTTGTATCAGTTATAAAACCTTTTTTAGTATTTGATAATTACAATCGTGATAATTGTTTTCTAATTGTACCAGGTAAATTGTACTTTATAATATTACACTTTTTACACGTTTTTTACACTTTTAGCATAAAAATATTTGCAAATATTCAAACATTACAAATATTACAAATATTCTTTTCATTTAGGGTAATGATTAAGTAAAAATAAAACATCGCTTATTGTTTACAACATGGAGCTGTAAATTGTTATGTTTAGGAGTTTTTAAAAGGTGTCAAGGCTGGAAAAACCTTCATTAATATTGTTAAAGTCTGGACATTTCACTGACTGATTTCCATCTGTTTTGGAGCCTAGAGCAATTGAATCAGACAATATTTTTTAAAACTACAACAAAATTCAGCAGTAGCTTTTAGAATTTTTTTTTGCCAAAGGACCGAGTTCTTTTTTTGTTTATTTGTTTTTATTTCTTTTTTTTTTTTATGAATAAGACAGCAAATATTCAAAATAGTGCTAAAATTTAATTGACAACCTACTAGTTTAACAGAAATTATAATTTTTCAGTTAATGAAAGTTGGGAAATAAATTGGAACGTCTTGAAACAACATCAATGTATAGAGCGTATACCATCACCAGTTCCTTTTCATTTAAAAAATAGTGATTATGAGTTAGCACTAGTTATACCTACCTATAGAGCATCCCCGGATATGTACTTAGTTACAAAAGTTTGCGAAGATCTTACACCAGGTTCATGTTTTCCAAGTGATAATTTCTTTTCATATGCCCATTACTATAAAGAAAAGCATGGTTTGGTAATAAATGATTTAAAGCAGCCGATGTTAGAAGTAAAAGTTATATCGAGGAAAAATAATTGTATAATTCCTAGGTAATGTATAAATTTAAATAGGTAACTTGAATAAATCTAAATTTATGATTATGTTCTTGTTTCCTTAATGCAGAAGCATGCAGTCTGAATCTAAGAGCCGAAAAAGAGCAGAGTCGAACAAAGATTTGAGGGAGCATTTAGTACCAGAATTATGCACCAGAATCGTGTTTCCAGCTTTGTATTGGCTTAAAACAACAATGTTACCGTCCATTCTACATAGAATTTCACAACTTTTAATTGCTGAAGATCTTAGAGAAACTATTGCTACAGAAACTGGTTTAGGATCTAGATCGAGTAATAATAAGTGGCCACCACTACAAATTACAGATGAAGAAACAGAAGAATTATTTGAATCTTTGGTAGAAATTCCTATCGATGAAAATGTTGAAAATTTACAACCAGAACCAGTATTAAATGTCTCAGAAATAGACGGTATATATTTAATTCTCAAAGATAGTATACTTTTCCAGAACAAGAAATTAGAAGTACACCTAATTTCTTGTATTATTCTTCATTTATAAACATTATTAAAACCAAGAAAATAATTCTTTTTGTAAACAGTACTAAATACAGAAACATGTAATTATCCATGGAAAAAAGATGAAGAACCACCTAATTTGTATAGGAATATTGAAGACATTCAAATGATCCAAATTGAACATTACTGTCAATTTATGTCTGGAACGTGTGACCAAACTGATAACGAAATAGTGGTAATTATAATATTATACATAATTTTTTAGTACAAAAGATGTAATATTAAATAAGTTTCATTTCAATGAGAAAGTTTTAATTTCACTACTAATAGGATTATATCTAATTTATGGAGAAAACTCAATATAGTATCAACAATATTCAATTTGTGATTGTGTAAATCTATAAAGCACGGGTGTTTTGTTTTAGAAAAAGAAGGAAATTAATTTCTTAAATAAATTATCGATACCAGTGCCTCATCTAAAAATCTTATCGTTAGAAGATTTGTGTGATGGTCCCAATCCTGTTCAGATTATGTTTGTAAGTATATTTTCTAATTTTTGTAAACTGTATTTGAAGCATTGTTCTGCAAAAACTTAAATTTATTACAGGCATTGACAAGTAAATTAGGACATGATGCATTTAATTTGGAACGATTAGAGACTCTAGGAGATTCCTATTTGAAATTTATTATATCTTTATTTTTACATGATCAATATCCAAACTACAACGAAGGTCCTTTAACGTCATTAAAAGGAAAACTAATTGGAAATCGTAATCTTTATTATTGTGGAGTCAAAAAACAGATTCCTGGGCGTATAAAAGTTGATGATTTTGTACCATTTAGTAATTTCATTGCTCCCGCTTATACAGCATTTCGTTTATTTCAGCAACTGTTGTTAGAACAAGAGGTTCGTTGTTTCAATATTTAAAATAAAAATATCCAACGTTTATATAAAATATTTTTTTGTAAATAAAGTTCATAGTTGTATTATTTATACTAAAATAAATTTATTATATTTATTAAAATGAATATAATTTGTAAAATGTTATATATTAGATCTCACCGAATGTTTTATATGAAATTCAAATACCTGAAGTGGAACAATTTACTGGGTGCATAAGTGAGACCACAATAAATACAATGGAAGCAAAAGTGTTAAATTGGGAAACGGCAAACTCGCAAACTGGTATGGAGCATTATCTTGGAATACAAACTGTTTCTGACAAAACAGTATCTGACTGTGTAGAAGCATTGATTGGTGTCTATCTTTCAGTAAGTAATAAAAGTTAATATGATGATTTTGCTTCTTTTTTTTTTTGTATGAAGTACTTAATTAACTCATTTCATGTTTGTCAAGTTATTTCTTTAATTTCATTTGAATAAATTTGAACTAAAGAAGTTTATAATAATTGAAATATTAAGTATAACTTTTTCTTCGTATATTTTATTACGTATTTGCATTTTAACAGACTATGGGTATTAAAGATACAGCGACTTTATTAAAATGGTTTGGAATTTTACCAAATGATATCAATGCCCATACATTATTGTTTGTTAATTTGACGAATCCTATTATTTCTGAGGGAAATGTAAACTATTTCATGCCTTGGGCCTCTGATATAGAAACAAAAATTGGTTACAAGTTTCAAAATCGAGCATACTTATTACAGGTAATTTAACATATACCTTTAAAAGTAAACCTTTCCCTTGTAGAAAGCTGTATGTCAGATATGCTGTGTGTCTATAATTTCATTACCATGTACAAACTTCAATTTTATATAAAATGTAAATATTTTAGGCTTTTACGCACCCTTCATATTCAGCAAATACTATAACTGATTGTTATCAAAGATTAGAATTCCTTGGTGATGCTATTCTTGGTAAGAGAGTGTTTAGAAACTTGAATTAATATTTCCTAACACTTATTTAAAAATTATTTGAACAATTTATATTTAATTTGAAGTTTCTTTTTACATCAGATTTTTTAGTGACGTGTTATATTTATGAAAACTGCGGAAATTTGAATCCTGGTGCTTTGACAGATTTAAGATCTGCTCTTGTTAATAATATCACATTTGCATGTTTGGCAGTACGATATAATTTACATACTGCATTACTAGCTTATGCGCCAAAATTAAATGATATTATAGAACGCTTTGTTAAATATCAAGAGGAAAGAGATCATATAGTGAATGATGAGGTACTTTATGTTATTACAAAATACAGAATAATTTTCACTTATAAAAAAATTACACTTTATATAATCTTACATATATTTACAATATATTCTATTTTATAGCTTTTATATACATTGATGGAAGAAGATGAATGTAATATAACTGAATATGTAAATGTTCCTAAAGTTTTAGGAGATTTATTTGAGTCTATAATAGGTGCAATATATTTAGATTGCAATAAAAATCTTTTGAAAGTTTGGGAAATAATTTATTCTTTAATGCACATAGAAATTGGTGAGTTTCCATAAAAATTTAAGTGCCTTTACTACAAGTAAATACACCGATACTATTTACTTTCTATATTATTATTTTATAGTAATATTTAATTTTTTTTAGTTGAATTTAGTAAAAATGTTCCAAAGCAACCAGTTCGTATGTTGTATGAAACTCAAGGTATACAGCCACGATTTTTGTAAGTATATTTTGTGCTTTTCATCGCTTTCGAAAATTCCTTATTTATTAAATAATCACTTTTTCAGAAAAGCAGTTCCTATTGAAGGAACAAATGTCGTAATGGTACCTTTAAAAGTAATTATTGATGGGAAAATGAAACTTTTTCATGGGTTTGGTACCAATAAAAAGCAAGCCAAATGTGCTGCTGCAAAACACGTTTTAAAAAGTTTGTTATGTAAAACTTAAGATAAAAATGAGAACTTTTATTTACAAAAAATTTTATTTACGTTGTTTTACATTTATTATTGTAATTAATAGTTATAGTATTAAGGCAGGGTGGGGAGAAGTGAGGTATGGAAGGCTAGCTAGGTATAGGATGGGGAACGAGATGAGGGGGGGAGGTACTGGGGAGATGAGAGAGAGAGAGAGAGAGAGAGCGAGTAGCGTAGGATTAGGATAAGAGCGTGCGGCGAAAGGAAATGAGAGAGAGGGGAAAAGCGGCGGGGGGAGGATGTAAGGGCAGTGAGGAGTAGAGTAAGAGTAGAATAAGTAGGATAAGTAGGATAAGTTAGGTTAAGGGAGAGATGGAAATGTAAGGTGGGGAGGAAGTGTAACCCTAAGGGGAAGTAGGAAATAAATCTATCTATCTATCTATCTAGTTATAGTATTATATATTAAAACAGATTTATTCCATACTATATCATGATTAGTTTTCAATTTTTCGCTTTTTTAACAACGGTCGGTCAAATACTTGTTTCATTCCTGCCGCTTGATTATTATGAAATTTCAGATTTTGTGCAGTTTCTGAGATCCAAGGTGAATCAAATTGTGTAGTGTCTTGATCAACTAAATGAGTATATTTAGTTCTGCCACTACGTCCAAAGTTTTTTACTTGCATAACTTTTGGTAAAATTGTTTTGTCAAAATGATCTTCCAAAGTTGCACCCGAGAAATCTCGTTTAAATATATTATCTTCTTTATCCAAATAGAAGGCTCCACGATGATAATATTTTTGCAAAAACTTATATTTTCCCTTTGCCGCCTTGTTTGTAATAACTTTTGGATTTAAGCGAGCTTCTTGTCTTCGCTCTTCTTCCGTCATATTGCGTATACGTTCAATCTCAAGACGTTCTTTCTCAAGCCTGAAAAATGCAATTATTTAATAAAAATATGCAATTTGCATAAGTATTATTATTTTCAACAATACATACTGTTCTCTCTCTTCACGATCACGTTTAATTCTTTTTAACTCTCGCAATTTCCAAGCTTCATACTCTACTTCATCATTCTCATCATCTGTACAAACATCTTCAAGTTTTCCTTCGTGTTCATTGTTATTTTTACCAGCTTGTGTTTCCTTTCTTATTGCTTCTTCTACCATCTGTGCAATAAATAATGTTAAAGCCATTTATAAGAAATTACTTTTTTTTATTTACGTAATTTGTCAACTTTACCCGTAAAGTTTGTCTTTTCCGTTCTTCGGATAGCTTTTTGGCTTCAACCTCGGCTTGTTTTTGTTTCATTGCTTCTTTTTCTTTTTCCATTACTGTAATTCTATCCTTCTTACGTACAAAAACTGGTTTCAATCTTGGCCCAGTTTCTTCTTCTGAATCTGTATATTCTTCATATTCCGAGCTTTCCTCTGAACTCTCACCTGATCTTTCGTCTTCTTCGCCATGAATCAATTCCTCTTCATTCTCTTTTTTAGATAAAACTCGTTGTTTTAGTGCTTCGCGCCTTCTTTCAATTTCAGAATCTGATAATTCTTCATCTTCCGATGAATCTGAACTTTCTAATTTGATCCTTTCACGAGTTCTTTCTGGTTCAGCTTCTATTAATTCTGGTTCATGAATATGTCTATGTCTTTCTACACGAATTTCTGTATTAGATTCTTTTTGTCTTTCTAGTCGTGTTAATCTCCTTATACGTGGATCATCTTCATCATGAATTCTGACTTGCGACTGTATAGGAATAGCTGTGGGAATTTCGTTTTCTTCGTAACCTTTATGTACTCGTCTTTCCAAGAAATCTTCTTCTTCAGATTCTTCTTCTGAACTAGCTGCTGGTGCATAATCTGGCCGTTTGCCAGAGACATAACGATGCACCTTTACTTTTTTCATAGAAAGTTCTCCTACAATGTAAAACTAATTTTTATTGTATAACGATTACTTAATGTCACATATTAATAATTGTTTCATTTACGAAAATATGAAACGGTACATATGTCATCATTACATTACATAATCAAACAAACATATTTTTATAATTCATTTATGATGAAAGTAAGAAATAAGTTTTGAATAAAATTGCTATTTAATTTGATTTAATGTACTTAGATTGTATTCATTTTGGAGTACAAAAAAATCACTGACACAATTAGCTTTAATATTATATAAAACCTACGAATGGAAAAATAACATTGGATTATTAACCTTTATCATTTTTTACAGGTACAGCGCCTGCTGTACTTTGAATTCCCATCGGTGCAGGTGCCAAAGAATTATTTGTAACAAAATAATCCATCATCATTTTGATAACTTATAAAATAGTTATTGAAAAAGTAATATACAATTTTAGAAATTGTGTGTTTTATTTTCAATCAACACCAATCCACCATTTCACTAAACCAGTGCCACCAGATTGCGCACCGAAAGCACCATGGACATGAGAAAGACAAACTGCCCTTTTTCTCGATTCGACGAAGCTGCCTGAAGTGAGCACGGTTACACTTTGGATCATTTCCAGGGAATCATTTTTTTGCTACTAAGCAAATATATACACAAGCCCAAGAGAAGTTAAACTGTTTTTAATAAATAAATAAATAAAAAAGATACTTTTCGATCTATTATATTTGGAGCGCCATCCATGGGACGTTGGAGCAACGAACTATTTCTCGACGAACTTGGGCGTTCTGCCATAGATGGTGGTATAATCGTAAAGTGGCGCGTACCTTTGAATTTAAACAAATCAGCTACGGAGTAAGTTTATTAAAATAGATTGACGTTGCTACTGCATGAATTTCGAGCGAAAAGAAAATGCTCACGTTTGTCTACTTTCTCGATTCCCTGGAAATGATCCAAAGTGTAACCGTGCTCACTTCTGGTAGCTTCTGAAAATTGGGAATGAGGAGAGGAGTGTCAGTTTGTCTTTCTCGACTTTCCGAAACTGTACGAACTCACGTGGTACATACGCGTGATCTAGTATAGTGTGAGAAAGTGGAATGATGAGTTCCCTGTGCACCGAGGGCTCCGTTTGGCATCACTGTCGGGGAGTCGAGAAAGACAAACTGATCGCTAACTCTTTATTTTTAAAGTACAGTATATTCTGTTGAGCAGAATTTGAGTTTAACCCATTAGACTAAGTTTATAATTATACATAATGTATTATTTAAAGTATAATTACGTGTGTAGCTTATGGTTTGTAATTATTCATATATATTTGCTTCTTCAAGCTACATCAATAATTAATATAATTTGCTTTTTCAGCATGAATAAATTTTATAAATTATACGTATAATCATTTCTTCAAAAGTAGAACAATGGTTAAGACTGATCAAAGATTACTTCGGCATAAGTATAAGGCCTATTATAAGATAGAACTAAATACATGCAGATTTTGTATGAAAGAACTATGAAATCTGTGAATATCAGGTAATTTAATAATGTATTTTTAATAGTGATAAATATTGTAAATGCAATGTTTTTAAACTATATTTATTTTGTTCAATTGTCGGTTTTATGAATAAATTTTGTGTAATTGTTTATTTATAAATATAATGTTATTGTACCTTTCTTCTAGAAACAGTGTATTTCAGAATTAATTATGTTGATCGCTTTATAGACAATATTCTTTTAAAATGGATATTGGAATTGTTAAAATTGCCGAAGATAAGGATTTTGAAAAATTGAAGCATTTGTATGATAGTAATAATGAATGGAAATTGGATTACAATAAACCTGATTTGTCTGTTTGGACAAAGTCTGTACCAGGAATTAGTTTTAAAATGGTAAAAGTATGTATGGTTTTGGTCATAATTAAATTTTTTATGTCTTTCATTCTCTACGCGTTTTTAATACTGTCTAAAATGTTTATAGATCAGAACTCGATTTCCTGATGTTTTGCCAGAAACTTTATATGATGTATTACATGATCCTGAATATAGGAAAGTTTGGGATACACATATGATCGAATCAAAAGATATAGGCTTTTTTAATCCCAACAATGATATTGGTTATTATTCTAGTAAGTATTTATTTTTATTGGCTGTATCTTTGTTTGTATGTATCTACAGATGGAAATTATTTAAAGAAAAATTAAATATATGTCATCTAGTGGCCTGTCCATCTCCATTGAAAAACAGAGATTTTGTTCTACAAAGATCCTGGCTTGATACTGGTGTAGAACAGTTGATTCTAAACCATTCTGTTTTTCATAAAGATTACCCACCAAGAAAGCAATTTGTACGAGCAACATCTTATCTCACAGGTAAACTTTGAAAATCAAAATATAAACTGTTAATTATTTGATTCTTTTGCACTAGTTTATTATTAAATCCCATAATTTAAGGATATATTGTAAGACCATCACGCAATGGTGATGGTTCTGAACTGGGTTATGTATCTCATACTGATCCGCATGGAAAGCTACCAGTTTGGCTAGTAAATAAAGTTACAGAAATATTTGCTCCAAAAGTGAGTTCCCCTATATTGATTCTACTAAAAATTTTATTCAGGTTGCAAATTTATTCACATGTATTTCTTTTATAGATGGTTAAAAAATTACATAAAGCATCGGTAGCTTATCCTAATTGGAAATTATTAAATAATCCAAATTATAAGCCATGGCATTTTCCTGAACAAATTGCAGCACCTCGAATTCGTATAGAAGATGTAAGTATGTACCTGTTTGTGTAATTTCAAATATCATAAGATAACAATATTTGATAAACATGTAATATTTGTAATTTGCAAGTATGATGAATATAAAATAATTTTATAGTGTGTAAAATCTGTAGAAGAAAGAAATTCAAAGAATCATGATGTTGATGAATCAGAATTGAAAGAGTCTGCTACAATGGATAGTGATTAGCTTTTCTTCAATAAGAAGGTATACTTTTACATTGCTAGGCTTAGAAAAGAATAGTTTCAACTATTAAATTCAGTATTACAATATTGCAGAGTCTCAAAAAATCTTTATAAGATTCAATTGATGCATAATATGTGTGTCTGAGCACATACACACTTACCTAATCAAATTTCATTAATACATTAAGTATTAAGTAATTTTTGCATGTATTTCTATTCACACAAAACGTCGCAGAGGCATTTGAGAATTATCATCAATATTTGTTCAAATCATGTGCAAATTAGAAACACTGAATTCTTTAATGGCATATTAATTATTTTACAATAGTTCCAATGAGATTAGTGCCATTCAGAACTGGAGACATATTATAGTTTATTTATGGTAAGTGTCTGTTATTGATAACCAACACGGTCTTAATGGAAAATCTGGCGTCGGTCATCAAAGATTGCTGTGGCATTCAACGTGTTAATTATGTTAGTAATAACAGTATTGGATTTATTGCTTTAGTGATGCTTACTGCAATGAATGACAGTGTGAGTAACGAAATATATTATGACCTGCGTCGCATTAAATACTAGTTATGGCGTGTTACTCAATTGAAGTTCGTATGTGTTGTTGAAAACGTAATTTATTACATACGCTACAACCTCATATATACATATAACGCACAATACGTAGGTCTTAATTATCAAATTTCTGTTTATGTGCATTTATGTAAATGAGTATATAAGTATTATACAAATACTATAATTTTTATGAGATGAAAATGGTCACTAATGGTACAAAACTTACATGTTGTCAACATTGAACATTTGTTCAAGTTATATCTTGGTGCAAAGACACCGATAATAGTGTTGTGGTACTAAAAATGTGATTTTGGTAATATCAGGGAAATCTCAAATAAATACAAAAGCAGTAGTTAAATATGGATAGCATTTTTGCGACAATTTCTAAAGAAAAAAAAAGAAAAATAATAGATCTTGAAATAATATTATTCGTTAAACTTAAAAAAATCAAAATTTATAACATACAATTAATAATCTATTTTTATTTAAATAAATACTATTTAGCTGCTTCATATTAAAAACGGTTACTTCTTGTTACACAAAATACTTAAAACGTCATCTACAGATTGCAATATATTGACTAGTTTCTTCAGACAATAGTTATAGATAAAGTAAACAGATTCGTCAACTAAGATAAACTCTCTTAGTTTTGCAACAGTAGTTTCCCTATTCAGAATTTTTTACATTTTTTAGAAGAAATGAAGGTATACAATATTTATCAATATTTATATTCTGCCTAGATTAATGCAATTACATATCCTAATTACACATGTTCGTCGACTGATACACTCAACGCTTATTATCAAATTCATCATTTTTCTGTATTTAATACAATTTCATTAAATATATATAAATTATTAAATTTGTACAATTACTGTGTAATGTTCAAAGTATATATAAATACTTCATGCATTTAATACTTAATTAAAAATTAAACTTTTACAAATTGTGTGACAAACGTTTAAAGAAAGTATACACAAATGTTATATTGTTATGAGAATGTGTTAAAATAGCGTAAAATAGAGAATTTTAAATGGTTAAATATTTATCTTTCATTTAAGAATGAGTACATAATTTTTTCAACTGATTCGTTCATGAATAATTTAAAATAATTTTGTGTCCTCATCTTTATTTCACATGTTATATACTTAATTAAACAGGTATTACTTTATGCTGGATCAGTAATTGCATTCAAGTATAATACTTCTCATCTATAGGTATAAATTCTTTATATGAATTCAGTATATTTCCAATACAACTTATAGAAATAAGTTCTTATTTTCTAAATTACAGTGTCAATTGAAAGACAAATAAATAGTTTAAAATTTCTCTATATACCTGTGCATTTTTAATTAACAGTTTAGCATTATACATACAGGGTGTTCCCGAATAACATATACAAGCGGGCGGGAGGTGATTCCTTATGGAAAAATAACAGAAGTAAAAAGAATGAATAATTTATTAAAAATCGAGTATGTCTATAATTTTATGCGAATTATTCTTCAACAATAGCTGTTCAATTTAATGTATTTCGTAGATTTCATTTTCTAACTTTATAGTTGAAATAAGATTTATAATATAGGTAATTACATTTATCTTAAATTCTGGTTTTCATAATTAAATTAGCTTATTACGAGTAAATTTATACATGCTTCCATTATAAAATGAATTGTATGAAATACATCAAATTAATAATACATTATACTAGTCAACATCGAAGAACATGTAGTTTTAACTATAACGTTCAAATTATGAGTTTAAGTTTATTTTTTTGTTATACTATATTTTTTAAAACTGTATGTATTGTATTAATATACACTTTTCTTGGTATTCATAAACATAATTATAACACAAGTTTTACAAGTACCGTAAAACCTTCGTATCCGCGGGAGTTCGGTTCCAAGCCTTTTCGCGGATAATAGCAAACTCGACGTATTGTATGTATATACTATACTTATACATCTATAATAAAGTGTTATTATGAAGATTTGTAAAATACAATAAAGCAAATAATAATAAAAATAACCGATAATAAAATATAACAATTATTATATGAATGATATATGTAATATAAAATATTATTTGAATGTAGGCCCAGTTTAAGATAAGTATTGTATATTAATCTTAGAAACCCTGTTTCATCGAGCGATGAAGCTCAATGGTAGAAAATTCTTTTGAAGAAATCTTTTGTAAAAGCATAGTGATCGACAATAATTTTCTTCGCTCCAATTGTTTATAATGGTATTGTGAAAGTTCAACACATCTATAATCTCATTCGTATAACTTTAATTTTTTGTTTCATAAGAGGATCCGCATTCGACGAGTTTGTTGTTTAACATCCACACTGTTTCTTCTTCTTTTTTTATTGTCACTAGACTGCAGATACGGAGGTTTTACTGTACTTAAAAATTGACGTTGAAGTTTCTAGTTTCTAATATGTGTCCTATCTCGTCAGTATTTGTGATAATACTATATCTACTACTGTTGCGTAGCAGTATATATTCTGAATTTATTTTTTTCATAAAATACTGTATGAATGTGACATAAACTTGTTAAAATTGTTAATCACTTAATTATTCATGAAATTTTTCTCTTTCATTCATTATTATCCTCAATTTGTGAAAGCGTACAGATTTTGCTACAGAATTGATTATAAGGTTAAACATTACAATATCAAGATAATTTGTAATATAAAACGTTATTTTTATTTTATTCTTATTTTAATAGCCACATCATATGTGATAAAATAACTGTACAAGTATTTTATTCCATAAAGATTACTGTTTAAAAATATACAAGAAATACAGAGTAATTCTAAAATAATGCCAGAATATTTTCAAACTTTTTTTTACAATTCAAAACAAAGAAAAGAACTTTATTATGGGTATAAAAAGTGTATAAATATATGTTATGATTACTTTGTTAGCTGAGGTATAAAATCTGCCTAAAAATTTATCGACATTACTTTAGAATTCTCATGTACTTATAGTTACAATGCGAATTTTATATACATAATGTGTACCGTTTGAAGTATTTCTATTCTCTCAGAAAGTAGTAAGGATAGTGAAAAGATTTTTTGTGCAATATTGGGATATAAAGGTACCTTTTATATGATGTACAAAAAATTTGTTTTGCAATCTTTAATACTTCCCAAGAAAATAATCCTGTCAGATTTCAGACAGGACACTCTGTATATTAGATCTATATTTTGATCAAACTCTTTTAAATAGTCTGATTCTTCAATGTCGTTAATTGTTCTGTATATTCAAGATATAATCTTTGCCAACGAAGGTGTCCACCAACAACAGACAACAAATCTTCCAAAAGTTTATGCTTTTTAATCCCCTGTTGAAATGAAATAATGATGTCGGTAGTTACAATGAATGTATTATTATTTCGATGGCTGACATAATAATGCTTAAATAATGACTTACCAGGGAAATACACTTGGGATATTTCCCCTGTTAATTATAAGGAAAGTATAAAATAAAAAATATTAAAAGTAATACCAGTATCAGAGGATCCCATATACTTTTAGAAGCTGATGTGTGACTTGGTCCTAAAAGTTCATCCAATATTAACCTCAGCCGTTTCTCCAATCCATCTGAAAACATGCTAATTTATAAAATATAGTAAATAAATAAAAGATTAAAAGATAAAAATACACGCACACCTTGAGTTAATAGAAATGATACTAAGGCTATGAGCCAATGTACATATTCTTGAGTACTTCCAAGAGCTTTAGAAGCGAGTAATTGTTGTTCCAAATAAGATACAACACTTGGAGCACTATGAGGTAATCTTGGATTAGGTAAAGTATGTCCAGCTGTTCTAAGTAATCCTTCTTGTAAAGAAGAAAGTGGACCCCTGGGAACTCTGCTTCCAGATGTACTTGCTGCATTGAACGATGCCCAACGCCATACAGGGTCTTGACTGTCACCAATTAATAGCCATGTACCTAAACGTGTGTTAGTATAATTTATTATGTTTACTAAAATTTATTCGAGTTACAATTGACTATAATTTCTATACCCATTTCTTTATGGTATATGTATGCTCTGGCATTGGTAAAAGCCAAGTGTGGCATTCCATTGTATAAAGTGCAAGATAATAAAGAGGTGCCAGGTACTGCTAAATGTGCAGCAGAAGTGGAAACTATCATTCTACAAGAATATCCAATTTCCCAAACACGTACAGCCCCGCAGCTTGAAATAACCATTACCTAAAACATTAATAATCGGTGAACAATGATTACATTTAAATAATAATAATTCATTATTATTATTATTATTATTATTATTTGTTTTTTAAAATAAAGAAATCGTAATACTGCATTTCCAACTGCATGAACTTTTGCGAGTGGTGCAGGTGGTGCTAAAGGTGGTGCCGGTCGACATCCTTTTGCAGGATGAAACGTGTGAAGGCTACCATCCTCCAAACCAATTGCTATAACCGCTGGCGATGCTGCTAAGGCTACTGCACTGTATCCCAAATACAGATTCCAAGTTGGCTCAGAATCTGTACCTTTAAATACTTGCAAATGAGCTAAACCTTGGCTATTAGTTACTGTTACTGCATAGTGTCCAGCTTGTTGAGACAATGAACTGGATGGCTTTAGTGGAGGAAGTAATATTTGATTTGTATTTCTTTCAGATGTAATTTTTGGTTTCTTATTAAGCGAAGTGTGATGTGGTTTTGGTGTAGCTTGTTCACGACGCTTCAAAGTAAGTGTGGACGATGGTGTGTTCATGTTAATTAAATTTATAGAAGTAGTAACATTAGGCGCTACAACGTCATTTCGTTTTTCTATAACAATTGAACTTTTAACTTGACTTGTAAATGTTGGTGTTCCCAATCTACCACTTGGCGAGTCCCTAGCAATGTATAAAAATAATCGATTTAATATTAATTATATTTAGAAGTTGTTCTTTCCTTTCCTTATGAATAATGTAGATTGGCTTACATTGTGTCCGATGGAGGCGGGATAAACATTGGTGTTATCCGCCTTTTGCCATCCGATGTCCTTGTTTCAATTTGTTTATTAATAGGACCCTTAGCAGGAGTAGTTGAAGTATTAGCAGGCGGATATGTTGAATTTGCACTTGCTGGTGTTTGAGTTATTTGAGTCGATGGTGCTGATGTTTTTAAATTAAGAAGTTCAGGTGCTTCCATTACAGTACAACCACCTTGAACTAGAGGTTTACCATACAAACGTTCATGAAGACTACTCTACGATAAGAAAATGCAAATTAACTAAATAATGATTAGATTAATGTAAATTGTATACATATATATAAATTATTTAAATATAAAATGTTCGTGTATATAAATATTCTAAATTATTTATGTACAGGATACTTACTTGTTCAGCAGGATCCAGTGGTTGACCTAATTCCTGTTGCGTAAATTCAATAATTACAACAGATCCGTCCCAAGAACAAGCTGCTAATCGTAGACCACATGGTGACCAACTAGCGTCTAAGACAGAGTGTGTAAACAATTCATGTATTACTACTAGAGGCCTTTTTAATGAAGTTAACCATACGGAGAGAGAACGGTCACGAGAGCCTATAGCAACACAGCAATATTGCTGTGGTTTAGAAGAACCTGGTTGCTTCTTTTGTAAAATATTGCCATTAAATCTCTGCAATAAGTAATAGAAAACTTGTTAATAAATTAGGTGTCCAATAAATAAATACTTAAACTGTAAATACATAAATCATATTTGTTATACATATTTTTTACACACCACACATGTGACAGCTTTACGATGTCCAACAAAATCCTTGTCTTGGGTCCAACCGTCTCTCTCAATTATTTGTGCAGTTGGTCCTCCACCATTCATTGCATGAGCCGATACTAAATATTGACCGTCTGGGCTCCAAGAAAGTCTTAAAACATGAGTGGTTCCTCCACATTCGTCAAATGGTTCTGATATCAAAGCTGCTTCTGTCCAATCTGTAGTGCGCCATACACGTAACGTTTTATCATCAGATTGAGAAGCTAAATATTTTCCTACTGGATCCCATGTAATTCCTTTTACAAATCCTGTATGACCTTTCAATACAGCTACAATAGCTGGAAATTTTGAAGCATCCCATACAATTACACTGTTGTCTACTGATGCAGAAGCTAACCATGGGCTATGTGGTGCCCATGCAAGATCAAGTACATCAGCCTCGTGTGAACGTAATGTAGCTATGCAACGCCATGTCTCAACACTAGATTTTCCACCAAATAAAGAACTACCACCTGATCCACCAGACAACCTCCAGATCATAATTAATTTATCTACACCACCTGATGCTAATAATCCATTATTACTCCATCTGACACAATTGACACATGCTGTAGAAATAATAAATTTATTAATACCATATACTACATGCTTCAATAAAATATATTCAATGTATCGGAAATTCATACCTAGATGATTATCTAATTGGCACAACATTTTTGGAATATTCTCATCTAATTCTGCAATTTCATTAATTACTGGTTCCATATTCCATATAACGACTCTTCCAGAATCTCCACCTACAATTAGAAAAGTAGAATTTATATGTAATGTAAAAACTAGAAGAAACATAAATATAATACTATGTTTATTACAAAAATTAAATATAAACAAAAAACATTAGTACCTTGACCACCAGTTGCAAACCTTTTCCCGTCTGGATGTATATCCACGGAAAATATTGAGTACCCTACAAAATAAATCAAATATGTATACTTCAATGATAAAGAACGAAACAAATACGCCGAAATAAAAAACTTTATACAAACCATCGTGTGTAACCCAATTTGGTTTTACTAGTTTCATACTTTTTCTATTTAATAAAACTTGGATCAATAGAATTGTTACTTTGCAATTCTTAATTTATAGTTCATTTTAAGTACGTTAATATTTAACAAGAACTTTCATTCGTGTAAACATAACACTTTGTAAATATCATAACCTTAAATTGAAAAACAAATATGTACGTATGTATAAATTTCCATGCCGGTAATATATTTAATATATTTAGGGCAGTATTCATGAATTTAGGTGAAGTCTTGACCACGTTTAAAATGGGGTGCGTTCGTTTAGTGTTTTCAATGACAAAATGCGATTTAGTAACAATCTACTAATACAAAATATATAACAATATGATTTTTAATTTCATCAATTTATTGATGTAATTATAATTATATTTTCATACATTTTGTATTAGTAAATTCTTATGGATCGTACAAATATCGTTTACAAAAGTATTATGTATTACATAGATCCATTGATCCCCTAGGGCACATTACAGCATTAAACCTAGAAATACTTTGCTGTGCTAAAATTTAGAATAACATTCGAATTAACCAATAAGAGTTCAGAACAATCGTTATGCCTCTCTAGGTTTACGGTTTATTTACAGACTCTTCTGTGGAGTACATAATACAATACACTAATTCGTAAGTGTTATTGAAAAACTAACGGAAATTGACTGCCTCTGGTTGGATATACTTTTAATGAATTAATATTTAATTTAAATTTTAAATACTATCGAATACTAAAGAATATATTTCAGTAAGAGAGATAATCATTGATTAAGACATGGCGGAAGTAAGGAAGGAAAGAATGAAGTACCTAGAGAAGAGATGGAAAAATGCATCAACTACTATCCATAAACCCACTGCACGTGTCATCGAAGGTTGGAATGATAGAGTTTTAGCTAAACTAAAGGAGAAAACGCATTTCCCTCCTTAACTCCGTTTTCTCCTCCATGTGTGGAGTGTTTAAAGATGTGCGAAGCCGGTTTAATTAAAGTATTACTGCATACATCTAAACTGTTCATTATCTTAGCATCCGAATTTAGAAGATCTAATCTGCCCAACTCTCCTAATCAAAACATAGCGGCAATCCCAGAAAAATACCAAGGAGAAGGAGTTCGGGCAGCCAAATGGGCCAAAACTGTAGCGAACAATATGGAAGACGCAAAATACATTGGGGGTATGCAATATACGAAAAAGCAGAGGCAATGAAGAAAGATAAGATATTAGAAGAAAGAATGAGAGGTGCAGCCTGGTGAGATTACCAGTCATCAACAACATTCATTCAACTTTGTATTTGTTAACTTCAAGTTTTCGAACTTGTCGTCTAATTTTTAATGTTAGTGATAGTTAGGGATTGTTCCATAACTTTTAATATTAAAATGTTTTAGTTTGCATAAATCGTTCAGATTTATATTAATTATATACTTTCGAACTATATATACACTCCTTAAATATTTTAGATCATAAATATATATTTACACACGTGCACGCATACACACACTATTTATATTTTCATAAGAAACTTTCAACTGGCACTTTCAGTACTATTTACATGACATTTAATAATTATTTTGTTACATTTTTTAAAACACTAAAAAATAAGTTAAATGTAAATTCATGAAGAATATTTTAACAACATGACATGTGAATATAATAAAATTATTTGTTAGGCAATACGATTTTTATGAAATTTTCGAATTTTATTGACACACAAAGTATTAATGGCCGTAAAAATAGAAAAGATGCAATATCTTCAAATAAGATGGATTCATTTTTATAAAAAAAATTACTATACATAATAATCTCATCGAAGATACAAAGCATTATTATAGTGGCATTTTTTATTTCATTAGTAAGTATTATTAAACTCTTTACATATTTTTGTCATTATAATGAATAACTAGTAGAACTCTTAACTTATACATCCATTCATTCAAGCACGCGTGACAGACCATTCCATAACTATGTACTCTACTCACAACTATGTCACATGATCCCCGACAACTTATAAGATTAATGCCATCACTCAACAGTTTACAAAATCTATTTGTTAATTCTTCTCCAAGCTGAATGAAATTTCAAGGAGAGCAAAGGAGCCTTCCATCCATCAATCTTCTTTAAAAAAAACCACAGAAAATTGTGTCGACTGCATCGCGACCATAAACATATTTAAAGTATTTCTATTCGCTGTGCATTGATCAGAAAGTAAATTGCAATACCTTCTCTAATATCTTGTCAATTTGGAATCTTATTATAGACTTCAAAAACTGATGTAGTTACTTGTATTCATCTTAAGATCAAAATTTGGATGTAATTCTTTTTTATAAGAATAAGATATGCACTATTATTTGCTTCTTACAAATGCATACTTCTGTTTTTAACGTTGTTTATCGTAATTCGTTGTTGAATTACTTTTAATATTAATTTCGAAAAAATCTGTTCCTTTTGCTTGCTTTCTCAGAAAACATGTTCTAGTCAATCAAAGATTGGTTCCATAACAAAAGAGATACACGTGTTGTATCAATTTTGTATCTTAGCTGTACTTATTTACGTCCAAAATCACTTATACTGTAAAAAGTTTTTGCTAAATTTAAGACTCTCTTATAACAAACGAACAGCTTCTAAAACATTTAGTTGCAGCTTTATTTTAGATACGACTATTACTTCGATATCTTACGACTTTTAAGCACTTTCCTCATTACAAGTAGTCTTATCACATACGAGTATGTATGTTTAAATACATTCTGTAACTTATTACATCTATGCATACAAATAATTTCCTGCGATGAATGTTTATAAAGTATACCACGAATAGTTTGAAAAATGCCGTCAAATTTTTGTTTGTTTGCAATACCGGTTGCAAATAAATACAGCCTACTAATAAAGAAATCAAGTTACATTGATTCTCTCTTTTTTTTCTGATCCTCCTGTTGTAGTAATAGCGGCCTGACTTGAGACCCGAGTCGCATAGTATCAAATGTAATGGCTTCAGGGTTTCAAGCAGAGCTACTTCGATTCACTTGTATGATACAAATCATTGACGTTTCATTAAAATGCAGTAACGGTATACACATCTGTTACATTTCTGTTGTGACATCTGTTTTTGCTCCTATCCACTTCGAAAAAAAAGTGCGATATCGGCAGTGAATATTTTGGTAATGATGATGATGACATCCACGAACGAATAACTTTGATGTATATGAGAGATTTTTAAATGTAAATCATGAGAAACAATTGTTAATTTCCGAACAGAACCAAGCATTTTATACATTTTTTTTTGTCACATTTTCACGCAGTTTTTTTTTTATGAAATTTATTATAATATCTATTTAGTCATTACTACCTTCACAATTCTTTTTCTTCTATAGATCATGTTCCAATGTTAAACATGTATTCAATCGTATTACCATGCGTCAAAATTATTTGTGATTCGTAAGTTAAAGCACCTGTGGCATTTATTGGGGTGGAGGCAAGCTCGAACGATAAGAACATTTGCCTTTCTTTGAAGTTTGGATTTCAATTTTCATTAAATTTTTCGAATTATAGTAAAAAATATGTAACTATATAAATGTAACAGAAAAGAGCAGAACATAATTAGCTAAAATCAATTTGCTTTAATTTCAGATATTAAAAATATTAGTCAACATTGATGTTGTTTGATGTAATACTATTCTTCACATTTTAGAAAGGATATATTTATGGAAAATGTTTTGTTGATTATTTTTGTTATTTATATTCAGTCAAATATGAAGATCACTTCATACATTTATATCCTATTTAGAAAACTGATAGCTGCTATATGTCTGTAATTCAGTAGTTGCTTCTTTTTTTTTTTGTATTAAATCTGATTAAAGAAATATTTTGTGAAATGGAGAAAGAAATGTAATAGAAGGAAAAAGTTCATGTAAATCGACTTAACTAATTTCTCACCACTGAACGCAGCATTTAAAATGTGCAAAATATTTCAGCTATTAAGATATTTATTTCGTCAATTTAATTTGTTAAATATAAAAAAAATAAACTGCTTCACTTTGAACATATTTCTGATCGATCTATGCGTATATAGGGATTATCAGAGAAGTGAAACCCTAAACAAATATTATGTTTGACATTTCATTTAATTTACAAAATTCCTCTGTATGACTTGCAATGTATCATATATATATATATATATATATATCTATATCTCTATATATCTATATATAGTAATAATAATAGCATTATCGTACAACTTTATGCAGATAAAAACACACATATATGTGTAACATACTCTAAATCTGCCGAAACAATACTATTTTATGTATAATACGTACTAGACATCGCTAATTGAAATGTAATCTATTTTGGAAAACAGTTTTACTCAGGCTTTTCAATTTAATATACATACAGATATCATACATAATATTGTTATTTTTTGCATTACAGTACGATTATCAATTAATCATAATATAACGGTTATTATGTGACATGCATAATCCACTTTATGTTATAGTTTGAAACAATCTAGAACAATAAAGATATAACTTACAAATAAGACATTGCAAGAAAATTTTGTTTTACGTAAACATGAAATACAATGTTAATATGTATTATCATGTTTCATTTATATCAAATGCTTTTAAAGTTTCTTTTATACATTTTTCAATATTCTTAATAATTTTTTTATTATGCTCGTTTTGTAGAAAATATTATTTACTAGTATCAATACCAGTATACAAATGCTAACTTTTTTTATTACATTAAATAGTATTGTTTAGCACACATTCACATGTTACTTACAACAGAAGTTTCAATTCTATTAAAATTGCATAACAGACAAACAATTACCACGTTTCGGGCTTACCTCCTTAACAAGAATGTTATATTTTAAACTTGGTTTTAAAAAGTATATAATGATGCATATCCATTTCGATGGTAATGGTGGTACACATTGTGGGAAAAGTTGCAGATTAAAGGATACAATAGTCTCTGTAACAATGTTTCTCATTGAGATGTGCAGGAAGCAAGTAACGAGATCGACTGGTGATTCAATCCTGCATCTCTTCTGGTATTTCATGAGGATTAAGTATTCCTGGAACTGCCATTTGTTGTCGCCTTTTCTCTTCTTGAGCTAACTGCAAAGCATTTTCTCGTTCTTCTAAATAGAGATCAGAATCATCTTCGCCTGTGTATTCCTTAAAACAAAAAATACAATACGTAACATGAACGTATAATAGAAAAAAATGATGAAAAAAACATGAAAAAATAATAGAAAGCATCATTATCACTTACTCTAATTTGAACAAGAAAATCTCTAAGATGTTCCTTGAATGCAGGGATGTCTTGATCAAGATTGAATAAACCTTGTACAGTAATTTTAATCTGATTATCAGTCAAATGTGGGAACGCGGCTTTTAGCAATCTTGCAACAAATTCTTGAACATATAATGTATTATCCGGTACAGGTCCTAATGGTACCTGAATTCGTCCGAGTTCAACCAATGAAAACATGTATGCCAAAATAGTAGCATGCATGGTAAGACCTAGGTAATTGCGATAATAAATTAATTTTATAAAGAATAATGAAAAAATAAAAAGTAAAATGATTCGACTAGGAACTGTTCTTTCTTATATATTTACCCGCTATATGAGACGTGTCTGTTACTACGCTGAATATGTGTTGAAGAATATCTGTGAAATATGTTTGATAGAAACTCTGAGCAGCTAGCTCATGTTCAATATTTTGCAAAAGTTGATAAAGTATTTGTAACCCTGTATCTGCAACATTTCTCATTGTATGTTTGAAAGCCCAAATTATTGAGTCAAGAACAAGTTTAAATTGTGCTGGTGGAATTGAGAGAAATGCAGGAAAACAGTAAACATTCACGGCCTAAGATAGAAAAAAATTTGAAATATAGAATACGTGTTACAACGACGACTAATATTATATATACATCTACCTGTAGGAGTAAAAAGAAATTTGTTCTATGTTCCGGAAATTCTTCAAAATCTTTGTTAATCATTTCTAGAGTACATTCAAACACAGCATCAAATATTTTCGGCACTTCACTCGTAATGTGACCTTCTAATCTGTTTACGATAGTGGCCATAGCACTCAGTACTTCTGGTTCTCGAGCACAATGAACATTCGTTTTTTGATAATCCAACAACACAGCATCCAATAATGGTGGTATGAAGTTTTCTAAAACCTGATAAATATACGCAATAAATTAAATTTAGGTGTCTTCTGCAGTGTGCAACACATATTTTAACATATGCACATAAACAAAAAAAATTTTACCATTTGATGGTCAGTTGTTCTGCTAACCCAATCTGAGATCAACTTTAATGTTTCTTTTTTTACTACTCTCATACTCTTAATTAAAGACTGTTCCATTACCATTTCACCATTCAAAGCTATTGCAGCACTTATATTTTCACTCATAACCTAAAGAAAGGAATCAAGCATTAATTTATTCATTAAAAAATTAAGTATATTACTGGATTTTATAAATATACCTTATAAACGTTCAACATATCTAAATATATTCGCCCTAATTGTATTACGTATGGATGTCCAAGAGCTTTACAAGCTCTAACATTTGTTTTTAAAATGCTAGCTAGTTGTTTTACAGCTTCTTGGTCTTTCAACACATCTACATTCTAAAAACAAAGTGTGTTAAATGAAAAAATAATAAAAAAAGAAAATTAGTAGGTGCATCGATAATTTTTTTTATGTTACATATTACTTACTTTAGATGCTTGACTTATGATATCATCCCAAACTTGATTTGGTAGAAGCATATAATTCTCTATCAATTGTTCCTGAACTACTGTGTCTGTCTGTGCACTTATCATGTAACCAACTGCTTCGTAAAATGTATGAACCTAAAGTACAGTTCAGTAAAATTTAGTAACACATTTTTTTATTTGATGTACAATTAACACTAGATTTACGGAATCCGCCAACTTGACGAGCTTCAGATACCATTCTTAAATTTACAGAACGCATAACTATTCTTTGTTATTAGTAATTTATGTTGACTTGGATGTAACGATATGAACTTAACAGATTAATAACAAAAAAGGATTCGTAGTAAACATGGGTCAAAAAATTAATATTCTCAGAATTATAAATAATTTTCTATTTTGGTTGAAGCGCGCGACTTACTTGATTTAATATTTAATATCTAAATCAAAATTTCGATGAAAGATATATAGGATGTGATGGAACAATCCCATAGCCTCCTCGATCACTCGATTTTTTCTTTGAAGATTCCTTACAAGTATGATGTACTATTTACCGGTAAATAACACAAGCGATCCACATGAGCGAATAGAAAATGCCTGTCAAGTTGTGTGAACAAATCCGAGGAATTTTTAAAAAGTTTGAATTCTCTCGTACAAGGATGTGAAACGTGTGTTGGAAATGGGAGGAGGAGACGTGGAAAATCTTCTGTAAAAGTCAATAGAAAAAAAGATAAGGTAATCGCTTATTGACTCTAACATTAAACAAAAAATTGTTTATTATTTCAAGAATATTAATTTTTCAACCCATGTTTATTAGGACTTTATTCCTCCATATAGCGAGTACTATCTGTCTTGCAAGTCCTGAACATTTTTTTCTTTTTTAAGCGCTTTGTATATTTTAATTAAAAGAAAAAATGTATTTTGATATGACCATCAATATGACAAGTTTTAATAAAAATATGTTCAATGTCCATGAATCTAGTATTAATCCTAATTAAAATATCGTTCTAATATCTAGATTAAGAGAATAATGCGTCAAATTTGAACGAGTATATTGATACTTTTTATGAATAACATATATATATATATTATCTCCCAGTTTGTTTCTTTCGCTAAATTGTTTTACCTGCTGTGTTTGAAGGTCACAGATGATACTACTAATAGTAGAAAGAATTTCTTCAATAAATGGTACTGGTTCCCCTAATTGTACTGTAACGAAATGTCGCCTACATTTTATTGCTATTTTTATAAACGTGTCACAGGCCATATCTTGCACACCATCATGGGTTTCTGTAACAAATATTTATTAATTATTTAAGGGGCATCTTCTACAATATTATTTATCGTATAAAAGAAAAAAAATCATATTATAAAAAATATCATCAGGTTCTTTACTATTCTATTTTAATTATTCATATATTTGTTTGTTCCTATACTATAATACATCAAGTATAATATAATGTTCTTACCATGCATAAATTCAAACAGTTTATTTACAACAGTCTTTAAAAACTTCCAATGTGCTCTGAGAAATCTTGGATATTGCCCGACGACATACATAATATTACTAGCAATGATGGCTTTATTATCTTTACCCTTTTTTTGTTCACAAAGGCCAAGAAGATCTTTGATCACAGTTACTAAAAATCGCTTTTCATCTTCCTCGTGCATTGCACCAGAAATACTACCTATTGCCCAGCATAACTGATAAAAATATTACAAAAATGGTTAGCATAAGATTATACTGTTATTAAACGTTATTGAAACATTTTAAAAATACTTACAGCATTAAGATTCTTCCAAGACCATTCTGTACCATTTACTTGATTTTGTAGTTTCTCTGTCATTATTCTTTCAGTATCTACATAGTCAAGGTGAGTAAGATACACAAGAGTTTCTCTCATATTTTTGTATAAATTAATAGAATCAGTATCCTTCATAAATTCTCTGACAACTTCCCCATTTTCATTTTCTACAACAAGAACTTCTTCTGGTTTAGCCATTCTACTGATCATAATGTATCGCACTTTTGTCAGAACTGGACAGTAGAATAATTTTCTAAGCGGAATTGCCACATTTTTAGCCATAAACAGTGATTGATTTACAAATGGATTTTCTTGATATAAATCAATTGCTAATGCGCTCCAATATTCCAAACAGATTTTGAAGATTTCAACTTCTTCGACTTCGGAAATCAAGACGAGATAGTGTAATGCTTTGAGTAGCATATCATTTAACTGTTTCTTCTCTATAAATTGACCATGTTCCTTTAAATATGTGCAAAGAAATATAGCTAAATTTTGAATGAAGTTTTGTTCTTGATCTTGACCGACTGCGTATGCTTCACGTATATTAGTGTCAAGCGGCAGAATTTGTTCCAACTGGCGCATTACACTAATAAATAACATTACAAACGCGTCATTGTATGATGTTACTTTGACAGCGGCGATTTCGGTCAAGCATTTTAATGTGACATTTCTGAATATTGGTACATTCAAGAACTGCAATCGGAATGACAAAGATAATCGTGTTAAAATACAGTTATACGTATTAGAAGAAATGTTTTAGTTACCTTGAATACTAAAGTACTTATCAATTTTGTTTCAAAAATATACCCAAGGGGAATCCAATTTAAAAACCTTAAAAGAGTTTCTAACGTAACTGCTACGAGTGGAACATTTTGTGAATTATCCAATACAAATTGACAAAGTTCAAAGATTTGTGAGAATTCACTACACATTGTATCCTTTAAGTGTTTTGCTTTTGTTTGTGTCATTTGTCCACTAGAAAAGTCAAATACTTCTTCTGACAATAATTTCAAAATTGTCATATTGTTTTGACAAAGACTTTCGTTCGTTTTACTTGCTCCAACAATGTCACCAATAAAGGACTCCCAATTTTTTGGCCATTCTCTTTTTAAGACCTATAACAATAAAAATATATTTCATAAAAATGTTAAACAAGACTTGTTTTCTTAAATAGCTTACCTGAACTAAAATCATATTAAGTTTATTAAGGTAAACTTTAGAGGCTTCCATTGTTTCTGGTTCGCTACTTGTTTTTATGATAAGGCCTACAATATACTTTTTTATACCTTCACACTGATTTCGTGGTAATACTTTCCATCGAGTCTTTATTACTTGTTCCAATATTTGTAAAGCATAATACTTTGTTTGTTGGTACTATATATATATATATACACACACACATATATATATATGTACATATATACATATATACATACATATATACATAAACAATTATACATCAGTAAAGAGATTCTATTATCCTTTTGAGAAACAATAATTCTGAACAGGAAAAATTACCTGTGAATATTCTAGAATTGTATCTACACGTGTCCATGCACTTGGATGTTCTTTAAGTGTGGTTAATACTTCCTGTGCAACTCTCTGTTGCTCACCTATCCCAGTATACATACAACCTACTATGTTATCAAGAAGCGTTATGTCCAGCTTCTGATTGAAATCCAAAAGCTTAGATGCTTGTTCTGCTAAAGTTGCCATTATTTATTATAAACCGTCCAGCTTCCATACACTCTATCTGAAAATAATTAGAATCTATATAATAGTTTAATATTCATTAAAATTGAACATATAGTACATCGAATTATAATTGAACATAAATATTACAAAGTACCATGTTTACGGATACTAATATAGAGGAAAATATAGTGAATAATAAAAAAAAATCAGATAATTTGGTACAATTAAACGAAATAAACATTTTCAGAATTATGTCTAAAAATATAATTGAAACCATAAAAGGAAATCAATGTTTACAGTTGATGAACATGTTATACTTTGAGCATTGATTCAGTGCTGATTGTTTAATTATTTTTAACAAACCGTTTTACATTGGTACAATTCTATAGGAAGAAACACTATAAGAATTTGTAAAAGGCATCAGTATCAACTAATTGTTTAGCTTCAGTTCCAAAAATGTTTTACTTTTCTTTGTAACAAAGTTCGAATTATTTATAAAAATACTGTATAGCGTAAACGATTAAACTAAACAGAAGCAATAATAAACGAGGAAATCGCTATTAACGTGTAGCGAGGGAGGTCACCGCACTGCGACCGCTCGACCTAACCTACATTTGACAATCGCAAACAAGGTTATGTGGAAATTTATTATGCGCGATGTTTATAAATTAAACGTGTAAAAATATTTTTCATAATATATTTAATCAAGTATGAGCAAACGATGATAAAAGTGTAAATATATCGGTAAACAAATCATTGGAATTCGTAAGTTTTTGTTGTCCGGGTGCACTTTACTCATTGCGTCGTTGTCCAACGAATAAATGTATCGTAAACGACATTTGAACATACCGCATCAACTCCCACACGTAGATTTTCGATTCTTAAGTAAAAAAACACACGTCTCGCATCAGCAATCACAATCTCTCGCAATAAATCACAAGCAGAAAAAGGCTAAACACACAACAACCGCTGATTCCCGCGCGCGACCAATTTCGTTCCTCGTTTCACACACTCTCGCTGTTCCTCGCTGTTTCGTTCTCTCTCTCTCACTAACTTTCGCACGTTCTCTCGCTCGTCTCTCCTGTCTCTGCTGCGTTGCGATGATCGTCAGCGAAGAAAGTTCCGTACTTGCGAATGTACGATACCCACCGAGGCTGTTCTTCGTTGTAACTTTGTTTCTTAAATCTCATACGAATTTCTTCTTCTTTCCCTACAACTTTTAATGAGAAACGAGAAAACTACCCGCGTACGTCGTCCTTAAATCCAACCTAAAGATTTTCGAAAATAATAACAAAATGGCTGAACACGTTACGCGGACCATTGCGGAGAAACGGGCTACACCATTGGTCCTAACAATCTGTTTTGTCCAATCAGAGAAATTCTAGCGATTGTTTCTAAACCTCGCAAATTACGTCACGTGATGTCATGCAACACGTGTTCTCCATTTTGACTTGAAATGTATGTACTTACATACTACCTACCTAACGTTTCGTATGAATAAATGATCCGTATCTATATTCCCTACATAACTCTGTCGATTCGTTTAGACCTTTGCATGATTTTTTCTTTTCGTTACTCGTATCGCATTATCGATATGATAAGAATAGTGTCACTGTTTACCAGTGTTTATTTTTGACAAATTGCAAATTCGTAAACGAAGACTTTCTGCAGTATATACTATCTTGTTTGCAAACATACGAAAATTCCTCGTGTATTGTCTTTTTATTAGACATGTATCTTAAATTGTCAATGGCTTATTCACTATAAATGGTACATAGATATTTTCAACATCGCAGCGGGGAAAATTATAAATTGGTGAAATAAGTGGATTCGATATAATCGATTAGGTATGTCTTGTCAGATTAAGGGAATTGCAAATTTAACCAATACAAGCAATATTAAAGAGGTACTTTTTGGTGATTCTACTAGAAAATGTGAGTTATATTCTTTTCTTTTGTCGTTTAAAGAAAAGATGTATGACATACGTCAATGTTAATAATTTTTCAGTTGACATTCCACAGGATGAGTTACCGCTTCAAGATTGTTTCGTATCACTGTCATCTGCAGGAGATATACTTGCTATGGCATATAATACAAAGATGATTATATTAATTTGTACGTATTGTTTTATATATGTACATATGTTCTTTGTTTAATTATCTTCTAATCTAGTGTATTTCTAAAATGAAATATGTGTAATTTGCCTAATAAATAAGAGTAAGAAGCTTCAAATTTAAAACTACGAATGCAATAATATTTAACGTTATAATTTCATGTCAGCAAGGTGGGATTCGTTAGAACCAGATGAGACAAAAACTAAGTTTCATATGGTATGGTATGGGGAAGTTGTAAAAGAGCCAAAGTGAGCTATTATTACAATAATGTTCTGTTGAATTTTATTTCTTTAAAATTTCAAGTGTCTGTGAAAATATGTTCATACATTAAAAGTTCTTTTTAGCGAATGGATAACGTCTGTGATTTGTTTACCTTTATTGTCATTGGGAAAAATTAGCGGTGGACCTAATCCAGATTGGACATGTATCGTAGTCGGTTTTAATACTGGTTTCATTAGGTTCTACACAGAAGTAAGTTTTAATTTCCATTTATTATTATTAATTTTAAATATGTATTCGAAACTGAATACTTTGGTGTAAAAATATTTATCTTTGATATAGACAGGTGCATTATTGTTAGGGGAACAGTTACACAACGAGTCTGTCATAGGATTGAAATGCCAGTCTTTTCGTTCAGCTAAACATTCAGGAGACGTTAGTTTGGCTGAAGAACTACATGTAATTTATAATAATGTTGTATGTATATTGCAAGGTTTTCCTTTGTTTTCAACATTACGTGCATGCCGAAATCATTTGGCCAGAGGTATAGTAATATAATTGTTTCAGACATTAACAATTCTAATTATGCACATTTTATACTTTAATAATAGTCTATAATTACAGTTCAAGCAAATTGCGATGATTTACCACCCATCACAAATTTATCGTATAAAAAATGGGGTTACAAAAATCAGGATATCATAAATGATTCAGAAGTAATCGGCACCACTTCTGTAAATAGTTTTGATCATTTAATGACAGCTTCAATATGTGGTGGATATCATGCATCTTACAGATTCAGTGCACCGCAACACAGTTTAGTTATTGCAACCGGCAAAAGACCATTTGTTGGTTTTCATTATGCATTGGAAGGTGGCGCAGCTCCTGTGTTATCCGATGTTGCTATAGCAATGGCCAGCAAATTAGCAAATGCTATTGGAACTGCTGTTCCGTGAGTGTTTACATAATAAATTCATGTTATGCATTTAGTATCGAATGATATACAACCTGTGAGAGATCTACTAACGTACATTATTCAATTGATTCAATATGTAATTCATTAATAATAATCCATTAATAACAATTTTGAAATTTAATTTATGATGTATTGGTATTGTCTTACTTAATTAACATAAATACTTTTTGTACTATTTTCTTAGTTGGTTTCCACTTAGTTGGGGGAATTCAAAACATCAGACATTGCTCGAGGCATCTAAAACAACTCATGAACCAATTGAACCAATGACTTGTAGGTTTGGTTTAAGCGATGTTACACGAGAGGGTTATTCGGTTGTAACCAGTCCAAATAAAATGTTGTCTGTAATATTAGACGTAATGGGTAGAATAATATTAATAGATAATAAACATGGTATAGCCACAAGAATGTGGAAGGGTTATCGCGATGCTCAATGTGGATGGATCGAAGTAGAGGAAGAAAAACATTCTGGAATGAACAGAGTATTTAATAAATTTAAACAAGCAACGCATTTGCGTTCTGCTTTATTTTTAGTTATTTATGCTCCAAAAAAGGGTGTAATAGACATATGGGGTACTCAACAGGGTCCTAAAATTACTACGTTTACGGCTAGCAGACAGGGGCGGTGAGTAAAGCGATTTTTGTTAGATTATTTCAATAATGATCAACGCAAAATTACCAGTTTTATGTTAAAATATAGATTACTTTATATCAATTATGGACTTTTTGGTACAAACGATAATATACATCTACCGAAGAATAAACCACAATATTCATGTGTTTTTATGGACCCACTGGGCGGATTAAAAGAAATTACTGTCCCATTTCATTTTGCACTTAATAGTAAAAATGGTAAAAGAGCTCGTGATATACATCTTCTTAAAAAATTAAAGACGTTTTTACGCGAAGAAGAATTTGACGAGGAAAAATTAGTATCAGAAATTCACAATGTGTGTACAGATTTGAAAACGAATGAAATACGAGTACATGTAATAGAAATGTTAATAACAAATAAACACATTACACCTGATGCTTTGCTCGCAGCCACAGACTGTTTCATTGAAAAATTAGATGAATATGGTACCATTATTTATTGTTAATATTTTTTTTATAGAGTTGATTTATTAATATTATTAAGTATATAACTTGTACATTACAGACAAAGAAGAGATGGAATACACAACAAAGACTCTCTATTTATTAACTATGCAGTTACAGCAGTTGATTAAATTTTATAAACACATTAGTTTCCATTTTGTTAGTTCCGAAGATCACTGTTATCCTACCAATGATGATGAATTGACTAGTAGTGATTTAGCCTCGATTTTGTTAACTTCAGAGAGAGAAGTTTGTAGAATTTTCAAACTATCGGATACAATAAATTATTTAAAATGTAGAAAGCTTAAGATGGAAAATAAAGTAAAGTTTAAAGAAGATGACAAAATCTTCTCAGATTTTTTATCTTGTTTTGAACTTGGGACATTAGGATTGATAGATATTAAAAAAGGTTTAAAAATGGAAAAGAAACTTGAAATTTGTAAGTAGGTTGATGTATGGTATTAAGAATAGGTGTTATATTTATTGATGTTTTAATTAAATTTTTGTCTTTATTATGATTTCCAGCTCAGTTAATATATGGAGGATGTATGTATTCAAATGATAGAATTCAAAGTTGGAAAGAAACAGCTGTTAATAGTGGTATTCAACCATATGTTTTAATGGAATTTGCTTTAATCTATTGGCTTAATAAAAAAAGACAGATGCACTTAGGAGTAGAACTGAAACAATTCACACAGCTTTTAAATGCTATTTGTTCAATAGCTAGTAAGTTTTAAACTTGTTTAACAAAACTATTATACGATCACTATCATGATATTAATTTTAACACTTACAGATGTTGAAGAAATATGTGCAGAACACAATGAAATATCTTTATGGTGGAAAAATGTTCGTAACATTCTTTCTGATTCAACAAATTCATTTAATGCTCTTAGTGCTGCTTTAGCATGTAGAGCTGTTGCTATGTTTTTAGTAAAGCATAAAGAAAAGTGGGTCGACAAAATTCCAGACAATAATGATACTGAAAATGTAGAATGTGTTAGTAATTTAAAGTTAGACAATGAAATATACAATTTGACAAGTGAGTGGGAAAATGTTACTAAAGATGGCTGTCAGTTTACGTTACTTATTGGAAATCTCGAAGATATTACAATTTTAGATGCTATCATAAGGTAATTGGTAATTATGCATTGTTAATGAAAGATTGCAAAACTGTTGAGTAACGTTTGATTTCAGCCAACAACCTCCAACAGATACCACAACACAATTTTTTGCATTACCATATGTAAAATTCGATATCTCGTTAGGATCAGTTCTTTCGAGAGGAAAAGGTATCTGTGATTGGATTATAAGATATACATATATGATTATATTGTCATGTAATGTAATTCTGTTTCTGTATTATACATAGGTTCGGTGTCAGAGATTGTTGCAAAATGGATTGCTTCAACGGGTATTGATCCATCTCAATTAGTAGATGCAACGGATATTGAGTTTCATCAAACGCAGTTAACAAATGACTCTTCCGAAGTAACAAATTTCTTAGACGAAGCTAGTAACGTTATCGATGATTCGCAACAGGACTCAATAAAGTTTTCTACGATAGACAATGAATTTAAGAATGAATCAGAGGGTAATACCGTTGCCAGTAAATGTATTTTAGGTAAAAAGTATTTTTATACTTGGATTTTCTTAAAAATTTTATATTTTTTTACCATGTAAATTATATTATACATATTTTAAAATTTTTTAGAACGAATTAGACTATTAAAGCGTCATTTTCCATACAGTTTAACTAGTAGTGTTTTACTAGCTAATTTATGTTGGGAATTTGCAATGTCATGGAATAAGGATATCTCGCAACTAAACTCTCTTGAAGCTGCATTATCCATTTTACGACAAATACCAATGAAACATATGAGGCACGGTAAATAATAAACCGTACCGTTGCATTTAAAAGTATGCATTTTCCTTATCTTTTACAAATATATTGTTCTATACATAGGCGTATGTTGTCTATTATGGTCAGTTCACATAAAAAAGAGAATGGAAGCAGTTGCAAAATTAATGAATAAGCTTGGAAAACTACCAAAGGAAAGGTTGTGTATTCAAGAAGTTGGTTTGACCGACGTACAGATAGTTACATTTTTACTACATTGTATCACATTTTTGGAAATATTTATTGACGTAAGTTTGTAAATTAGATAAACATTTTATGCAATTTAAAATTAGTCTAAAAGATTTAAACAAGTTTTATGTTGTTCTGCAAATTTGAAACAATATTGTTTTTAGTCTGAAGTACTTGAAGCTGGTGAAAGTACAGTAGTGAAGTTGGAAGAAATACTGGAAGGATGCATTTCCGGTTCGCAACCATTCGCGGCATTAGCTATTTCACAGCCACCAGCTTCGTACTGTCTAATACTTTTACATGTACAGGTAGCTAATGTGTTATACATGATGGCACATTTTAATCTAAAAGTAACAAAACCATTAAACAATTTATTTGAGTCTGTGGTAAGTAAAACTCTTAATATTGTATATAAAAACCGTAAATTATAAAGGTAACTGTAGTGTATATTTAACTTTGAACATATAGGTGCAACCATACTTTTTTCAAACTATAACCGATGAAGTGGTACTCACATGGTATAGAGACGATAAAAGGGACAGTGTAAGAACCGAATTCTTATGTCGAATAATTACCGCATCGATGGATTTCATTCATCAACAGACCACAGATGCTAACACATTAAGTTCAACACAAGCTGTTCAGTGGATGAGCAGATGTCAAACGTTAGCGTCGATTTGGAAAATTAAAAATGATGAATTAAGGATACACCAAGTTTGTCAATTATACGTGAATGGTTTTGATCAATTAGCGGAGGAGGTAGGCCGACGGGGTTGTAATTCAACGTATATCTTACTGTATAGAGAGTACATATTTCATATTTGCCATTGCCGGATAGGTTGTTACAGCAGTAAATGATGTTGAGAAGTTAGGGGTAAAACTTGTACCAATTGCTGGAAGAAGATTGTTGTCATATCTTTCGAGATCACTTGATCTTTTAGAGGAAGTTGCTCGTATAAATCCTGCTCTCACGCAATATTTGATGAATCTAGTAAGTATTGTATGTTATAAAATTTACTTTTCATACTTTGCTTTCATTTATTTCTGGTATAGTAATAGAGACAATTAATCCCTTTCAGAACGTACCGGATGTGATTTGTACAAATTGTTCGAATGACGACACTATCGAATTGATAAGAAGAATTTCTAGATATTTACCTGAAACGCATTCTTATTATCACCTCGTGCAAATGATGTTAGATGCGATATTCGTTTACGAAAATGCAACACGTTATCCCAATGTTTAAAATAAAACTAATTAGTAGCAAGAAATAAGTTTAATAAAAATCTGTCCACAGTTTGGTTTTGCTTTTAATCTTCTTGTAATTAATAATAAGCATTCTGTTGCACCGTAAATAATTAACAGTAAATATGTCGTACGATGTTGTTGATATATTTGATTACTAATTTCTTCTACACTGCAGAGACTCCTGAATTTCATTTTGCATCATTTATTGATATTTGTAAATATTAAACTCTTTCTTTTCTCGTCGTGCTTTTATTATTGAGTGATTCTATATACATATATCCAAGAACTAGGATGACCTAGGCAAGTTTGTGCCATTAGCGTAAATAGCGAAGCATTTATAAGTGATTGTAAAACATCGAGTACTCTATTATTATATTAAATTTTTCTAGAAACAGTACTATTCTTCGCAGATAGACACCGCCGACATCCCCTCTTGTCACAGCAACACATATTTTTAGTTTCTACGTTTCTTTGAACAAATACATGGTTTCATATCACGTCAAACGTAATACACATTCACTTGAGACTATATGCACGTCAGTCTAATTAATAAACAGTGTCTAAAGCTTATTATTACTATAATAACTACAACTGTGCCCACATAAGTGACCGCGTTATCTCCATCAATGCCCGCGTTACCTCAAGCGCGGACAATTAAGTGGGCACTGTACCACTGTATATCTATATATATCAAAACGACATCTACGGTAAAACGCCCAAGTTTGTCGAGAAATAATTCACTTCTTTGCACGCTAGATGGCGTCCCAATTATTTACGATCGAAAATTAATTTTAATTTATTTATTAATACAACAATAGAGTACTTGGTAATACAGATCGCTTATAAATATTTCACAATTAACGCCAAAGGCCAAAATTTGTCCAGAAACAGTCCTATTCCTATCAGAACAAACCGCTAATCTAACCATGACACTGCAACACATATTCCTAGTTTTTACGTTTCTTTGAGCAAATACACGGTTTCACGTGACGTTAAACGCAATGCACATTAACTTTAGATTATGTGTGCGTCAGTCTGATTCATAAACAGTGTCTATACTTTATTATAATATTACAGGGTAACGTACTATTTTTATAGAGTGCATTACTTTGTTGTTACAAGAATAATAAACTCTAGACACTGTTTATTAATTAGACTGACGTATATATAGCCTCAAGTGAATGTGTATTACGATTGACACGATTTGGAACCTTGTATTTGCTTAAAGAAACGTAAAAACTAGGAATATATGTTGCAGCGCCATGGTTAGATTAGCGGTGTGTTCTGACAGGAATAGGACTGTTTCTGGACAAATTTGGGCCTTTGGCGTTAATTGTGAAATATTTATAAGCGATCTGTATTGCCAAGTACTCTATTGTTGTATTAATAAATAAATTAAAATTAATTTTCGATCGTAAATAATTGGGGCGCCATCTAGCGTGCAAAGAAGTGTATTATTTCTCGACAAACTTGGGCGTTTTACCGTAGATGTCGCCTTGATATATATAGATATACAGTGGTACAGCCCCCACTTAGATGTCCACGCTTTAAGTAACGCAGGCATTGATGAAGATAACGCGGTCATTTATGTGGTCAGTACTGTAGGTATAATAATAATAAGCTTTAGACACTGTTTATTAATTAGACTGACGCGCATATAGTCTCAAGTGAATGTGTATTGCGATTGACACGACGTGGAACCGTGTATTTGTTCAAAGAAACGTAGAAACTAGGGTGGATGTTGGCGGTGTATTCTGACAGGAATAGGACTGTTTCTGGACAAATTTGGGCCTTTGGCGTTAATTGTGAAATATTTATAAGCGATCTGTATTGCCAAGTACTCTATTGTTGTATTAATAAATAAATTGAAATTAATTTTCGATCGTAAATAATTGGGGCGCCATCTGGCGTGCAAAGAAGTGTATTATTTCTCGACAAACTTGGGCGTTTTACCGTAGATGTCGTCTTGATATATATAGATATACAGTGGTACAGTCCCCACTTAGATGACCACGCTTTAAGTAACGCAGTCATTGATGAAGATAACGCGGTCATTTATGTGGACAGTAATGTAGGTATAATAATAATAAGCTTTAGACACTGTTTATTAATTAGTCTGACGTAAAATACCATATTTGAAGAGGAGATCAAGAGACCTTTGAGAATGTCGTAGTGCGTCTGGTCAACAAGGAATCGAGGGTGTCAGAAATAGAAAAAGTATCGGGTGCTCTTTCTACAGTTAGCATTAGTAATAGTCAAAAAGGCAACATTTATACATATTAATATTATGCGATTTTAATAAATGTACAATTTTTTTAGATATTAGAACTTTCAAGTAGTTTAATTACTGTTGCAATATTCTTAAAAGTTCGTAGAAGCAATCGTGCAGCACGAACAATCTTGCAACATATTTATTTTAAACAATCCATGTGCATTGGTAATAAGAATGTTCTTCATTTTGCTTTGATGCAGTTACATGGTGGAAAGGTAATCGCTATTTTCTAGTATTATACATTACTTCCAGTACTACAAAGTTTCTAAAATTAAATTAAACGTACGGTTTCTTTGACTGTACTATATTCATGATGTAAATATAAATCGTTTCGAGACTTTGTCGAATCGTTTTATGCATCGATCGGGAAACTGTTACAGAAATGTTATGTCGTGTCAGTGTCCTTTGGTCTGTTCTTGGAAACGTATTACGTCGATTAATTTTCCGAAGATACGATCAATTATAAATATATCATTTTTTATTAAAAACGTATGACAAATCCTTTATATTGTAGCCTACTAACGCCTTCCCAATTCGTAAATTCGCAACGTTGTATCTCGCTACCAGGACTTCCCACTTCTGTCAGCCATTGTGTCCTGAAAGAAATAAACTTGATTTCATTATTGTTGTACACGTAAGTAAGTACGTTGCCTCGTTCCCGAGGCTGAAATTTCATAGAGTATTGAAAGAGGCTGCATCGTGCAAGAGGATCGTGAAATTGTTCACGACGCTATCCCATGCATCGAAATCACTCTTGTTATTCTTTAATTTTAGCGTGTCATTACGAATTACGGCTCGTTGATGAACATTTTGCGAGGCTATCGACAGTGTGAACGGGGACAGCAATTTGTTTGTGAAATTTGGTCGATCAATGGCCGTGGAAAAGTAATGGTAGGCGAAATAACGATCGGCCACGAGTGTGCGCCAAGTGTATACGCGCGCGTCTATCTGCGACGGCCGCGGCTGGGATTTTGAATGCTCCGTGTGATTATAATTAGCGGCTAATCAGACCGAGTGCAGATATTTTAAGCGGTTGTATCGAAGTAGGATGTTTAAAGTCGATCAGCTGTCCCGTGACAACAACACGGACCAGTTATCGATCTGTCGGTGATCGGATATATCGTCGCGTCGCGTCGCTAATTAATTATTAATTAATTATAATTGAATAATCGAATGGCACGCAGAGAAGAAGCCGTTTCGTTTTAGAAAGAGGCAGCGAAATAGAAATTGCAGCACGATAGTAATTCGAATTTGCACAATAAAGCAAATACCTTGAAACGGTTTTTTATTCTTAGCTTTTGCCCTTTGTACGTTTAATGTAATGTAAAGAAAGGGTTTTGCGAACGAGAATGTGCGTGGTAAAAGAGCATGTTGGATGCGTTGGACCAGGGTGAATGGTTTAGTTTTTTTATCAGGCAAATGTCACTCGCGGGATTAAAGTTTAATTTGGATGATTTTGTTTTTGGGGTGAAGCCAGAAACGAAACCACCGATGCGTTTCGTCCTCGACCGGGCTATTTTCTTTAACTTCAGGTTCACGAACGCGCGAATCCGACCGAGAAACTGGCTACGTAGGACGTTGTTCTCTAATTACCATATACTTGTGCCAGTATGCGTCCGTTTATGTTTATTCATGCAGTGTGGTGTACTCGTACGATGAAAATTAATTAGTTTTACGTGCGGCGTTTCTTCTTCTAACCGAACGCAAGCGGCAAAATACTATATAGATCAGTAGGTCTGGCTCACTTCTCTAAATAACAATTACACTCTACTCGTCTTATTCTTTTTCGGTGTACCATAAACAGAATTCGTAGCACAGTCACGGCGTAACGTTTCCTTTTACCGGACTATAGTTTTACATTAATGATTTCGTTTTTGTATCTCGGTAGAACGAAAATCACAACGATAGGCCATCAAAGTTGAAGGTAACTTTAAACTTTGATTGTTAAAACAAAATTCATGTTAGGGATGCGAAAGCAGAGGATTCGAGAATCACTCCTAGAAGAAGATTACAATATAAAATCGCGTTATGAGAGATTTGTTGGCAGTGTGTTAAGAGAAACATGGAGGATCCGTGAAATTGTTGTTTTCGGTACAACGTAGAACCGTAATCTGCCGAATAAACGCACACGAGTGATTCTACATAGATGTCGGAAATGCGTCGGTGTAATTCGGTGCGATAACTTGCGAAGAAAAGAGACGACACGCTTCGCGCGCCATTATTTCATTAGTATCATTATTAAAGCCAGGCCCAACTACTTAATGGTCGTGACACGACAATTTGCGGCTAAGGTCAGGCAATTTTTAAGACGGTAGCGAATTCGTGGGCTTGCGTTTGCGCGCACGTGTCACCGATTCCCGGAACCGAGCCAGATAGATATGTAGATAGATCAAAGATCACGATGAACAAAAATAAAACGTTTCTTCGATCGATAGGGAAACATAATATAAATTTGCCTTATTCTATCTGCCTGTTGGCAATCAGAAACAGTTCAATTTCAATAAAAATCAACTTTTATTTTGTTTCTCTATCGAGGTTTGACGGTTCGCGGGAACGCTCTGGTGCGCGCGGGATCCCGGGAACACTCACATTTGATCGATGAGCGCGCGTGGTCCTTGCATTTTTCCGAGTATCGTTCCGGTCTTGCTGTTCTTCACCCAGCCACAGATCCCCAATTGTAGACATATGTCCTTTACGTACTTGGGAAAATATACACCTGAAAACGCGTTTGTTGCGATTAAATGTGTGCCCCGGCGCGACGATCTATCAGGGGTATAGAAAAGTACGCTCAAGATCACAACATTTCGAAAAATGTGTATACGTGCTGGAATCATGACAGTCGCGTCGACTTTTTTTACTTGAAAAATATATATATAGCCAAAACACAACACGGAATCTCAATAAAAATTAACCTAGACCGGAATTATCCCCTGGTAATGCAGTATTCCTAACACCACGTGTTATTTACCGTGATAATTACTCCATCGTACGTCAGTATGAACAACAAATTATCCAACACGTTCCGGATAAAAACCGCGTAGACAGCGGGTTGGTTCGACCGAAACAATTATCATTGATCGCTTCCTGTAGATTCAATAACCGTATAAATTCACGGAATTCTGTCATTGTGCATGTGTGCACATCCACACGAACGTTTCGCTAATGTTTTTTAACCGATGTTACATATATCGTGGCATGTACCAACCCCTTAATCGGTACGATGAATACGCGGACGTTTCGACCGTACCAAACGCAAAAGAAAACCTTTCCTTTTTACCATGACATTTTGTTACCTCTACGAGAATCGTTTGTGAAAACGAATCCATACATCATGACGACGTTTCAGTGGCGTTTTTCACCGTCCAGCCAAGATAAAACGTTAATCTACGATTAAGTAGAGCGAACTCGGTGAATAAAAGTTTCACCCTTACCCTGCACCTTGCCAAAGACCTCGAATTCGACGGAAACTAAAGGTTCGTTGCGGAGAGGGTCGTCCGCAGCCATCGTTTACCTCGGGGGAGGGAAAGCTAGTCACCTTACAAGCTCCACTTGTTCGACTCGTACAAGTTCGAAACGTTTCGGGGACGCGATCAGCATAAATAACGCACTAGGTTTATCGGTTGCAAGCAACTATTTTCTATCTCCCGTTTCTCTTTGACGGCACTTCACCTTTTCTCGTGATGCGACCTACCGACTGATTCTGATCGTTGCACCACGGGGCCGTCTCGCGTTGCCTCAAATAGACACTCCCCACTCCACGGACGAAAATCCAATTACGATCGATCGAGAATCGATCGGATGCGTACCCTGCCTTATCCAAGATTCGACCCTTCCCAAGTATTTTTAATTCGCCCTTGGTGATTTCCGATCGTGGTTGCTCTGGACACTCGTTGTTCGTTTGCAATATCCATTGATGGGACGGTGTCAAGTATGGCTCGATTCGGTATTTTAGTTTTCGTTTTATTTCAATCAACGTTCCGTCTTAAAAGTCGCATATATCTGCGTACAAATATATATATATATATATATATATACATGTATACATATATACATATATGTATATATATATATATACCATTGCTCCATTTATTCTGAAATACCCTGTACATCTTCGTACGTTCGAAGTCGCACTTTCGAGGATAATTATTTCGTAGACGCCATGCGACGCGAATTCGACGATTATCGGGAGACAATTTGACTAGGATCGATCTCTTTCGCTCGTTGTTCGCCGTCGTCGTCGCCGTCTCGCCGCACGACATTCATTTTCGATTCCCGTATGCGAACGTTGCTGGAAAACTACTTCCGGCCCGGGGCGGTTGGCGCATTGTTCGTTCTGAAAATATTAAATGTAGGCCAGGAGGGCAGCCATTTATCGTCAAACTAACCACTTCCCCATCGATGCGCCCAACCGCCCATTGTCCCGTCATTATTCCAGTTAATTAATTATTAGTACGCCATGACGTCGTAATTGGCGCACAAGAGCAAAATCTGCGGGGTGTACAGGATGCGGGGAAGAAGGTTATAACCCATTTATAATGATCGCGTCCAGTCTATTACCATTGTCATCATCAAGGTCTCATCTAACGCTAGGATCGCGAGAGTGTACGCTTTGGTAAAATTACAAGTGTCGCAAAAATAAATTCAATACGTTTGTTCGGTCGACAGGCATCAAACGACGAAAGCGGGATTAACGTAGGGTAGCGATGACTAGAAATCCTATGAATCCTACATAATCGCGACGGAGCTGACAAACGTTCGTTCGCGAGTTTGTCGGTTACGAATATTTCAGCGAGTAATTACGAACCTCCACGAAAGAGAAGGTTTCTCGATCGCTTCTTCAACGTCAACGAGTCGCAAATTGATCGAGTCCCACTGTTCGATACGACATTGGGTCTACAAATTGATTTCTGCACTCGACGTGCACGATCAGGCACGTAGAGCGGAGTTATCCAATCAAACGTCGTGTTCGTTACGATTCTTCTTAGACTTGTCGTTCGTAGCTTTTCGTCGATTCTTCACCAGACTTATCGGTTCTTCACGCCCGTCTCTGCCTAACTTAATCGATTTTCTAAGGATCTATCTGTGCTGGTCTACCTAGAACGGCTATCTATCGATCTGTACACACGTATCGCGTCGTTGCACTGTCTTCGATCGACGTCTATCTCTCTATCTGCTTAACAGACTCCTCTTTTTAACGACTATCAATGTGACTTTACTGCTGCACGATCACTGGTCAGGAGCATAAACACGACTGTGGTTCGTTGTTCGCGACGATCGATCGGCGAGAGTTTCGGCATCGAGTAAAGTTTCTCGGAGAGTTTCTCGGCATTGAATTTAGACGAGAGATTCAGGATTCGTTGGCAAGATGGTGGTGGTGGTGGTGGTGGTGGTGGTGGTGGTGGTGGTGGTGGTGGTGCTGGTAGCGGTGGAGGTGGTGGTGGTGTTCGGGAGGAGTGCCCCGTTCTCGGCGCTCTTTGCGTTTCCGTCCGCCCGAGGCCGAAAGTCCTTCGAGGCTACCAACAGGTTTCGTCGTCTTGCTTCCTTCTTTTCGCGTTCGATCTGAAAACGAGTATCGATCAATGCTTCCGTTGCGAGAATATACGATGGGACCATTTTAACGGTTCGATGGACTCTCTGTTTTCCCACCCTCGCCACCCGAGTACGAATTCCCTTCAACATTCTTTTGAATTTATTACGATACAGAAGGGATTAGAGTTTGTAAAACTAACCTTGAAGAACAATCGAAAATAGTGGCAAGGGAACACGACACACTTGCCGTCCTCTTCTTCGGCGTCGATATAGACGCCGCGCACGAGGATCGAGTTACTGCAATTAAGAAGTACGAGGAAAACGAAGCATCCGACGTGAGTGATCCAACAGGATAACTCCGGGTTATCCGGCACTAGCCAGAGGTCCAGGACGTTCCAAATGCCGCGCCAGACGTTTACCGTGCCCAGGAAGCTGAGCAGGAGGAAACTGTCCGCTGCTATTAAACGGGCCAGGCCCCGAAGATGGGCACACGCGTATCGCATCAATGGTTGCAGAGAAAACGTCACCGTTACTATCGCGTATCCGATGGCCTGCAATTCAATATGCCAACTGTTAGGAACGCGTTCGTAAAATACGATTTATGTAGGTAGATCGATCCCGGTCCCGTAACAGCGTCACAATTACTGCCACTAGTTCGATCAAGTGTCCCGATTTCGGATCAATTTTACCAGTTGGCCGGCGATTTCAGCGAACCCGTTCGTGAAACGCGTAAACCGAGCGAATGCGTCAACTGAATGGACCCTCGCGTAATCATCGACCCTCTTGAGAATTTATCTTGTCGCGATCATCGTGTAACCCTATCGGCTGGCCACTTATCTTAAGAATTTTTTTAATTTGTTCGAAATCGCGTAAAATTTCGTTTACGTTAATTCTATCAATCGAATAAACGATATCGAGTACCGCAATCGATATCAACCCTTATCTGACGTTTCGTTTCACGACTCTCGCTCATCGAAACAATTTTTATGGGCAGATTTCAATGGTACGTTAAAATGTTAAAACTTTGCTCGTCGAAGCCACCTGTGGCCACGAAATTTATTTACGAAATATGTACCTACTATCTCGTGACCAGTGTTATCGAAATCGGAAAGTTACGATCGACAAGATAAATCTAAACTAATTCTTTTTACCCGCGTGATGCTTCATCGATCTCAGATAACGAATTCACGCCCAAGACGGTCGGTATATAATAGTCTGGCACCTAGATCTTATCGAGTATCCCCATCGGCGAGACACCTGTCGCGTCCAATTCTTTTCAAGCACGCCAATTTTGATCGGCTGTCCAAACGAAATCGCGGTTCTTTTTCACGCGAGCATTCGTTTGTTATTATTATCGGAGCGGATACGTGGCGCCCCGATCGACGAATATCGTTCTGCGACAGAATAATACCGCGGATCTGTCGTAAAGTCCTGCAATGTTGCAATATTTGTGCGTGCTCGTTCGTGTTTACTGGATTGCTTTGTCTGAATTGCGCAAAAAAGAAAAAAAAATACAGCCGCGAAAACGATAGACGGTACGCGTCGATCGCGCCAACGACCATCCGATACGAACGGTTCGAAACGAATCCGTCGGCGTAATTTTAAACGAAACACGCCGGAGCGACGTTAATCGTGCCCAACGGGCGTCCTGGAGATCAACGATCGTCATTATTGAAAAATTAAACAAATCCTCTCGTTGACCGCGTTCTCCAAACCGTATTCAGACAAGTAAACGCGGGCTGCAATAAAGTCTCTTACACATACATCAACAGTTTTGTCATGTGCCCTCGCAATCATGCAATTGGCGAATATTCAATTATACAATCGGACCAACAGCGTGCCGCTCGCGTACAGTGCGTAGGTGGCACGTTTCAAAATGTCGTTCAACACGTGATTGCTAATGACACTCGACGACACGCGTTCATCGATAGGAGATTCTGATAAACTGTTTGTGCGGCGCGGCGGCGGTATGATTTTCTTCTTCATTAACAAAAATGTCATCCAACCTTTGATAAATGTGCTCTTTAAAGTATTCTTCATTCTCTGATCTACAATTTCTCATACGATTCGTTTCTTAATTTTCGACAATTATTTATTTATTTTTGTTTAGGGCCAACAGTTGTGTTTCATCGAGCGATAATCTAGCCAAATACGAGCTCAGTTTTTTCTTTATTTTCTAAATAAAACACGAACGAATGAGTTGATTGAAAAAAAGTAAAATTAACACTTACAAGGGATCCAATCGCGGAATACTCTCGATCATCTGGGAACAGGTAGTGATCGATAAGTATCCAAACACCCCTCCACACGAACACGACCAGAGAACCGACGACAAGAACGCTGAACGCACAGTCCAATAAGTACAACGACCAGACTCTCGTGTTCTGTAATCAAACAACATAAACAATAGATAAGCGTCATTTGTAGATGAGGACTTGGGAAATATTTGAGGAGACTTGGGAACTACGATAAGCAACATTCTGCGATTGCCTCCTCGAGTACTTACATACGTCAAAGATTATTTATGACAAAAGAATTCCTAATTTACCCGTCGATAGGTGTTGATTAAGTCGAGTAACGAAACATTGCTAGATTATTTATCCGAACACGATACCAAGGAAACGTAACATTTTTTTCATTTTCATACGTTAGAAATAACGGATAAAAATTTTGTCGTGTCTGTGAAATCGACTCTTGTACCGTCGGTATCTACGTTGTATTTTTTAATCGAAGCGTCTTGGACGAGTTTGTACGACTGTATATTGACAAGAACCATTTGGACCAATTCGATCTTCAAAGGATCTTCCGGTTGACACCATCGTTTACGAGGTAAACTCTGGTCGGAGTGTATCACCCGCTTACTTTACATGACACCCTTCTGTCCTCGATTTTTAACTGACAGAGAGGACTCAACTGGCGATAATTAATTCAAGATTCGTTTCATTGTCTCCGTTTACTTTCTAACGAGTCTTGAACACGATTTAATATAATTCTTGATAAATATCAGCGCGGATAGAAAACAATTCGCCGAGATGAAACTCGTTCGATTTAACTTGAATAATTTATTAAGCGTAACAAGATACGACTCTGTCCAAAATTGAAACGAAGGTGTTTGTTTTCAAGCTAACTAAGATTACTAATAAACTAGGTACACAATGTTAAAAACGTAATATGAAAGGCATCAAGTACGTCGCGGTTCATACGTTCGAACAAGAGGAAATGTCCGAACGATGTCTAATTTTTAGGGGAGAATGTTAATAAGTCTTGAATATTCGTGTTTCGTTTGATCGGGGGAAAGCATCGAATAAGAGGCACAGAGATTGGTGCAGTTGCATGCTGTGATCGCTCGCTCGCTCGCTCAAACTGCACGGACGCGATGCTGTTCGATTGTCGGGAGAGACAGCCGGAAACTGTGCTTATACCTTACACATTGATGTCGTGCAACACACGGCTCGAGCTCTAGCGATGCGTCAAAATATGCTGTCTAGGCTCTTACGTTTCTAATTTAACATTTACTCTTCTCTCTACAGTTTTCGATAAAATCAACTTTTTTTTCCATCGATACAGAGGGCTCAGCAATTTTTCGATCGATCGTTCGTTATATCATCTCACCACATCATATTTGGTTTGAATAATATTTAGGTTTCGAAAGTATTTAAAAAGTAATTGACGATGAAACGGAATTGCAAAAGATCGTGCCACGACAATCTACGAAGATAAAAGGGTACACGGTCTTATCGGATCACAGGGATAGAAAACTTTCCGCAATCTCGTGCAGGTACAAATACATCACACGTCATTTACAAATGACCGATACGGAACCACGTAAATATTGCGATGCAAATCGCGAAGTCAGAAATCGAAATCGATCCAACTGGAAATTCGTAAACATTAAGATAAAAAAAAATGTCCCGTGTAATCGACAAACGATTAAAGATTCTCCGTTAAAGGTACACCGAAATTTCCTATGCCAGGATAAGGTGTCTCTCTTATGGTGTTCATTTAGAGAGGAGAGTAGCTGTTTTAGTTTTAGTTGTATCTATTTCTGTCTAGTTTGTTTCGCTCTTACAGAACAAATACATCGAGTCCAAGCAGTACACAAGCGACACACCGACAGGATAAACGCGTTACTTACGTTCATGCGGAACATGGTCGGCACTTCAAAGTATCCTGGACAGGAGTCCAGGCAAAGGGAGAACGGCGGCGCGGAAATGTTCCTGACGGCGCGCATAATGGCTAGTGCCAGCAGACTAACAGCAGTGGTGGCGAAAACCGTACTAGGTGTGAGTTCTGTGTACAGGTCGAGGGCCTTCCAGGCGCCGCGCCAGGCGTTTACGCAGCAGAATCCGAAAATCGCGGTGTAGAGCCGAGAACCGACGTAGTAGGAGAGCCGGTGCTTGTCCGGGTGTAGCAGGTCGTTGAGAACATGCTGTGTGACGTTGAACGCGTACAGACCGATGAAGCCGATCGCTATCGAGGTCACGCTGCTGAGCATCGGGTCTTCGGGGTAGACGTAGACGTCGCTCAGGCCCCAGGTGCCTCTCCAGTAACCGACCACGGTCGGCGCAGCTACGGTGGCCGAGAACATCGTGTCCAAAATCGTCAGTATCGTGTAATGGAAACGACTCGACGACCGACCGCTCAGCCCGCTCGTCATCCCGGTGCCACCGCGTAACTCGACCATTCTCATCCAATCCTGATCGAGCCTAGTCGCACCGCTCATCATGCATCATTCGAGGCTGTGGCGGTACGCTCTCTGTGATGATGATGCATGCCTTTGGGCCGAGCTTTCCAACTGTTCCACCTACAGACCGAGCTTGTCATTCTTCGACGAAACCGCGATTGTCCTTTAGCCGGGGTTCCTGCGATTCACAATGGCAGTTGGCAGTCTTTCAATTACGCTCGATGAACGACTATGATTGTCCTAGCTCGATCCGTGTCTCGAGCAACATCCAGATTCACCACGATCCGAATCTATGTACTTTACTTATTCTCGTCAATAACGATCCGGCTCCCTGTCGATCCTCGATGCTAACGTTTCATCTAAAACCACTTTCAAGGACTTGGTCATGTTTCTCGTTGGCATTCGCGATTAATCTTCTTGGCAGGTGTATTTATCGAGATTCCGATCAATTTACACGATCAACGTTTACAGCGAATCTTCTTGAAGTAATACTGTCGCTGGATCGCAATGATCATTCTATCCAAGGAATGAATCTACTTGTTCGCAGATCGTTCCCACTCGCCGGAGAACGATACTCTGGTATTGTTTCTAACAAATCGAACCGAATCTCGTAGCTTCCTCTCGACATGTTCGGACGTAGAGCAACTTTGTTATTGCACGGCGCATCTCACCTAGTACAGAGTGTCGTTGAACAACTTTGGATAAATGTTGCTCGGATACGACGATTCCCGTTCACCTCGATTGTCTTTCGAACCTCCGTACAACAATTATTGCGACATATACATAGATATATATTTTTTTATACACTTTTCAAACGATTATAACCGTTACGCTGCCGATGGTGCACCGATGCACACGGGGCGAGTACGCGACACTGTCAGCTGACAGGTCGAGCTGCGGGTGAGTACTGGCATCTGTTCAGTCACCGCTATCTTTTATCAAGTGCTAAGCACAGACCAACACTATCGCATTATCATGAACGGCTTCGTCATACGGACCATGGCATAGAGAATAGTACGGTGCTCTGCTCTCTTCCCTTCCTTCCGCGATCTCTCTAACAACCCCCACCCGTAAACCTACACGTACGCTCGATTAACGAATGCAGGGACAAGCTTTCGATACACGCCGGTGACGCTAAGAAAGTCCAAAAACAAAAACTGGATCTTGGCGCACACGGAGAATCGACACGAACCAACAGAAATTTGTAATTTCACGTAAACGAGGAACGCTAACGATCCTTTGGAAATTTATATTCGTAATCCTTTATTCCCAGCAGACAGCTTTTCCAATGCGTTTCGAGCTTTCTGCTCGCTGAACGAATCAAACGATTATCAACGTTTCTCGTTATGGCCACTGTTTACCAATCTGTCTATCGCCTAGCCCTAGTTTCTCCATTCGGTCGTCAAGCGTGCAGGATGCTTAATGATTCTCCCTATCTAGGTATGTATACATATACGGTACTCTATCATGATTTAGATTGACGTAGCGCGACGGTCAGTTTTTATACGATTCCAAGATTTTTTTGTTCGATTCGATATCGTCACTAGTGTGTCACTATCTTTTTGGTAGATTCTCTGGTCTATCCGTCTCTGGATTGTTTAGCCAAGCTCCGTCACAAACAGTGACTTAACTTCACTTTCAATTTCGTAGTCGGAGACGTAACAGGAACAAGAATTGATTGCTTAGACGAAGGTAACACGTTTACTGTTGACCAGTGTAATTACAACCAAGAGAAGTAGTAAAACAAGCTACCGCGTAAATCGTGATCAACGTGTACGCGACGCACCGCCGCTAATTAACAATTCCGGGGACCGGTGTTGATTGATAAGAAACAAGATAGTGGTCGGAGAAGAGTCTAGCCACCCGTCGAGCCACCTTGGAGCCTCATTTTTCTGAGTGGCGTTTCCTGTCCGTCAGATTCATCGAGCTTTTGTCGTGCCGAACGCATCGCTAATCGGCACCTTTTTGTACACCAATCAAGCTCGGATTAGGACGATCCTCTCACCTTGACCCGTCATCTTTTTCGCGACGGGCTTTGTTAGTTACGAAAAAAAAGAGTCCCTCTGAATCCCAGCACCGCGTCCGATTACGTTTCTTTGTCGCGAGCTGTTTCGTTACTCCTCACGTGTAACCATTTGTTTCTGTATACACAGCTTTCGGAGGAAGTAGGGCTACCACCTTTTCACTCTACGATATCCTGTCATTATCGAATTGTCAATGGAGATTGACAATAAGCATCGACGCGAGAAATTGTTAAAATTCACCGACAAAATTCTTTCCCCCTCTCTCACTTAATCTTAGACTGGCCAAGATACAATAAAATTCGGCTCTCATTAAATCTCTTGTTAATAATATTTGCACGATTATTAAGTAAACTTGCTTTTTGCTACGGAGATGCGTAATCTGACACACGTGACGTTTGCAGCACGATAAACACGTTGTAAATGTTCTGCAAAACATACACAAACATGATTTTCATGATTCACAGGCTTCAATGAACGGCATATACATAGTAGATAACAATCCCGTTAAGATAAAGCGATAACTGTATTCCTTGACAATAGATCCTTTTTACCATATCAAAGAAATTTTACGATAGAGTTTACTGTTCAAGAGAACGCTGTTATCTGTTATCTATAACATAGTTCTCTCTAATTTTGCAAAAAATTCGGAATCTTTTATCGTAGATTAAATGGATTGATTTGCGTCGAGTCTTACCAATTTGTATCTCGTTGGGAACCAGAAGGCATAAGTGCGTTTATCTACGAAGACCGCCGTGGGAACTGCGATAATATTTCGAATGGAACGTAAAATCGCTAGACACGTTAGTATTACCAACATTGTGATTACCGTTGCCCTGAAGTTAAAAATAAAATTAATATAAAACAACTATTCGATTCGGTGTAACATTTGCATAGGAGCATTCCAAAACTTTATACTCGGAATCGCGTTTCAGGAAAATTTAATGCTTAATGATCTTACCAAATATAGCCGCCGAAGAAATAGTCGAAAATAATCCAGCCGCCCCTCCAATGCATGTTGCATGCAACGCCAAAGATGTATGTGTACAAAATTTGCGTCAACTTGGAAACGATATTGCTCGAGCAGGTTTTTTTTCGCGACGAGCCAGCGACGCGATCGTGTAGGAAATTCTTTAAAATCGCGAAGTTCGTATGCACCAGGATGCCGGAAAGGAAAGTGATTGCTCCTGGAAACCTTGAAACGTTAGACGATTATGTAATTTCATGACACGTCTAACTGTGATTTCTTTTTTAACTATGCTTTTTATTCGTGTCTCGGATTGCTAAAGTCTCACCATTCAGCGTGAAGATCCATCAAGGTCCATATTCCTCTCCAAAAACCAACGGTCAGTGGAGTAATTAAAACCATCGAAAGAAATATGTCGATTGTTGCTAGAATTCGTTTTTGTTTGTTCAATTTTTTACCAAAAACTAATGTTGATATCCGCGAATTCGGCGCGTCGAGGGGGCTGGTCTAATAACAAAACTTTGTTGACTAAAAAGCCACAAATTTACGATTGATATCAATTCCTATACCTTCGAACAATTTTCTAATCGGTCGTTGACGTCCACTTTCAACGATTTCGGCTTTTCTTCGAGTTTTTTCATTCTGTCCTCCTCCTTCTTTCTGAAATCATTCCTAGCTTTTTCGTTGCCCGTTTCCCGCGAAACCAGAGTGCCTTTCATGCTTTGGTCCGATTTGTTAAAGCGTTTCGCAGCGTTCGTCAAATAAAGTTTCGGTATTTTCGATTCGTTACTTACGATTCTGTTATCACACGTTTTAAAAACCTCGGCAATGTCGTTCAAGCTCTTTACTCTTCTTTCGTTTGATTTGGCCATGTTATCAGATGCTTTTTACACGGCGACGAAACGATCTTTCAACTGTTATCTTCGAAAAATCCTGTCAAACGTACTAACGTTTTTCTAACACTAATTGTCAGAGGCTCTTATGATAACAGTAGGCACAGTGTGAATGAAACGCTTGCGCAGAACCCTGTTTGCATTGAATAAATTCATGCAGCTGGAGATAGACCGTATTAGATCTGATCCTGATGTACATGTGCGAATTTAATTTCGATTTAACAAAAATAGATATAATCTGTTTATATCTGTATGCATACATACACCTTTTAGCTTTTTTAAAATTACGTTAACGATATCGATGGGTGCGGTACGATGCAAATTTTCAGCGACAACGTCAAGCAATCGTAAATTCATCGTTGATTATTATCGGTTTTAAAATTTCTAGCACTTTTTAAATTCTTTATTAAAAACATACAACATTTTTTTCTTCTAAAATTATTTGTTACTTTTGTTTTTTAAAATTGAAAAAACACATGCTCGTAAACTATTGTGGCCAATATCGTAACACGATAACGTATTATTGCGACGTTAATGTTATTGCTTGGAGCGTCGAACATTTTATCGGAAGTAACTCTAACAGAACGAAATTGCGGAGGTAATCTTTGCAAACAGTGAATGTCGTGAGTGATCCTATGATAAATATAGAAAGTTTTCTGCGATGACAGAATATTTAATAATTGAACGAGACAGTCAAATGTAATTATATCTTTAACATATTCAGTTTTTTCCTCGCTGTATATGTACCTATAGTACATACATATCCGTTTACGCCAAGTCATTGATTGGACGGACTCTTTTATTATACTTTCTCAGGCGCCACTGATAAAAGTTAATTGCGGCGCCTGAAAACCAAGCGTCGTACTGCGATTGTGACAACGCGATTGCATCCTGCGGATCGTCTTTAATTGCCGCTGCGTTCAGAGAAATTATACTTAAGTACATGCAGTAGACACACGTGTGTTTATTTTGCCACTTAGACGTGGAACTTGCCTGTAACTTGTATTTTTGTAATTCAAGGTGATGGCAGGTGACGATCGAAGAGTCAAGTAGACACTTGTCTCGAATATCTACATGGCATTCTGTTCTTATACGTAAGTAGGCAAGAAGATCTTTGTATTTTCAAAGATTTCCAGGATCTTTCAGAATTTCCAGGATCTTTCTCCATCGCATTCATTCGATTCGTCGATAGTTTCAACATCCACACAATTACCCCCATTCGAACCACGACAAAGTGTTTTCAATTAATTGAATAACTTACCTCAAACATACTGCTAGCTTTCTTCTTAGACTTATATCCTTCTTCAAAGATAAATTTTCGTTTTTAATCGAATCTTTTATGTTTCTCAAAAGAAAGTTGAAATTGTGCATAGACGCTTTAAAGTATAGGAAGAACGTTTCTTCATCGTCCGTCAATCGTTTGAGCAGCATCCAATACTCTTCGCGGATTTTTCTCTTCTTTAACATATTCTGAACGGCATAATAATGTGCCCTTTTTTTGTTTTGTCCCGGTTCACCTAATGATAGTGCTATACAAGCTAGATCTATCAAAAATAAATGTGAAAGCATTTTCAATCGACAACTACTATACGGGAGAAATATTGCTCTTATTCTTGCCGTTGCTGAATATGAACTGATAGAATAATAAATACTAAATGACTGTCTGAATCGAATCGTCCCGTATTTGAACGGAAAATATAAATAGATTTTACACGTCCACGATAATTGTCTCTCCAGAATATTCCGACGTGTTTTGCACTCTATAAAGTATCCTAAGTACCTAGTTGCAACAAGTTGTTTTTGATTTGTGTTTAATTTTTGGCACTCTGAATATATTTAACACATGATTAATAATTTCGATAATTGTTGTTTGATTATCGTTGGTTTCTCAGGGATTGAAAAGGAATGGATAATATCTCGGCGAGTATCGGATGTAAGGAAAACTGTAAATTAATAACCAAATGATGTATCGTATATTTCAATTAATTGTAATTATGTTACATCGACAGATGTACACCGCTTTCTGAAAGCTCTGTCGTTATAAAAATACATAATAAAGCTCGATCGCGCAGCAAGCAAGATACCGATAATTTAGGAAGCGAAACTAGCGGGTCGTTAAATATACCATTACATTAGTTTATACCCCGAATAATGAACTTCGTGATCCTTTTGTGCGTGTCCGGTATCGTTCTCGTTCGGAAATAACGCCTCGTTTAATTAACAATAACATTTTCGTATTATGCGATACATGTGTATTTGTTTCTTCTTCTAAGTAACCGTACAAAATAAAAGTAAGAAGAACAAATTCGATACATCTCGCCGATAATCGTATATATATATATATATATATATATATATATTAATATTATTGTTTATCTCTATCGATCGAATTAGCACCAATGACTATTTTCGCGCGGCGATTACGCTAAAATACCTGTCAGTGGACGTTTCGTTTTCGAATTACACCAAACTTCTTAATATTTCTCGATATATCAACGCAAGGTATAAAAAATAAAGTCGGACAATTATTATTTTCTTCGTTTACGTTACTAGCGTAAATGCAAAACGCGCGGAAGAGAACATCTCTCTCTCTCTCTCTCTCTCTCTCTCTCACGAACGCGTTTCGCGTGTACCTGCTGTATAAACAACACAAGCGATTCGATATATCGTAATAATCGTAATTAATAAACGTTTTCGCGCATTCCATGTGACATTAGCATCTCTGTCTCACGTATCAACTCTCTCACTCTCTTTCACTATGCGAGACGAACGAAGAGAAGGATAAGTGGGTGAATGGGGAAAGATAATCATGAACGAAACGATATCTACATAACATATGCATACGCACGCAGACGCAAGCAGACGCACGCACACATATAACATGTATGCATGTATAGGTACAAATAGAAACGCGGTAATGTTACATGGAATGTCGGAGGTAACAGAATCAGAAGACAAAACAGATCCATCGATTATCGTGCAACCGGATCGTGCACGCGTCGTGAACCTTCTTTTCTTACCTCCACGCCGGAAGTGTCGAATCGATTCACGGGGACTCGTAAAACAGGAATAATCGCACGCAGATCACGAGCACACAGAACGACAAATGAACGGATGTTGGCCGTGCAGCGACGATCGTTTTGGTCCGTATAACGTGCTTATTACAAATAGAAACTCTTATTACAAGTGTTTAAATCGTTATCGTCGTCAAGGAGAAGGCCGCGGCAACGATTCGAACTTGGTGTATCAACCCCGATCCTTGACATTCGTTCGAGTTCTGTACGGATCGGACACGATCCGGACCACGTGACAGACTACGAGTAAAATAGTTAGGCGGATCGTTTGCGGTTTCGCGTTTCCGCTTTGCAAGGCTTTTCCGAGCGGTTCGGCCGAACGATCGTCTCGGGCTCGCGAGACCGAGTCTTTTTAGACCGTTAGATCGGCGGTGGGCCGTTCGGATAAACGACCATCGGCGTGAAGCTTCTTGCGAGGTTGTTCGATAGCATGCAACTGTAATCTTCTTCAGCGGACGGCACCAACGAAGCGGCTCCGAGGACCACCAGCATCAGAGCTTGAATCGGCAAGGAAACGCGCAATACTCGTCCCAGGAAACGATATCCCCGCGACAATATCGTGCCATGGTCATCATCACCACCACTGAAACACGTGTAAACGATATATCGTTGTTATTGCGGTGGATTTCGTCGACGTTTCAAGCTGGTACTTTATTTGGAGAACGTAAGTAGGAAAAATCGAGAGTTTGTTTCAGTCAGTGTTCCCAATTGTATATGTATCTTTGCGAGGGCGTACTATACGGAACAAACACGATAGAAACAATGATAAGAGCGCGGGTGTTTGATTTGTTGGGGAACACTGCTCAAAGCTAAAAACAGAAAATGAAAAAAACGTACTCTGTGCCGAGTGTGTCGTGGGGCTGAATGGTTCCAGAGGCAGCTTCGTCGAGCAGCTACAATACAGTAAAAGAGAAAACACAAACGATAAGGTACTGTGCGTGTGAATGCTACTGATACGAGGCACGGAACAATAAAGTCATTCAAATGGGAAGGGAAATACTATCATGTATGTACCTAGACGTTTTCAAACTCACTCAAAAATTTCTTGTCGTTATTAAAAACAAAAAAAAAAATATTTTAATTGGATGGAAAACAATCGTCCGTTAAAAATCTTTCCAGTAGTTGGTTCGCAACAATTTCTATTCATCGATCGTCGAATTTTTATTGGACTCCGTGCTCCGTGTTCAAAGTATCGGTTAACGTGATTCTACCTACAACGTGGTGCACAGGTCTTCCCTGAAGGCTAACATTTACGAAGCAAGAACCAACGAGTATCGGCAAGTAACCTCAGAGGATAGACGTTTCCTGGAAAATTTTGTCTGGGAGCTACTGGAAATACGGTGTTTGCGAATTTGCAAAATTTTCGTTCAAGGTACTTTAAGTCAAATTTTACATCGTTTCGAGTTTTTTTTTAAAATAATACGATTAATACAGGGTGGAGCTTACGTCGTGAGAAAGGGAAGCGAGAGACGTGGTCGTAGCAGCAAGACCAACGTCTCGCGGATCCATTCCTAGTGCTGCCCCCAACTTTAGGGCGTATATTCCTGTTAATCGTCGAAGGGACTGCAATCTGAGTCGCAGTTCCTGCAGGCACGCTCTGGTTTCGCCCTTTTCGTCCAACAATTGATTGGCCGACTCTTGCAGCGATAGGACCTGTGGCTCGCATCGTTCCAAATCGCTCCTCAGTTCCCTGAAACCATTAACAATTCCTCTCAACTTTCCTCTTATTGGTAGACAAACTATGGAACGATAGATTAGATCGTGCAATAAATTACATCTGTCGTTTTCGCGTACCTGAATTTGTTGTACTTGATGGTCATGATCTCTGACGATTCGGTCAAATCGACCGGTTCGCTAGACTTTATGCTAATTTCGGTTTTCTCCAGCCAGGCGAACAGCTCTTCTATGATTCGATGGGACTGGTGGTTCAATGCAGTCTGCAATTGTTCCTGCCAGTTTGCAGCCAGTGTACAAACTTTGTCCCACCTTTCGTTCGCGATGGCCAATCTTTCTCTGAGCTGCGTGTGTCGACGAGTGTCCTCCGTGTGGTCGGCCAAATGAGCGCCGACGGTGTTTAAACTGGATAAAATGCTCTTATGACTGTCTAGATCCAACAAGAATTCGCGATGATATTGTATCACGTCTTCCAGTTGCTCGATATTGCTGGGTGGCGATTGTTGCTCGCTCTGTGTGCCTTCCGCGAATTCCAGCCACTTTTCCAGTCGCCATACATCGTTCTCCAGCTGTGCCCAATTGCGACGAGCGCACAGAGGACAGGTAAGTCTGCCGTAATCGCTGCACACAGTAAATTGTTGCTTACGTAACGATAAATCGACATAAAATTTCAGACGAGAGTTTGCTACGAGCTAAAAGCATCGATTACTTTAATTTCTACCTGAGTTCTCTGATCTGTTGCTCCCGAGTTCTCGCCAGTACTAGAAGGTTATCGTATCTCTCTGTCAATGCCGCTACCTCGCTACCTTTCGCAGCCTGCGTACTAAGCTTTCCATCCTCGACGAGCAAACCGTGCAGATGACGAACCAGTTCGATCGACGATTGACAGCTTCCAATCAATTTACTCTAGACAGACGAGAGAGAGAGAGAGAGAGAGAGAGAGAGAGAGAGAGAGAGAGAGAGAAGGGGTATTGAATTTTGTCGAGTAACTGTAACAAGGTTCGAACAACGATCGTACTTACAATATTCCTAGCAGTTGCATTGAGCCCAGGTCCAGCGACAGGATACGGAGTAACGGCGATTTCTAACGTGTCCAAGGCTTCGCTGCATTCGACGAGCGCAGCCTCTAGTTCCATCAAGTACGCGTCGCTGGAAGTCATTCTCAATAATTTCGGTAATGTGTCCACTTGAACGGCAGAGTCTTGTTCAAACTTCAATGTTTCCACTTGCACAGCCTCGTCGATTTCCACCTTGTCCTGTCCGTCGATTTCCGCCCTCAACGAGACCACTCTGCTCTGAATGTCCTTCCACAGCAGCTGATATTCGTCCACCAGTTCCTGTATCGTGGCCACCTCGTCGGGATGGCATTCTTGCATTACCTTCAAGGCCAGATCGTCGGCTTTCCGTAAAGTAATGTTTTGCGTCTTCAGCTCGTCATCGATCTCGTTCAGTTGTTGCAGTCTGCGTCGTATCGACGCTTTCTGTTCAGGCGTGGCGAGATGTTGAATTCTGGTCAGTCGGACGTCAACTTGCGTAAGCCCGACCACCGCCGCACCGTGTACCGTAATAAAGTCTCGATAATTTTTCTGTCCTTGTTGAAGCGCTAATAGAACAGCGCCGGTTCTAGGCTTTAACGTTCGCCACTTATCGATAAGCCGTCTGATCTCGCTGATAAGCGATTTCAAATTATCTGGCTCCAAACCTGTCCTCGCTAGGCGGGCAAAGTTTTCTTCGATTACCTTGACCACCGACTCGCGCGCCTCCATGCCCCGAGAAATCGTTTTCGCCCTTTCGATGGCCTTGTTCGATTCGTCCTTGGAAATTTCGTCCAGATTGGACTCCAATTCCAAGAGCGCCTTGTCGGTCTCGTCGATCCAACCCTCGTGCTTCGACTTGATCTCCTGCAACTCTTGCAGTATTTTCCACGCGAGGGCGATCTTTCCTTTCCTCTCGGCCGATTTCTTACAGGTGGCCGTCCACCTAGATTCCAGACCCTCCATACCGATCTTGATCGCGTCCGTGTTGAAGGAGGCCTTCCAGGCGTCGCAATCGGTCAACAGTATCTCGCAGGCGTTCAGCACCTCGCCGACGTTTCCGCTTTCCGCTTCGATGGCCTTCTGGAGGTGCTCGTGATCTTCGAGTTTCTTGTCGATGCAGCTCTGAGAGATCGTCTCGATCACCAGCGTCTCCGACAACTGAGATTCGACGCTGGCCAGCCAGGCCCTCAGTTCGTTTATCCTCCTCTCCAACGTGCTCATGGTTCTCATTAAATCGACTAGTTTCGTGGCTCTGGCTTTTCCCGTGGCCAGCAAACGATCCCATCTCTCGTTCGCTTCGTCCAAAGAGCGTTGCAGCCTTTCCTTTTCCTCCTCCTCGGCGACTTGAATCAAATCTTGTCCAGTGTTCTGCAACCACGAAAGTTCACGTTGCTTTAAAACGATCTCCGCCTGCAGCTCGCACTCCAGTCTCTTAAGCGCCTCTTCGGGCTCGTTCGGAGCAATCGTGTCACAGTTCTGGATCCGCATCTCCATTTCCTCTATCCAGGACAACAGTCTGGCCAATTTGTCTTTCCAGCGATCGTACAGGCAGCTGTCTTCCATCAGCCTGTAGACCAGCAACGCCACCGAGTGTTCGAGGTTGCCGTGCTGCTGATAGTATAGCATACGTTGCTGGTTTAACGTTTTCATATCCGAAGGGCTGAGACACTCTCTAAGCTGTTCCGCGATAACGTCCATAGACTCTAAATCAGAGCTCATGCCGGAGAGCCTGACCTGCAGCTGCCTCACCGACTCCAGCAGCTCGTTCGTTCTCGACAAACTGAGTGGTTTCGAGTGAAAAGCCGTGCTGACTGCCTGCCCGATCTCGTCGAACGTCTCGCCAATTCTCTTACTCTGCTTCTCGTAGTCCGCGTGAAGCTTCTGTATCCTCTGGACAAAGTCCCTCCAGGTCTCGAGGCTGGCTTTCAGATTGGCGATCCTTTGAGCGTCGGCTGCGTGCTCCATGCGTATAGAGACCGCGAGTGCCTCGTCGCAGTCGACGAGCAGGTATTCCTGTTGCTCCTCGAGCGATTCCAACTGAGTCTCGCCCTGCGGTATCGTCTCCAACAACGTCACTATCCTCTCCAGGATCTCCTCCAGTCTCCGAAGGTGGATGAACCTGAGGCGCAATTGGCTACGTTCCCTCTCGACCTTCTTCAGCCAGGCTAAAAGTTTGCTCTGATCGTGCTTGTATCTGTCCCAACCAGCCAACCTGTCGTAAACCGCCGTGTGTCTCTCCATGATCTTAGCCAGCGTTTCGTTGTGCAAATTCGTCAGGATGTTGAATTGCTCGGTAGTCGAAAGGGTGCTGCCTTCTTTCGTGCGCACCTTCAGAATGAGATCTTTTTGATGGGCCAGAAGGTTCCGATGCACCTCGCACAGATTTCTGTGCTCGGATAGACCGTTATAGTCACCGGGCACACCGTTAGATAGGAAATCCTGCACGTGCGATAGATACTCCTGCCAGAGCTTCAACGCCGTCGCACCATCCTGAGTTTTCACTAGACGAGCCGATAAACGGTTATATTGGTCGAAGGTTTTTTTAAAAACTGTCTGCCACAGCCTCAACACTTCCACCACCGACGGTATCTGTGTCGTTGCCTCCAAAATACTTCGCTCCTTGATGGATTCGAGTTGCGGTTCCGTGCACGTCAGCGCGAGAAGATGGTTCCACAACAGTTTCAACTGTTCATTGGACTCATTGGACTCATTGGACTCATTGGACTCATCCTGGCTCACCACGGGCAGACTCTATACAGAAGGAATATGAACAATTTATTCGTGATACTAGAAATGTTAACAACGATAATAAGAAAAAGAAATAAAGAACGGCCACGAGAAATCGTAACTTTTAACCCTGTTGTTGTTAATCGTGTTTCGTTCGCCACGGTCTGTGTTACAGCGATTCGGCCACTGTAAGCCTATAATAACTAACATTGTCTATTCGTGATGGTCGCGTCCTTGAGGATTTCCATCGACATCGACGAATCACCGTTGGCGATCCCATCGTAAATTCTATCGGAAACGCGGCGCAAATCGAAGGCGTTTCGGGGCGTCGAAAGTTTCGCCAAGAGTGTCGGGTGCACGGCCGGATTCAGCTGTTGCGGATTTCGTGACTGATGTAATTGCCACCCCGGTTTAGGCCCTTCGGCCTTGACACAACAAATTGTTTCGGAACTACCACGATTAAAATATAAACGCGCGTGCGAGGTAATGATCGCGAGCCTGTGCCAAGCACCAATAGTACGCGCGAGCCGGAAACCGATGGACGCGTGCAACGGATAAGTCCGATGGGATCGAGATATCACCTTGACGGAGGCACCGATTTCTCGAAAAATTTCAAATAATTCAAACTACGACGGGAATCTGAATCGGCCAAGGTCCCAGTCGCCGCGCTTCGGACTCTGTTAACCTTGCAGGATAATAAAAATAACCATCGCTGAGCTTTTCTAACGCGTGCCTGGCCCCGCGTTTCCGCGCCGCTCCAAGAACAAGTTGTAAAAACGAAAAAATTATAGTAGCTGACTCAAGTAATTTTAAAATTTCATTTATCCACCTACTACTTGTACATATACATATGTATTATCTTTCGGACACCGACGATGCACGTTATAAGTAAACTCTACTTACTTTAATCACCGATCGATGTACCGGCACGAGTCGGACTGATTTCCTTCCGAATTCTAATCCAATAGCAACGAAGACTATCGTTCCGAGAAGCGTCTGGCGGTAATTTAAGTAAACGCGGGGTCCGCTAAATCGGGCGACGTTCAGCGCACGTGTAAACACGTTTTCCATCGATATTCGTAACGCGGGACCAAAATATTTACGAAACTAAATCACTGTTTATCAATTTTCATAATACGTATAACATGTTTTAACGTACAGGGTGTTTGGCCATCCCTGGGAACAATGTTAATGGAAGATTCTAGAGGCTAAAATAAAACGAAAATCAATAATAAAATAAGATTGTTTCCCAGGGGTGGCCGAACACTCTGTTGTATACTACCATTTCTTACGCGAGTTACGCCACCGAAAATACGACGAACCTCAAAGAAAAAAGGCAAAAGGGAATATTAGTTATACGCGACGACCTGTGAAAAAGATTAATACTACTCGCCTGTTCGACAGAGTCCAGGAAATTTTTCGTGTGACATAAATCGCCACGTGCGGCCTCCTGGTTGAGAGCACGGGCATCCGCCGCGTCTGCGAGACATGACAAGGTTTCGCGGATATCTTCGAGACGTTGCCCCAGGGCCTCCACTTCGCAGTGCAACGGCTCGCTTGCATCCAGACCAACGTCCGATGCAATCTGTGCCACCAGGCCTCGAAGTTCCGCCAATCTCTCCTTGTGTTCCGCCATCGTCTCCTCGCAAATCTGGTGAAAATTTCAATCAAAACATTTAACGATCATCTCGTAATGTGCGCTCGGTGAAATTTACGCACCACTCTGTCAACACTATTTCTAGCTTATTTATTCTTTCATGGATATGTAACGAGTCGCTTTACATTCAATTAAGGTGTTTGAAAAAAAAACGTGGGCTACCCTCGTTTAGATATCGCGAGCGCAAAGGCTTATCTTAACGACTCGCTTCAATTTACTAACGTCGCGTTCTGTTAAGTTTAAGGTAATTGGAGACAAGCTGATCGTTAAACGATTACGATTTAGATATGTTGTTTGTCTGAATATTGTGGACGCTTAACAATTTCAGTGACAGGTTCTTGTTGGAAAGGTGTTGCAAGGCAAGTTAGATGAATGACATCGTGTTGTTTCAACGCATTCGTATTTCGTCAATGATACGAAGCAACAACGTAGACACACGTGAGAGATAGTATACGTGAATGGAGGGTGAGCAGAGAGATGAATGGTACGAATGAATGAATGAATGAAACAGAGACAGAAAGACGGTTGTCGAAAAAAGTGAAGCGAGTGCAAGCGACAGATGCGTACGGCAAACGGAATTGTGGACGCAACTTGAAAATTACCGACTATACAAGTTATCGATGTTTCCGAGCTTCGTTATCTTATATTCTTATGTGCGACGCAACGGGGTCTTCCGATATGCCAAGTCATAAGCAGCATTGTGGCGAGTTAATATACACGTCGAGATTAAACGAAACTCACTGTACGCAATGATTTCACAGAACCACGTAAATCGAACGAGTCATGACGATATCGTTTTTTATTAGTTTGAAAGCGAAACAAGCGAGTGCAACGTCGAAGGCAGACTGACACCGCTATTAAAAGGAAGAGCGGAGCATCCCCCTTAGAAAAAGACCGCCCTCTCGATCGACGATATCCAGGGATCGTTCTATCGTACCTTCATTTCCTCGGGCGTGCACATTATTTTCGATTCAGGTCACCGTTCATCGTTCCTATTTTTCACTGCGCGTCGCGGCTCGTCGCGGCGTCGTTCCGCGCGGGCGTAGCGAAGCGGACACGTGTCGTCCCGAAACGGAGCACATGCCTCGGATTTTCGTTCGGCCGGAGGCGAGCGGCTCGTCACGGCGAAAAGGATTTAAAAAAACGCACATAATCGCGTGGTGCGCGCGTGATCGAGAAACGTTGCGAGTGTTTACGATGCACGAGCGCGATTAGCTCGTGTGTGTGTGTGTGTGTGTGTGTGTGTGTGTGTGTGGAAGCGAAGAAGAACGCGATCGACAGTGACTCTCTCGCGAGGACAGAAACAAGCGTCCCGACGCTCTGGACCGGACTGGCGTCTCCGGGATCGATGCGCATACCCCGACCGAGTGGGGGGACTCTCTTGCCCTGTATTTCAACGACCTACCCTCGCAGAGTCACGTTTCGGTCGCACTTGCGTAGAGTGAATCGTTCTCGTCCTACGTCCTGTTTTTCTTACGGTTAGGCGTGGCGGGGACAATGACACTATCCCGAAGGCTCCATTCAAGGGACGAGCTTCTGATTCCAAACCTTCGAGTACGATGCCCGTACTATGCACAAACCTCCATTATCCGTGAAACGAATCAAATTTTCTCACCTAATGATCGTGTTGTACTAGACGTTAAAAGAAACGAAACGAATTCGTACGGAGATCCTTGCTCATAGTGTTAGTATTTTGATCAATGGTGGTGGCCGATAAACTTCCAAAGATACGAAATTTTTGGTTTATCTAAACGCGATAGACAGCCTGTCTTGTTTGGCAATGCATACAAATGGTTACCGGACTTTGATAATAAATATTAGTCATGGATGTTTAACGCGTGATATCAATAACGATCGATACTCGGAGCAGGTAGACCGATGAGTCATGTTTCTAAAATCGACAAAAGACAATGGAATTTCAGGGTTGGGATTAAAAACAACTTTATCCCTTACTCATAGAAATAAATATACTTGGGTCTATGGTACGTAAAGCTTGATCCATTAACCGGGGAAATCATTAACTCCACGATTAATGGGTTCAACGGAAATCAATAATTTGTATACCGCCAACTCACAGTGTATACGTATACACACAATTTTATCTGACGACTCGGGTGTTATACATATACATGTATACAGAGAGCGCTAATCTTTTCGTTCGTACGATAGTTTCTTTTTATCGAAATCAAGCGCATATAGAGAGACGTTAAAACAGAGTGGCGTAAATGCATACCTTGATGTGTTTGACAGCCTCTTCGGGTGGTAGGTTGGCTACGACGCTGTCCATCTGCGTGTCCGCCCAGGCTTTAACCGCGGCGCTGGAGTCTTTGTACTGTTCCCACAATCTGCAGGCGTGCTGATACTTGGTGCAAAGGGCATCTAATTCGGCCCTGGTGTCCTCCCAGGCCTGTACGGCCTCATTTACCGCCGCTTCGACCTTCTCGCGGACCTCTGCAGCGCAACCCTCCCGCAGAGGTTCGGCAGCCTCTCGCAATTCACCAATGAGAACTTCTCGCGCGCCCAAATCACCGTTGAGACCCTGAACAGACAGACATACGATCCTTCGTATATGCGCGTATTTTTATTTTTATTTTTCCACGCCTTATTAGTATTGTCCTATCATCGTGTTCACGTACCCCATTGCGAGTTTAATTTCCTGCCATTGGTTTCTAATCGACGCAACAAAGTTAGCAATTACGTATTATCGTTTTCTGTCCCTTTGATATCGAGGCTGATACGCGTGTACATCAATTAAATAGGTTTAATCTAGTTCACTTGATCAGTTTATTTACCCGCGTTTCATCGTACAGATCAACGAAACGAACTTGCGCGGTGAAGCTTGTTTTATTGGGCCAGGAATTGAATGTAATTTCAATTGATTTTCTCCGTGCGATTAAACGTCTCGTTGCTAACATTAATTACCATTCCTTTCTTCAAATAACCACGATAGCGAGTTTAGTATGTTAATACGACAACAATGAGAATACTGCTCGAGTTTATGATTTCATCGAGCAAACGACGCGCCGTAGAATAAATATTCCAACGAGGGAAACTGCACTGCACGGAAATCATGCTCATTAGCGACGATTAAAATTATCTGTGACGTACGTACAATGATATTCGACCGCGATACAGTCGGAGGTTTCGTCTATTTCTTACAATATCACATGGAATCGAACATGGCCTTTGCGCAACCGCAATTATGGAAAAAAAAGGAAGATCGAACATTGTTCTATTGTTTCATTCCTATTCGAGACACGTTATTAAAATTAACAGAGTCCACAGTTTGATGCTTGAACGTATATTTGCAAAACAAACAGTCGAGTAGAAAGAAAATCCTTGATTTTTTACTATACCGGCACTATACTCGTGCATCAATTTACTTGGCTCGAATTCCAAATCGTTGCGAAACTCGTGCATATCGTTGGATATTCGCGTTCTCCCTTAGACAGGGAGCGAGAGAGACGTGGGGAAAAAGAGGAAGGAGGAATCCAGAGAACTCGAGATTCCGCGATATTCGCACGATCGTAAGATATCGTTCGAATCAGATTCCCCGTGCGAGAGCGTCGTCGCATTGCTCAAAGAATGTACACGCTGGTTTCCCTTAAATACGAACTATAAATAATTTTGAGTCACGAGACCAGCACGTTTCGAGGCTCGCGCCTTCGAATTCGGTCAGAGCGTGGTTGAACTAATTCTGTGCCGTGTACTCGAGTTCGTTCACCTGCCTGAGAATTTTCCACCGAAACCGTAAGCGGAAATCGAATCGCTGCGAACCGCGCGTTTCGCGCCGCTAAAATTCATCCAACAATCTCCGTAAACTTCCCATTTTACTTTACTCTCGTGTTCCTTCATTTTCCGTGTCGTATACTAGCAACGAGAAACTCGCATTCAAGTTTAAACAATTTAAACGTTTGCTACGGTGCTCCGTTGGCTGCGAACCATGTTGTTTTAATATCTGTAATAATACGCTGCTAAAAATAGTTGTAAAGTCATCTTCTAGAAATATTCTTGCTAAAATACACACGTGTGTGTACATAGAAACATTATATTAGATTAAAAGACAACTTTTTAAATTAAGGAACAAACACAGCTTCCGAAATTTTCAGCGATTAATTCGGATAATCGAGTTCTGCCGATGTCTATTTAAAGACTACGCGTGCTGGGCCGCGTCGCGACGCGCGCCATACGAGCGAAGCAGCTCTGCTCTTGTCGATTTTAACGAACCCGATCGGTCGATTTTCCACAGGCCGGAAGTCACTGAATCGTGGGTGCTGAATCGCGATAAGCAACGGGACAGGATGTTGCGGCCTGCCAGAAATATCCGCCTCGTCCGTTCGTCTAGTCGTAAACGCTGAAATCCTTACAAGTTTCACGAATATTACTACTTTTGTTTATATTAACCGTGCAATGGATCGTAAAAGGGGCCGTAAAACTGCGAATAATCGACATCTAAATTCGTGACTAGAAATTCGAGAGGCGAAGCGTAATCGAAAACGAACGCCAACGAAGGAATTCGTAAACAAGCCTCTAGCGTCTTCGAGGCTAGGTAAACTCACGGCTTTTCCACGTGGCGTAGTTTACATACCGTATCACTGCGTCATAGTTCCAGACACTTTGGTCGTTTGTGTCATCCCGCGTAATTATATCAAAGTGGATTAGCGAGCGACGTTTGTCTGGCACATGTCTGTTTTTTTTACAGTTTAATATCCGTCACGTTCATTGCCGCACATGATACAGTGACAAAAATATCTGCTACCTTATTCCCTGACGATTACATCGATACCGTTTTCAAATTTACGATCTTGAATGAAGCAACACGTTCGATCGCGACGATTCTTTTAGATACAGTAATTATTTCGGGAATTGCGATTACCATGCTTTTAATTGTACTTACTCTTAGTTTCACAATCGTGCCACGTGGAATTGGAATATTTCATGAAGCGTAACGTTGCACGATCAAAATGTAAATGAAGAATTATGCGCACGACGACTTGGCATTCGTCGTTCTTTAAAGACGATTTATCAAAACTTACTACCAGAAATATTCTTCTTTATTTCTGTAGCAGCTATTAATTATAAAAACTTTGAGTTAAAACGTAAAATTCCTATAGCTATCGCGTAAAGATCTACGAAACTGTAATGGATATTAATGTTTCTCGAATACTGCTAATCGTCAAACATTTTCGAAGCTAAAAAACGTCAACTGTGGCTAGCACAGCTGTAACTACATAGTACACGTATCTCTTTTTAAAACGAGTCATTAGTTTCCGTACGTTTGTATATCTATCCTTCGGCCTGGTTTTTGTTTGTATGTACAACGAAACGTGACCTACACGGTATCAAGAAGAAACAAACGATTACAAAGTTTCTGGGCACCTTATCTGTTCTTCAATTTTCCCATCACGCATATCTCATCACTATGCTTTAACCGAAACTGAAAAACTAAAACAGCAATCGTCGCTTATAACGCACAAAGTCTGAGGAAAGGGGCACAGAACAAATTCGCTTATCACGCATTCTAACGTAATATCGAATTCGTATCACCTTGGAGTTTTTGAAATGGTTTACCGGCGAATTGTCAGCGACCGATATGAATATTCAACGCTTACTTCCGATCAGCCGATTCACTGTGCCGCGCGGAAACATACTCGGCCCTCCGCAAATTGACGTAGCGTCGACCGTTCCGTCGATCTTCCGCGTGAATCGCGTCACTGCCGTTCCTCATTCTTCATTTCACGATCGGTCGAGTCGTCGACGAAATTTTTGGACGTCTCGACGATGACGCGATCGTCGCGACGACAACCGCCACGAAGCATAAGAATAAAGCGAACGAACGAACTTGAGCGTCGCGGCGTAGAATTGCCGATGCGAACGGAGCCGTTTGACATTTAAATATACGCGCCGGCGATGCGAACGCAACGACGGTAGTCGTGCCACTGATAGGGAACTCGCGATAACGCCGATTTAAACCTTGAACCACGCATGCGCGAAACCGAGCCGCGCTTCTCTTGCACGTGGCGCAAGTTATAGCGTCGAAAAGTGCATCTTCCGGTATTACCGTCGACCGATCGATCTGCAATTGCCGATGCACCGGTGCATCGCGTAACAGTGCACTTTAGGATCGAAATTTCCGGTGCGCGGTATGTGTTGCCACTAAAAATTCAACCTTTTTAAAATCAGTTTTTGCTGTACACTTGTAGGTAAACTAGTTTTTATCGACGCCATAATAAATACTAATTTAAAAGTGCAACGATTCGTAATACTTTTAAGCTTTACCAGAAAAGATAATATGTAGTTTCTTTTTCACTGGAATCGAAAGCTTTGCTGTAAGAATGCAGGTCGCTCGATACTGTCGAGTCCCAGTTATACAAACTTGTAAAACTTTTAACGCATTCCGGATTCTAAGACTGTACACGGTTGGAGGAATGTTTGACCGAGCGGTGTCGTTCGTGTTATAAATCTTGGATACTTTGAATCGTTTCGTCGTTCGACCAGGTTACTTTACTTGCACGAATTTCTTACTATCTAATTGTCTACACGGGGATTCATTGATTTATAATTTTCTTTCCCTATGGCAGGAGAATAATTTTAGTGGAAATACGTAGTTTTATTTTTGTTGCCGCGTATGTATTAGGATAGTAAGAAAATGTTTAAACTTACTTCCAAACGTTCGGTAGCCTTCAGCAGCCTGTCGTAATCGACGGACCCCTGCACGGTTAACAGCTCCATCATATAGTCGGCTTCCTGAACCGATTGCTGCACCATTTCCAATTGTTTCTCGAACCTTCTCCACAAGGTAAGTCTGTTCTTCAACAGGCCCAACAAACGATGGCACCTAGCTTCCAAATCGGCGTGAGCGTCTTGAAGGCTGGAAATGTCTCGTTCCACGCTGACCGGCGAGACCGAGACTCTCATCACGATCGGGAGAGTATGAAGCATCTGTCTGAGTCCCATAATGTCTTGCCATAAAGTGGCGAGTTCGTCGAGGATCGTTTGACAGCGATCCACAGCCGCTGCGACCACGTCGCTTCCCTGTTGCTCGCTTCCCTCGCATTGGTCCAATACAGATGATTGCCGTTTATGAGCTTTCCGGACACGGCTGAAGCCACGCTGAATCGCCTGAAGTCTTTCTCGGATCAGTTGCGCGGCGTCCAGTTCCTCGCTTATCTGGTTCTCGACGCGACGAGCCGAAGACAACAGGACGGCAACTTTTTCGCTCTCCGTCACGGGTAACAGACCCAGTCGGCCCAGCTCGTTCTGGATCAACGAGATCCTGTCGAACAAAACTGTCAGTCGTTCGATGTACAGATCCAGTTCTTCCTCCGTCTTCAGGACACCGTGAAAACCGTCGATCGTCATTCGCAGTTGGTTCAATTCTCTCTCGAGCAGCTTTAGCTTCTCGTTCGACGAGATCTCCTCGGAGGAGATGTTCCGTGTGACGTCCTCTTGGATGCTATTGATCCGTTGAGCCAGATCGTTCCAGCGATCCTGAAGCTCGCGATGGAATTGCCTTTGTAACATTTCGTCCGAGAGTGGAACGATTCTCAGAGCCAGTTCGAAGCTGTTGTTCGCTTCTTCCCGCATGTTGTTATGAACCTCGTATTGCGCTTTCAATTCCTGTACAGACGAAAGAGAGGCTCGCGATGTATCGAATCGGAATAGCGTAGAACCTTCTTTTTAAGAAAACATACCCAAAATTGACGTACGTGGCCTCCCGATGGGTCGCCGAGATTCTTCAATTCCTTCTCTACTTTGGTCATCCAGTTCTCCAGACGGTTCGTTAACACTTCCTGATTGCACCAACTCTCTTTGAACCCCTGCAGACGTCTCAACGAGGATTCCACGTTCTCCTGAAGCTTCACGATCACGTCCAGAGCTTCTCCGTAACGATCTTCGGGATCCTCGATGTTTATTAGATCCTGAAGACTGCGGGCCACGTTCAAGAGCTGAACGAGCCGAGCATGATGCGTCGTTACGTCTGCCACCAGCGACTGAAATGAAAATCAAGCAGTTTATAATTATTCGTAGGATCGTGTTTATATTTTCCATAAAAGTAGACAGGATAAATAGACGGCTTACTTGATGCAACGAGATGTACTGGTCGTAATCGGACGAAGTTACTGTTTGGAGATCGGGAACTCGTTGGTGAGCAACCTGGAGCCATCCCCTTTCCTCTTTCACTCCCTGTTCGAGGATGATCCATCGAGATGCAGCTAATGCCATTTGCTGAGCCCTGGATGCAGCTTGATCCAACAACGACATAGCTCTGCTGTGCAGTTCCTCGTGAAGATCCGAATACTTGGTTCTCGTTTCAGGATCCAGGTTCCCTTCCAACGATTCCAGGATTCCTCGACAGTGGTTCAGGTTGACGAAGAATTTCCTGTGCTTCTGCATCTCTTCTCGCAGATGTTCCAGGCTGATCACAGAGATCGGGCTTCCCAACAAGTTCTCCGCGATCTCGGTGATCTGCGCGAATTCCCGAAGCGTTTGTTCGTACTCCTCGGCCAGGGCCAACAGTTGCAGAAGACGGTCCCGTTCAATGGCTATATCGTGTTCGATCGCCTTGGTCATCTCGTGGCCGGTGTAGGTCTCTTCCGGGATATCTATTCTGTGATAATCGCGTTGCCATTTATGCGACTCCGCGATAAGCAACTCGGTTTCCCGCATGTTACACCGGTTTATGATCTCCAATTTCTCTAGCTCCTGGAGCTTCCATTTCGTGGACGCTTCGAGATCGATTATCACGTTTAGTTCGGCACGTCCCCCTTCGATGCACCTGTCGCAACGATCGCGAAACAAAGTTCGTATAACTTGTAATAACAGAAAAGAACTTGTTTATCACCGAACAGAAAACCACTTACCTGTACATGTTCTTTACTCCGTGCTCGAATTTTTCCCACCTGGCCAGTTCCATGGTGATGTATACTACGCTGCAGCTGGTAAGGTCTTGGATGTGCTTCGCTTGACACGTCACAGCTTCCAGGCATTTCTGTACATTGTTGCGGTCCTCCTTCGGATAAACAGTCTGGCATAACTGCCACATATTGTTCAGTTTCTGAATGTATTTTTCTACATTCTTCGCTTCGTCTTTAAGCACGGTGTAGGATTTATCGGCGTCGGAATCAACGACAGGATACGATTTTCTCCAAAAAATCCTGTACTCGATCGTTTCCAACCAATTTGTAATCATTATCACGATATTCTCCAGCGCTTCCTCCACGATAAACGTATCCCTTTCTCTAATCGCTTTCCTCAGGTCAGACAGTTCATTGTTTATGTCGAAAGAATATAGGTCTTCTGGCATGTTTCTCTTTATTCTATCTAGGTGAACGACGTGTAGAATGTTCCCCAGATGACTCGGTAGTTTAGCGTTTCGAAGACTTTGCATTCGATCCGAAGTCATTTTTGTGGTTTTACTGAACAGAGTCATTTGAAGCGGCGGCGACCAATCAGCATCCATGGTCGCGGGCAAAATAAAAGCCTCCGAACTTTCGACTTTTTGTGAAATTGACTGATGAGGCATCTCCCACGAAGGTTGTTCTTTCTCGTCGTATTTTCGTCTAGACGGTTTCTTGGAAGATTCGCTTATAATGTCTGCGTAGGTCTTGATCTTCGGTCGATCCTCCTCCGTTTCTACGGGCGACAATGATTCTTCGGCCGTAGTCATTGGTTCCGGAGAAGGCATACTCGCTACGACTTTCGTCTCTAATGGTGCTTGGACGATTGCTGGTTCCGTCGTTGTTGTAAATGGCAAACTAGTATCTTCTATACACTCTTTGATCTCGTCGACCGTCTCTTCCGGTAAAAATTTTGCATATTCCTTTTGTCCAACGTCGTCACCTTGTTCGGGCACTTTTTCCAAACCAAACACCTCACTGACTGGACATTTTTCTTTGCCGGCGTTCTTTCTAGCAACGTCGGAATAAGATAACTTTAATGAAACATCCCGTGACTCTATAGGCTGACCAAATATGGATTCCAGATCCTTTTCTCCCGACGAACAGATTTCGATGGTTTTGTGCCTCCTTTTTCGCTTCTGTCTCTTCGCGGCGTTACTATCTTCCGCCTTTGCCGTGTTGCTCGACTCTTGGACGATCGTCGTGTCCGGCGACGTATCGGTCAATATGCTCCTAGTGTCGGTGGTACTGTCGCTGGTCGACAATTCTATGGTTGCCTGCAAACATATTTCAAACGTGGTATCCTCAATCGCGTCGTTCGATTCCTTTGTCTCCGACTTAGGCTCCACCTCCACCGATTTCACTTTTTCCGTTTTCGAGTAATCTTGGATTTCTTGTACTTGTACATCAGGTGCTGCTGGAATTTTTTTGTCTTTTAGAGGCGTTTTCGTCTCTATCGCCGCATCCAGTACATCGACTGTTGCGGCTGCTAACACGTCTTCTTCCGCATCGTCTTTCATTATCGTCTCCTCTTGTTCTTTAGCGTGATCCGCAACCGTATCGCCGTTCGTTTGCTGGGAAACCGTCACCAACGATAATTTCCTCTTCTCGTCGCTTGGTTGCGTTTGCACGCTGCCTTCGCACGTATCAGGAACGATTTGCACGCTTTCCTCGACGCGTGGAATCAGTTCGGTTGCCTTTATCTGTACCGAGCTGTCCGACGTCTTTATCTTCTCTGGCGAACTGGTTTGCGATTGTTCGTCGATCGTCTCTTGTTTAATATCTTCCAGACTGGTTTGAGCGGACAGCTCGCGAACTTGGACCTGAATCGGGGAGACGGAAGTTGTCGGACTGGTCTGGGTCACCGTTTCTTGAGTCGGTTCGGGCAACACCGTCTGCGACTCTGTTTCCTGGGTCTCGGTTCGTCGAGGACTCTTCTCCGGAGTGGTTTGAGTTTCGACGACCTCGACGGATGGCTGTTGCGTTAGATCCGCCTGGATGTTCAAGTCTAACGTGCTCTTTTCCGGACTAGTTGACGGACTGATGCTGGTCTGTGCTTCCGTTTCGATGGTCTTTGACTCTTCCGGGGTCACAGTCTGAACACCGATACCGGTCAGATCCTTTTGCTCGCTCGCCGGTGGAGTTGTTGTTTGTTGTTCGGTAGCCACGAGCGTTTTCTCTATCGTCTGAGTCTCTATTTCTATAGATGGAGCCGACCAAGGTGAAGTCTGCGCCTCCATGGAAACCACGTTCGGAGATGCCTGGGTTTCTTCCGTTCTTGCTGAAACGATCGTCGGTTGGACATCTTCTATCGGACTGGTTTGAACCTCTTCTACTCGCGTCTCTGACGTGTTCAGAGTCTGTGTGCTTATTTCTTCGATTCGTGGCGTTTCTGTAGCCGTTTGTATGCCAAAATCTAAGACAGAGACCGGTGAAGTCTGTATTTCGGAGTGGTGTGTAACGGCTGGTGAGGTTTCTTCGAGGATAGTTTGCGCCCCAAACTCCAAAGCTGTCAAGGGAGACGTTTGCACGTTCGCGTGGACTTGTTCCGCTTTCGGTGTCTCGATTTCCTCGGAATCTTCCGGCAGAATTTCCATCGACGTCTGTATTTCTTCAGCTTGGAATATTTTTGTCCGTTCCGAGAGCTGCGGGGACGTTTGAACAAACGTTTCGCAGATCGTTTCCTCTTGCGGAGACGTAGCAGCTACGGTGACATTAAATTCTCGTGGAGTGGTCTGAGTATCCGCTTCGTTCAACGCTGGAACGCGAGCGGTTTCCTCCTTGCTAAGATCTTCCCGCTTCTTTTTCTTCTTTTTCTTCTTCGTAGCTTTTGCGTCCTCGGTTTCTGTCGGAACCAGATCGTCCGTGAATTCTCCTTCGTCGGTGGTGGTCTTTGGAAATTCCGACTGCTCTTCCTCCCTGGAACTCCTCATCCGCTGTTTCTTCTTCTTCCTTCTCTTCTTCCTCGCCACGTTTTCATCGTCCGGCGTGGTGGTGGAAGCCATCGTTCTGTCGTCGGCTCTGTACCCATCTTCGTCCTCCGAAGTTTCGTCTTTTAACGTTAAATCGATTTCGGTCGACTCGATCATCTCCGCAACGTCCGGTAGCGGTGTTTCGCTTACGTGTATCGATGAGTCTGACAACGGGACGTTGATCTCCACCGAATCGGCGATGTTCGAAACGATCCAAGTACTCGATTTCGTGTCTGGGGACTTTATTGGCGAGCCGGCTTCTTCTTCGGTCTTTATATCTGTGTGACACTCGTCTTCTTTTTCCGAAGTAACCACGGACTTGTCCGTAATTTCTTCCTTTTCCGAAGTGATGACTGATTTGTCGGACGTCTCCTCTCTCTCCGAAGTGATCACCGACTTGTCAGAGGTGGCGACTTCCTTCTCCGTCGTGACGATCGATTTATCCGCGGTGGAAATTTGCTGTTCCGGTACCGATACCGGTACCGGTGCCGGTACCGGCGACGTTTGAACGATCTTGTCGTGAATTATCGAGGTGCTTTCCTTGTCAGCTGGCAAACTGATGTCTACATCCTCTTTCACCATTCTATAAGGCGCGACAGTCGGTTCGGCTTGACTTGTCACAGACACCATTGGTTGGATTTCTTCTCCTTCCTTCCGCACGGCTAATGAAATTTCTACTTTATGGAAGAGTGGTTTGTATTCTGGTTTCAAAGCTTCGTCAAAGTAGTCGTATTCTGACTCTGGAACGAACGAGTCCTTCACCAATTGTTGTTTGTCGTTGATCGGTACAATATGTGGTTCGTCTTCCATCTTTTCCGCGTCAGGTTTCTCGACTTGGTCAGGTTGATCTCCTGAAATTTCAATTTTCTGTTGTAGCTCCTCCGATAACATCGGTACGCCGCCTTGCGTTTCGCTCGTGATCGGTTTGATCGTCCAACTTTCCTCTAATACAGAGACGTCAGGAACTACGGTGCCGCTAATGTCATCGTGCTTTTCTAAATCTACCGTGCGTTCTTCTAGCTCGATACCAGGTGTTTCGATCTTTACGGGTGCATCGACAGACTTACAAGTCGCTTTAGTGGTGGTTGGTAGATCGTCCAACGTGACGGAATCGATCGGAGACTCGACTGGTATCTGTTGTGTCTCTTGTACCTTGATTTCTTCAATAGGACTCTGTAAACCAGCGGATATTTCAGCATCGATAAACGCCTGACTATCCATCGCGAGTGACTTTTTCCCATTTACCTCTATCGCGAACTGCTCGCTCTCGTACTTGTCCACAGTCGGAGGTACCTTATTCTCTGAAACAGATACCGATTCGACGCTTCCGTCACTCTTTAATTGATCAATCTGCACCAGAGATTCTTCGAGACTTTCCGGAGGCTGTTCTTCGGAACTTTCTGGAACCTCTTCTTTCGGAATCTTTGCGTCTGTGACTATCTCTTCGATTATGACGATTTCTTTCTCCATTTCGGGGAGAGATTCCTTTTTCTTTGGGTCCAGGTACCCCGTTGGAAGTCCTGGATGCATGTCCTTAGCGAATGCGCCAAAGAATGGCCCTTGCATGGGAGTGTCGTCGACGTCATCACCCTGTTCCTGTTCTAAACTTTTTCCCCTTTTACTCTCTTCCTTTTCCTTTGACGGAAACCGATCTTGCGTCCTTTCCTCCGTCGATCGGCCGTCTCCACCGAATTGCCGTTGTTCCTCGTGTTTGACGACGTTGATGCTTATATGTGGTATGTTTTTCTCGTCCACTTCCACTTCTTCGGGCTCCTCTATTATCTCCTCCGAAGCGGTCTCCTTGCCATCGACGATCGTCACCTTTCGAATGATCCTTCTGGTCTTTCTGACCACTCGTCTGGTCACCTGTTGCACCATTGCGTGCACGCTGGACGTTTTTGCCTGATATTCTCCGGCCTCTGTCTGGATTCCGTCCTCGAGAGGTTGCGGACTAACGTCACGAATGTTGCCCTGCGTGACAGTGTGCGTGTACCGAGGAGCCGACTCGTATTCCTCGACGTCTACGTCTTTGAAAGGCGTCCCGGTGGCGATTCTACCACCGTAGATCTGTTTCGTGGTGGTCTCGATGGTCCCATTCGGCTTTTCGGCGGTCACCGTGATCTGCTGATCCCTCATGGTGGCTTCCGAAAACGCGTGAACCACGGACGGAGCGTCTCCGATTGCCGTCGTCATCGAGGACGAGTGTTGTTGAGCGGTTTGTCTGCTCGTCACCATCGTGCGTCTTAATTTCCTCACGATGATTCTTTTCGAACCATCTTCGTCTACCACGACCTCGGTGGTCACGTCGTCAGGTTCGACCAGGACCGTCTCGAACGATTGCGGAGCTGCGTGGACTATGTTCAATTCGCTGGTAGTCAGTGGATTGTCAGTGTTTTTAGGATCTTGGTACTTCATGTCCACGACGATATCCTCCGGCATCGCGTCGAGACGTTCCTGTTCGATTTCCTGGTTGAACGCGGTTGCCAGATTTTTCGTGGCTATCTCGATCACGTCGTGGTTTCCGTCCGTGGTTTTTACAATCTTTATAGTTTCCTGGACCTGAGGACTCTCATTAGGGTTGTCTACGGTTTGCGTGGTCAGCGAGTGACACGTTGCTGGCTCCGGGATTTGATTCGTGGAGGTTTGCTTGGTGAGCTGCTGCGGTTTCTCGACGATATCGTTTGCTAGCAAACTCTGTCCTGTTTGCAGAGACACGTCAACCAGAGACGGCATGCTACTTTCGAACGACGACTGAATCGAGGGTGCCTGATCGAGGGTAGCGTCGTCTCGTTCCGACATGTCGTCCGCTTGCGCTTCTTCCTCGCAGAGCTCCTGAAAAATTTAAAGGATCTGGGTGAACGAACATGTTAGACGTGTTACAACTTCATTGACAGAGCTTCAATAATGGATGTAGTATGAATGAAGTTTAATTCGATGGCAGACATTAACACTAAACCTTCCACGACCGGTCATCTAACTGGTTAAATGATTTATATTTTTTTTTGTAATGAATTGAACAAAATTTTGTATCAAATTCAGGTTAGCTTCCGATGTAAATAGGAAATATATGTATAAAAGGAGAGTCTTGGAACTGTCTAACAACGAGTATTAAAAATATTAAAACTTTACGACGCGTGCTATTTCGAAACTATTAGTGTTTTATTAATTATTAAGGTATTGTTAGAAGCGACAAAGCCTCCCCTTTAAAATGGCTTTTGGTTTTTGACGATCGGATTTTCCGTTTTCGAGATATCGCAATTTTATGTAAAAGGTAATTTTTTTTAATCCGACTCCCTCACTGTCCGTCGCGTGTACAATAGCCTATTCACGCGTATTAAAAATACTAAAAGTTTAGACGCGTGCAGTTCCGAAACTATTAGCGTCTCATTAATTATTAAGGCATTGTTAGAAGCGGCAAAGCCTCCCCTTTAAAATGACTTTCCGTTTTCGAGATATCGTAAGTTATGTAAAAGGTAATTTTTTTAATTGGACTATCTCTGTCTTCGTCTTGAGTGTCGGACCTCTTTGTCGCACGTGCATCGTGCTGACCTACCCCACGAACGTGACTGACGTGACCTAGTTTCTCGGGCGTAGTATTTCCAAGAATTTACTACGCACTGTATTACGTTTTGATGCGCGCGCGCGCGCGCGCGCGAGAGTTCATTGATTATGCACTTCCGCATCTGACCACCGTCGATCGACTCGAAACTATTGTAAAATCGCTATATCTCCGGAACTAATTAAGCTAACCGACCTGTACGACCTCTCATTTTAAAGGGCATTTCATCCCCTATCCGATGACTATACCAACTACCATAATTTATGCCGTCTTCTATGTTTATTTTGCAATTTACTTTGACGTTACATACCAAAAACTGTTTCAGCAATTCTTATCGATTATACGTGCGATAAAATTAGATTATAAATTGTTTATTTAATCGAAAATGAATTTAACTTTGCACACAGGATGTTTGCGTAATTACTATGACACCATTTTTTAGTAGACGTGGTTTGTAATTTTTCTGTATACAGTTCTCAGTAAAATATCTTACGGAATAAACTTTAAAACACAACTTTCTATACATATAATGCAAAAATTACAATTACGTTGCCTCGTGAGAGAGAAAATGAAACACTGGTCATTAGACTGGTCATGGTAGGAATGGGTATACATGAAGTGTCGGTAGGTTTAGTGTTAAATTTCGCTACTTGTAAGCTTTGTGATTTAAACTGTAGAAGCAATGGGCTGAATTTAATGAAGAAAATTTTATCAATTCATTATGTATTATGTAATATGTTGGAGAGCAGCGCCAAAGGCACCAGCAGAGCCACCCTGAAGTAGCAAAATCTAATGATTGTTTGTTAATGGTACCACTACGTTAATCATATGTTTGTTTGTCGATGCCGATTGTTACGTGATTCGATTGAATTTTGAACATTTTAATAATCAACACAGTTGCACCTGCATGGAGTCGATGGAAACGTAGACGAAAAAGTTATCCGATGATTATAATCGCTCAGGACCGTGAACAAGAGAATATCCGCGGACCAGAACACTCCGCGTAACACTGTCGTATTTTTAGCTTTAAATGAACGCAACGCCCGATTTTATTTCAATGCGTCTATTTCGAGCACACTTGTCATATACTTGAACCGTAAAGTATATGTAGATAAAAAAAGAACCTGCGATCTATTTATTTGGACACATCAAGCGAACCAAATTTCTCGACGAAACGGTGTACCGGTGAAAATAAAATAGCATTCAAGGCAACTTTTCAAAAGTTTGTTTTACGAATCTTAACGAATAAAAAAATATTTACATCGTTCATCGATTACATATTAATTATCTTTCGCGTTATTTTCGTTACCATATATCGAGACACGATGTGTATATACAGTATATGCTACGTACAGTGACATCGGGGATAAATAAAGGGGGAGGTGGGGATTAATGAGAATACTTTAATTGCATGAAAAAATTACAGTAACAATATTATTAACATTCCTTAAACAAATGCTGTGGCCTATATATGTATGTATATATATCCAATACCTTAAGCTAAAGGAATATAAAGTGCGTTGCAAATAATACATGATGAGATAAGAGCAGAAAAAAAAAGAAAAGAAAAGAAACAAACGGCGACAGTGATGAAATGTTTGCGATGTTGCGTGATGAAAAGCCTATAAGAAATTAACGCGATGTCGGTGTTTATAGCATATGAGAGGAGTGAAAACGTATATATGTTTGATAAGACGAACCTTCAAGGCGTGATTCCACTGAGGCAACATGTAGCATGCGGCAATGACTCATGCGACGAAACACAATTTTATTAAGGCAACATTTAGGCAACATGTCGCATGCGATTACGACGCATGCAACATGAAATCGACGTTATGTAGACACTTGACATGTGTATTTGCTACACATTCATTTGTTTCCTTTCCGAAATAAAGAAATGCGGGATTATTTGATATTGTTTTGTCGGATCGACAAGATTGAACATGTCGAGCAATGTCGTCAGTTAATGACAAGTAGCATGCTTACAGGTCGCATAGTGTTACCAAACGCGACATGTGGCATGTTACAAGTCGCATAGTATTGCCTCAGTGGAATCATACCTTCAGGATTACCCATACACGTGCAATATGAAACATAATTGTAACGAATATAAATTACTACGTCGAAGCAGCGAAAGTAAAAGAATATTACATGCTTCGCCATCTAACACTCACCCTGCTCCCTCTATTATTGTACAAGATACAAGCAGTATATGTATATTAATTCTACATATACATACTGTGCAGATTTATATTATTCTTCGGTGTCTCTTGGTTTGGCAAGAGATCGAATAATATGTAGTTTCCGTTTCTTCGAAATGACTAGACGGTTAGACTAGAACGATCAGAACGACTAGAAAATTAGACCGAAGGTTTCTCATTATTTTCGAACCGATCGAAAGATTGTCTCGATGGAAACGAGTTTGCATTTGTCTTTTTAAAAAAAAATTCTCTCGGAATTTGGTGGTTCGCGTTGGACTTTCGTCTCCCTTTCTAATCATCCCATACTTGACGAGATTGTTGCGTGAAGGTCAGCGCAGTTTGCGAAAGCCCCCGAGCATTGGAAAACGTTGGATACCTGCTGCCTTTGCTGCAGACGAGACATCACCTCCAACAGCGCATTCTTCAGGACCTTTGCCAGCGTGCTGATTTCTGGCAGAGATTCAAGCTCCGACACTCGCTGCGCGTGACTGCTCAACTCGTCCTGCAAAGCCTGTTCACATAGACACACAAACGTAGCACCATCGCCGTGATTCCGTTTAAAAATAAACCGGGAACGCCGGTATTCTAAAACCGGGGATTACGGTGATATCGCGTATCGGCGTGGCGCGTCGCGACGCGTATCGGCGCCAGACGAACAGTTGTAAACCAACCGAGTTTAAACGTATTTAGTATTCCAACGTGATTTTCACTCTTACTATTTTCATGGTTTCGATTCCGCGAGATGCAAGTACTTAACGCACCTTGTTCGTGACAATCGGTTGTTGCTCCCTCATGCTTGCCACGATGTTCTTCAACCAGGCATCCGTTTCGTCTAGAAATTGTTTGTAAGCGTGAATGTCATGGCCACGTTGTTCATGGTGGCCACGCGCCCCCTCGAGAGTGGCGCGTCCTTGTTCTGCCTGCGCCAAGAGGGTGGCAATGCGCGTTTGAACTTCCGCTAGATTGCTCAAAAGCCTCTGGGCCTCGGCGTCTGCTGGAATTTTACGCAACTCTTCCTCCAATTTCCGCGTCTCCTGCTCGTAGCCGTCAAGTTCAGTCAGGAGGATCTAAAATTTATTTATATTCTTCTATCCGTCTTACGAATTGCATTTAACGAGCATACTATTTCTTTCCAAGTTGAGAAGCGTTTTATGTGTTTATCGCACGTGGTCTCACCGTAAGCGCAGAAAGCATGGAGTCTATGTTATCTCGGGGCAAACAAGTTCCTTTCAAGTTCGACAAACTCAGCTGTAAAACCATCAGACGCTCCTGTATGATGTCCTGTAACACAGCGATCGGTTAATAAACGCGTCGACGGTGGATCGAACGATAGCGAGGAAATACAATGCCGTGCACACGACCAACTTCAACTGAATTACAATCTGTTAACGAATGGATTAGCTTTAGGGTGTTTCACGAAAAACTGTAGGAAATCGTAATACGGGGCTACGCACGCATAACACACAAATACATAAAAGGACTGTGTTTATCGTGGAGCCTGCAACTCTACGGTCGCTTTGTGAGTTGGGTCAGAAACGCTATCGTCATGCAGGTTTTGTAAAGAACAATAAAAATGAAATTCCCACGAATCAAGATTCGACTGAAAGTCGATGTATCACGAGACCTCGCAAAATTTACGGGTCCCATCGAACCGCAACGCAAGCCGAAAATCAAGTAACGTTACGCGTTATGCGTGTCTAAACTCTACCATGCAGGGCAAAAAGAGAAAAATAGTCCATGGAAGATAGTAAAAGCGATAGCAGTACGTACGATAGCTTAGCGGCAACGATTAACAACAATCGGCTAACGCGCAAAGGCAAAAAAAGTCTGCGAGTAGAAAAGAGATTCGCTCGATGGTACAGAGGTCGAGAGAAGTGAAAATGATGAGCAAAAAAAAAAAGAAAGAAAGTACACAGAAAATCGACAGAAAACGAGGGCACAAGAAAAAAACAGTACAAAACATTATATTATATGGCAAGTACACGCGCACACGCTCAAACATACGCGCCGCGATCGGTCGCTCGCGCGCCACCATTTTTTCGTTGAAAAATCGGCGACGGGCGCTTGCGATCGTCGCGGCCGTGTACGTATGTACATACGCATACACACTAATTCTGCACAAGAGAGCTGGCCAGGGCCAGCGAGCTCGTTCAAGATCAACTGCGTAAAGATCGAGCGCTGGTTGTCACGTGATCGCACCTTGATCCCTCGTATCCTCTTTTCAGCCTCATCTTCAGCTACTCCCGTCTCTCTCTCGGTCTCCACATTCGGACTCTGTCGTTGCATCGATCCTCTTTCTCTACCTAAATGTTCCTTGGGACCTGGACTATGGCGAGGAATGCTTGGTGGGGTCGGGGATGATGAATCACGTGGATTGGAAGAGTTGGACTGTTCTAACTGTTCACCGATCGAAGAATCGGACCCGAGCGGCAAACGACTGCAGCTCGCGTAACACGTAATCTCTTCATCCAAGGTCGAAGGCTGGTCGAAAGTCGCCGGAAGCGAGGGAGACTCGAATCGACTGTCCTCGAGACAGACAGAGGATCGTTGGGAAGGAGGTTCGTCGGTAGGAAGGATACCCGACACCGGAGTCGCGATCTCTTCTTCAACGACTTCCGACAATGACCGATCCGTTCTCTGTTCGTTTTCGCTCGACAAGTAAGTACTGTAATCGCTCCAACTACCTATGCCTCCGGGGAGGTCGGCGATCAGACGTTCCGTGTGAGGTCCGCCCATCAGAAATGAATTCAGGGGACCATCGTTTCCCCTGCGATCGTTAAAACTACCGTCGCGATCTCCGCCAAAGTCCCCAGGATCGTTCGAGTCGCGTTTAATGTCGCGGGAAGGCTTTCCTTTCGTGTAATTGGCCAAGTTCTCGAACAGATAGCGTTCGGCTTCGTGATAGGGGTGTTTTTCTGGCCAGAATCCGCTGTCGAGGGAGAGGAACTTGGATCTGCTCAGTTCCGATAAGGTCTTCAAGATCAAAGGTGTCTGAACAGGCTTCTTCTTTTCGGGACTCAAAACCAAGATCTCGTCCGCTATGTAAAATTGTACTTTTGGCTTTGCTGGCTCTATCACGATATCGGCGGTTTCTATTTCCGGCTCAGCCGATATGCATTTCTCAAATTCTTCCTCGGTTTGTAACTGGGTTTCGATCGAGTCCAATACTATTGGCACTTCTTCAATTTCTTCTTCCAATAAGTCTATCGGCTTGCTGACTTTCGAAACTTGGTCCGCTGTATCTTGGCTCAGAGTTTCAGGTTTTTTTACGATCGGTGGCTGAGGTTCTTTTAACGTTTCTTTGCTTTTCTTATCTATTACTTCTTTCGTAGACACGTTGCTTACTTCAATTTTGTCCAAAGTTTTACTCGTTTCTTCCTGATCTCTTACCGCAATCTTTTCGGTCATAACCTTATCTTCTTTGGCACAGTTTCCTATCGCTGGCTCTATTTTAGGAATATCTTCATTGTTCTGCGTCTCTGTAACTTGTTTCTTTTCTACAACGAACGTTTCCTCCACGCTTTCTTTTATACCAATCTGACGTTTAAGATCGGCGTTCTCCTTCATTTCGGTACCGTCTTTCACTTCCTCGTTCTGCTTATCTTCAGCCGTTTCTTCCTCTTCAACCTCTGACTTCTGTGGTTCTTTATCTGTTTCTAACATCGTTTCAGACGTTACTTCACTCTCCTTTCTGTTATTAAATGCTACATCCAAAAGCTCACGCATTATTTTATCAACATCTTCGTTTTTCGACGCAACAGTCTTTTCTTTACTTAATTTCGATTTTTCTACTTTCTCATCGCTCGATTTTGACGCTTCTAATTTGTTATCACGTAATTTTAACGTTTCTTCCATCTCGTCGCTTATTTCATATACATCTACATTATCTTTACTGAATTTTGATGCGCTTGCCATTTCTTCGCTCAATTTTGACACTTGTACTTCCTCTTTACGAGTTGAATCAAACTTACGCTCATCAGAATCTATGACTTTTTTGTCTTTTTCTTTCTTTGGTTCAGTTTTCTCTTCCTCTGCCGTCACTCTTTTTTCTTTCGTGGTTTCCAAGTTTCCTGTTGAGCACGACCGAACGTCAGTTTGTTTCGCATGCTCTTTGCTTTCATCTTGTTCCGTAGCTTCACCCTTACCAGTCTCTCTTTTCTTAGATTTCTTGCCTTTTTTCGTCGCGGTCTTAGATTGTTCCTTCGTTTCTAGTTTCGGTTGTTCCGTAGTTTTCTTCTTATCTGCTTCCAGGTTCTCAGACCTGTTCACCGTCTGTTGCGTCTCTTCGATTTCTTTTAATTTATTCTTCTCTTCAGGATGTTGCGTACTTGTAACGGGAATTCCTGTACCCTTCTTAGTTTCCTGAGTCGTATCGATGATGCCCTTCGCTTTTGACTTTCCTTTATTTTTCGATTGTTTCGTGGTTGTTTCCATCGGCGAATTCGTTTCGTCCCGTCTAGCGCTTCGAGACCTCGATCTGGATCGCCTGGATCGTAGCTCTCTTCGGTTTACGAATTCCATGAATCCATGTTCGTCGACTTGAACCACGTTCTCGATCGGTATCGGTTCCACAGACTCTTCCACGTAAATCTTTACTTGAGCGGGAGAGCGTAACTCGGAGGAAGTTTGCTCCTTTTTCACGATACTTTGATCAATGATTGGTACTGGAGACTCTTTTGGTTCGACGTGTTCACCAACAATGGCGGCCCACGAACCTTTCGTCTTTTCAGGTGTTCCAACGTTCGTCGTGTTGTTTAGAGCATTAATTATCGAATCGATTCCCTCCTCTTCTCTTTCGATTTCTTCTACCCACGAAGACAACTCCAGCTCAATAGTTGGTTCCATAGCTTTGTTGCTTGGAATTTCTTCAATTTTAATTTCTTCTTCTTTCGTTTCTTGTACAGCTGTCGTTTCTGTCTCTTCTGGTACAACTGCCTTATCTCCAGACACTTTCTCTAAGCTTTGATTAAACTTGAGAGGAGCAGGTTTGATTATCGCATCATCTTGAACAGTTTGCGGAGGTGTTCTGCGATTGGTTGCTGTAATTTGTGCGTACGATTTGTTGTTGCATTCCCTGGTAGCTTCTGACAAGTCTTGAATCTTTTCGACAACAGTTTCTGCTTCCTCTTTCTTAGATTCAGTCTCGATAGAAGAGGTTCTCAATCGAGTACCACCACTTTTTTCTTGTTTCGCATCTTTCTTTTTTTGACGTTTCGTTGGTTTCTGTTGAGACTCTTCCGGTATAGTTTTTTCTACCTGTTGCACTGCTTTCTCGATTTTCGAGGTCTCGACCACCGACTCTCGAGGTGTATCAATTGCTGCTACACTTTGTAAACTTTCAGTGGTCCCTTCGGTTGCCACTTTTGTGCTAACGACGAGTGCCCAAGATTTGCCGCACGATGCTGGGTGAATATCTTCTTTAGGACTATCCTTTCTTTCAATTTCACTATCTTCTTTCTTGCTTTCCTGTACAGGAACCACCTCCGCTACCTCCGTTTTCCCTTCAATTTCTGTCTTCGAGATCTGTTCGTTCGAATCAACAGGCTGAGGAGGTATCTGTGCTACGATTTCGTTTCTTTTCTTTGATTTTCCGTCGCGTTTCTTCTTTGATTCTGAAACACTAGCTTCTATTTTATCCGCCTGTTTCATCGGTTCTTTTTCCGTCGTGATAGATTTTGCTTTAGCGTCAGGCTTGTTTTTCGCCGAGTGCTTTTGCTTGCCTGATTTCACACAAGTTTTTGTGTCTTCTTTCGACTTGGTTTTTTCTTCCTTTGTTGGAGACTGAGGTATTCTAGTCGTAGGCTCTAACACTTTGCCATTTACCAACGTTTCAGCCCTCTTTGCATCATTTACGACAGTGGACTCTAGGATTAATTTCTCTTCTTTCGTTGATTTTTCAATATCTTCTTTTTTACTCGCTTGGGAAATATTTTCATTTTTAGAAACAGTTTTATCGAGAAACAGTTTCTCTTCCGCAACATTTTCTTCTGTCATAATTTTACTTTCCATCGTCATTTCTTTTCCCTCGCCGGTTGGTTGTTTTTCTTTTTCTACTTCAAGAGTCATCTTTGCCTCGACTCTTGTTTCTTCAGGCTGTATCTTTTCCTCTTCTTCTTCTTTCATTGTTGTACAAAGTTCCTTGTTCGTATTATCGTTAACGACTGGTGCATCGGTAGACTGCATCTCATTCTCTGTATTTACTGCAATTTTTAGATCTGTAGAATTTAAATCCTCCACTGTTTCGTCTTTCAGAATCTTTTCTGACGATTCATTTTTCGTTGCATCCTTTTTAGTAATATCTGTAATGCCTTTATTAATATCAATTTCTAATGATTTCTCAGTTACTTCAGTTATCTTGACCGTTCCTTCGTTTTTATCTGTAGCTTCTGGTCGTTGTTTTTCTTCTTTCTGCGTTTGATCAACGATCGTTTCAGCTTCTTCCAATAAAACAGATGCGATCTTCTTCTCTTCGGCTAGTTTAGATTTCACCCACTGAGACTCCAACTCGCAGAACGTACTGATTGGATATTTCACAGATTCTGCAACCAGTGCATCTTTTCTAAATTCCGTTTCAGATCGACTTATTTCTTCTTTGGCTGGCTTTTCCTCATCAGGCTTCTTCATGACCGATTCCTGGACGATTCTCTCGATGCTCGCCGATCTTGGAGCTGCAGAAGCAGGTAAGTTTTCTTCTACTAATTCAACTACTTTAAAGCGTCGATGGAAATCACTTTCCGCTTCGGTGTACGAATGATAATTCAACCAATACGGTCTAACCAAGTCTTCGTAATAGTGCGAGGAGACATCTTTTGTTTTCGCACAAGTTTTAGGCTGACTCGACGCATCGGATGTTATTCGTTCAACAACAATCACCTCCTTTTCTTCGTCTGGAATAAAGTTTTTCCCAGTGGAAGACGATGAAACAACAATTTTGTCCAGATTCGTACTACCTTCTTGCTTCCCTTCCACAATTATATTTTCATCTTTCGATACCAACGTACCTGTGCATTTTGCTTCGACGATATCGTCAGATTGTTTAGCCTGAATCGTTTTAACATTAATTTCACTCGATTTACCTTGCGGAACGTTTGGATCTGGCCCTTGTTCCTTCGCTACACCAAATTTCGATTCACCTTTCGAGCCCTCTATCAATTTTGGCGACAACGGTGCCCCAGAACGACCTCTCTTCCTATCCTGAACGCTACCGAACAGAACCGGCTGATCATCGTCGGTATATAGTCTGTCTATATAGATCGCGTAATCGGAATTTAATTTCTCGGAGTCTGCTAATGTGTCTAACGACGCTTTCGGAAGGATACCAACGGCTGAATCATCCGATACCCTAGCATATCTGGTGGTTAGACTAGCTTCTACTGTTTCGGGACGTAGGGTGATTAGTTCGGTCGGTTTGGAGCCTACGATCTTGGGTAAGGGGATGCTTTCTAAGATCTCTACGGATTTAACGGATTGTACATTGGGTGGTTTCACTTCGACGGACCCAGGATTGCTGGTGGTGGTCGTCACGGTAGTCAGCATCTTTTCGATGGCGAACGCGTTGCCTCGCGATTCCTCCTGACCGATTTCTTCTTCCTTCGACATCTTGGCTACCGAACCTTTCGATTCAGACTCGTTAGACCCGGTAGTGCGAGATCCTTTCGATTTCTTCTTCATAGAATCGCTTTTGGTATTCGTAACTGCTACATCTTTAAGCGGTTCTTTCAAAGTTTCTTTCTCATTGTCGTCAACGGGTTTTACAGTTTCCACGTTAGACGACACTGTTTCTGCTTCGGTCACTACCTTGGAAACTTTCGTCTCAGCTTTATTAAATTCCGTTTCAGACACTATTTCGGTGCGTTTTGTCAAGGTAACATCAGGTTCATCCGTCAGAATCGGCGGTGATGCTGCATCCAAATCTACTACTTTCTTTTTCTTCTTCTTGTCCAGCTTTGGTGTACTTGGCTGACTAGTTTTGGGCTCCTCTTTAGACTCAACGATGTAAGTTGGCGCAATCTTTTCCGTTACAACCTTCTCCTTCGATTTACTCGGTTTCTTAATCTTGGATGGTGTCCCGAGCGGTCGATTCCTCTGTTCAGATATCTCTGCTTTCGTTTCCTCGTCAGGTTTCCGTGGAACCTCTTTAAGATCGATAACATCCTTCTTTTCGTTGGTAACAACTTGGCTCTCAGTATCGGGTTTTGGGCTGGATGGTGCCTCCGAGCCAGACAAATTAGATTCTTTACCATCGTTATCAGGCGTAGCGATATTTTCTGTAGGATCGATGTCGCGAATCGTTCTTTCAGTCGTCTGTTTTCTATCTATTTTCACATCATCGAGTTTATCCGGTACACTAACATTTTCCTTAGACTTTCCTTCATTTTGCATCACTGTGATTTCTTCTTTGACGCTATCTTCTATTTGATTCGCAACATTTGCTTTTGTTCCTTCGGTTGTAATAATCTCGGAGATCGGTTCACCTTCACCCACCACAATTTTTCCCTGATCCGTTTCAGAAACTTCCTTCTCAGGTGTTTTATTTTCTTTTTCCTCATGGTCGGTTGCTACTACTTCCTCTACCGTAGCTTTCTGGGTTTCCGGTTTCTCGCCAGGCTTGACAGTTTCTTTCTGCGTAGATTGCTCTGCCGTCTTCTCTCGAGGATTCTTTCGCTGACTCGATTTCTTCGATGTCTGCTCCTTCGAGCCATCTTGCTCGTTCGCTTGCTTTGCCTTTTTACCCTTCCCTTTGGCATTTTCCTTGGTCACGATCTTTTTCGCATTATCTTGTTCCTTGGACTTTATTATTGGCTCCATGATTTTAGCATCAACCTTTTCTTTCGACTCAGTTTGGGCTTTATCCTTCGGTTCGGATACGTTATCTTTTTTAGGCGACTTGGATTCTTGTATCTTCGCTTGGTCTGTATCGCTCTGTTCTTCTTTCTTGGCTTCTACGTTCGTTGTGTCATCGGTGGATGTACATTTCTTTGTTTCTTCCATACAGATTTCAGGCTTAGTTGGCTTCGCGGTATCATTATTAGATTTTTCCTTCGCTGCGTTTTCTTGATCTTTCCCCATTTGCTTTTTCTTAAACGTAGATTCCTTTTGCGATTTTTTTTCTTTCGAATCGAGCTCCTCCAGCAACACGATTTCACCCATCGAATCTATTTTTGCTTCAGACTTTTTCGTATCGATCGGCTGGGTCTCGATTCTCGATTCTTTCTCTTTAACTTTATCGATGTACTTATTTTCTTTCTTTCCTTTCGCATCGTCTTTCGATTTTAACTGTTCCTTCGTGCTGATCCGAGACTCCGTAGTTTCCTCTATAATTGGCGACGCATCTTTAGCCTTCGATTCTGCTTTGGACTTGGTCGGTTTCTTCTTCTCGTTAGTCTTTGGGTTATTCTTTTCGGTTTCCTCTTTGATCTTCTCGGGCGTCGAGCGAGGAGGGTCTTTAAACTTTGCCTGTTCCTTCGACTTGTCTCTCTGATTTCTCGACTTTTGCTTGTCCATATCTTCGATCTCCTTCAGAGCTTTCTCGATCTCATCGTCGACCGATTTCTCCGTTTTCTTCTTCTTTGCCTTCCGTTTCTTCTCCTGCGATGCGTTTCCTTGCGGAGCAACGATTTGCTTTTCTTGTTGAACGTTCGTCTGTTTCTCTTGTAGAACGTCAGCTTGTTTCTTCTTTCTAGGATTATCTTTGGTCTCGTTTCGAGCTTCGGTTTCCTCGCTCTTCGTAGAACTAACAATTTTCTCCAGAGAAATTTGGTCTTTCACCTCGACTTCCATCATCGACAGGTTTACCTTTTCCTTCTGAGCCTTTTCTTTCGGCTGTTCGGGCCCTTTCCGAACTTTCTTCTTCGTCTTCTCTTCTTTCGTCTTCGATTTCGGTTTCTCCTGCTGAATCTTTTTGGTGTCTCGTTTCTTGGTCGTGTCCCACGCGGTTTCCTCTTGCCTGACCTCTTGTTTAGTCACCGAGGATTCTCGGGTTCCCTTTTGGGCTTCCTGCTGCGGCGGCGTCGTTTCGTGCACCGAGGACGTCGTCGAATTCGTCGGCGAACGAGACCGTTCCTTGGCCCGTTTCAACGGCAGATTGGTCGTAGTCGTAGAAAACGAACCGGTCGTCGAGGTTGCGCGAGAATTCAAACCCTGCGACAGTATCTGAGCGTACGAGAACGTCTTACTATCTGTCTGAGCTTTTGCTCTGGCTGCTGTCGCCTCCGGAGTAGACGCAGATTCTCGTGCTTCCGATTCTACCGGTTTTTCAGGTTCGACGGGTTGAACCGGTTGAACGATAGGTTGTTGATTCGCGATCGACGACGTTTGACAAGGGACGCGCTTCTCCTCCACGTTCTGGATCGCGACAGAAGGGTTACCAGGGTTCTTAAATCTCGATTGTTGCCTCTGTGGTTGTTTCTGCGCTTGGTTCTGCTGATAAAGCTCCGTCTCTGGGATGTACGTACTCTGTGCAACGTACGGTTCCGTAGGGAATGCTATCTGGCCGTCGTAACAGGGCAGAGCCATTGGCTGAGGAGGAGGTGCAGTCGGCATGTAGACGTAGGAACTGACCGGATAGGCGATCTGGGAACCAATGAAGCCAACCAGTTCTGGCATTGGTGGATGAACGTAGTTGTAGACCTCGGGAACTTGCTGCGTACCAGTTAAATTCTCGTAACTCTTTTCGTTTAACAGATCGTAATCCTCGATGGATTCTTCGGCCCAGCTACCGGGTTCCGTCTCCGGCTCTTCCTCGGTAGGCGTCACGGTGCTCGAAACTTCCGGTCGGTGTCGATAGCTCTCCGTTGCCTGCTGATTCGATTCTACGCTTTCTTCGATCTCGACCAACGGTACGCCAAGTTCGACTTTTTCGTTCTCCAGGCAGGTCGTCTCGATCGCAGAGTCCTTGGTCTTGGTCGGCTCTACCGAGGGGCTTGGCGACGCGTTCGCCTGCCCACGAAGTATATCGGCGTAGGAGGTGAAGCCAGGCATCCAAATGGGACTGGCCGATCTTCCTCTCCTCTCTTCCCGAGGCGTCAACGTGTTCTTCAGGGTGAGTTGCTCCACCTTTCGATCGGTCAGCCGAAGAGTCTCCGGAGCGTTGACCGTCTCCGTGGAAGACACGTTGTTAATCGGCTCATTGATCGGCTCTGCCGCGTCCTTCTTGACGAAAGCGGCTCTCCTCGAGTTGGGCCTGTGTTTAGGCGCGCCGTCCATCGCGTCCATCTTGGATTCGTGTCGGGTCTGCGCCCGAGATTCGGACTCCTTCTGTTCTTCGGTCGCGGCCGCGGCCTCGATCTTCGTCCGATCCTCGTTGCCAGCGACTCGGCTGGTGGAATCGTGGCGTGCTCGATCGACGATCGGTTTCTGGACGGACGGTTTCAGCACCTGAATCGCGAGCGGCGAAGACGAGGCTGCCTCGTCCCGCGGGTTTCTGAACGGGCTAGAGCCCCTTGAATTAGGGCTGGAACGACCGGCCGTGATGTCCGCGTACGAGATCTGACCGGTCGGCCTGCACTCGTTGCTCTGTACATAGCACGGGTCCACGGCGTAAATCTGATCCAGCAGTGTCTTGGTGCGCAGCTTCCAATCGTCCATCCTTTGCTGCAGGCTCTGCTTAATCCGCCACGGAGGAACAGCCAAGGCACAACAATGGAATACACATACGTGAATTTTCTGGGAGTCTTTCTGATTGTTTTTTTTTGTTTTTTTTTGGGGGAGGGGGGCGGGTGGGGGGGGCGGGTGGGGCGGGGGGACGGGGTTCGGTTTCGAGGGCGTTGGAGCAGGGCACAATATCGGAGAAATTAATCTTTAGAGTTTTAGTATGCGTGTATGCTAGATTAACGTTATGATCAGCGGTGGCGTGGCTCGTGAAGAAAAGAACTGAACACCGTTACCATTTTGCTTATTTTTTTTTTTTTGTTCTCTTTGCTCATCGTGTTTGCAACAAAGAGAGCTTTTTATTCGCAGTTAACTCTTAGACGATATATCAGTTTAGGAGTACACGTTTAATATATTCGATCGATCGACGTTGCGCGTAGGACAATTTGCTCTCGATATAGTGTACGGTACAAAGTTCGCTAAAAAAGATTCTCGAGGTATTAAAAACGACGATCGGGGGTATTCCGTCCGAAGAACGTGGACGATCGTTGCACAAAGGGACGTGGATCGTTGTTCTTGCGGACGGAACACTCCGGAACGCACGGGTCCGGAAAAATAAAGAACGCGAGGGACGATTGACGAGATTCGAGGTTGTCTCCAGCCGTCTACCGTCATGGATCCAACGGTTCCAGGTCGGGCGTACCGCGCTGAGCGAGAATCTTCGATCTCTCCGTGCGCGACTGGATTTTGCTTTGCAACGATTTGATCCTCTCCCGGTGAATCTGTTCGCGACGAGCGAACAACAAGACGCGCCGAGCGAGCGGGAAAGATGAACGCGAGCCATCGGCATCGCGCGTCGATCGATTGTTTCGACGGGGGGAGGCAGAGAGACAGAGATCCAAGAAATCAAGGGAAATGATGGACGAGAACCAACGAGGAACACCAGAAGACGACGATGACAAAACCGATCGAACGACGAGTCGAGACCAAAACGAAAAAGTGAACGATCGGAGGGGTGAACGGAGAGCAGTTTGGATCGATTTTTGGAAGGGTAGCGGGTAAAGGGTGCGGCAAACAAAATTTCGTAAATCAAATAGCCAATGCGTTGGATCGAAAGAAACAAAAGAGGACAGAACAAAACACACCAAGAACAAAAACAAACAAAGGAGAGATATTAAACGTATTAAACGATTTTTCTCAACAACTTCCGGCTTGTGCACGCTGCGTTTCCGCACAAGTCTCGACGCGCGTGTGGAGGTCACTTGATTTTCTTGCGTATATCTTCCGTTTACGCGTTCGCTGTCGAAACATGTGTCTCTGTTTCGGATCCGACCAACGAACGCTCGCTTTTGCGTGGGTGAGCTACTCGTGACGATCAAAAACTCGAGACAAAAAAAGCCTACGGTGATTACGTATGTGTCTGGTCGAGAGAAAACTTTTAAGTGTTCCCTCGCGTGATACACAAGAGACGGCGAGATAAAGTAACAGAAAAGAACGAACACGTGAATTACACAAAAACAAGCAAAATCAAGTAATCCCCTGTCGGAACAACAACACATATAGGTGTCGTTAAAATATACGTGGAGAAGAATGAAAAAGAAAGAAAGAAAAACTAAGTTCTAAGAAAGACTGAAACCAGGACGTGCGTGAAAGTGACATGGTCGAGATTGGTCTCGTACAATGTAAAGAAACAGAAAATGTGAAAACTTTAGTTAGAGCGTGATACCAACCAACACCGCGTAGCAGATGTACCACCATGATGATAACATGCGTCGCGATACCCACACGATCGCGATCGTTTCAAAAAGCTAATTCCTTTCCGAAAGATTCGAGAACTTTCCAATGTTTCGAAGCAGCGAATAAATTGCGAGTATAAGAAGGACAGGGAAAAGGATGATACTCGTTAAAAGGGTTCAATTAATCGGTTAAAAATAGAAAAATTAAAGTTTAAAATAGGATCGGGACGCGTGGAGTTGGACTGAACTTGATGGAAACACCTTGATATAAGCTGTGATTGAAATAAATTATAATTTCGACCTCTGTCTCCCGGTAAACGACATCCCCAAAAGAGGACCATCAAAATGTTTCCAGTCGTAGGGCAATATTTTCGATTAGTGTGTTGGACGTTTCTATCGGCTGCTCCGCTCGCCACGAGATTAATAGAAAGTGTATCGCGAAGCGGCCGATACAATTGGGTGTTTAAATTGTCTCGACGAAGGGTAACGATTAATGTGGCTCGGTCGACGGTTAATTGTGTTAGTCGCTTCGGAAAACAGGCACGAGGAGAGAAATTTGCGCGCGTCGCAGGGAAAACTACCCCCGTTCGATAAACGTACGCCTCCCGGACGTGACTCGAAAGGGGGACGGGGGGTGGTGGGTGGGGGTGGGGGTCGAGGGGCGAGGGGGGCGAGAAAACGCGGTATCCTGGTGGTGGCCTTCAGTTGGTATCGAGCAAATGCAAACAATCAACTTGCTGCTTTAGCGCACTTGTGCAGGTGACGAAAAGGTGGGACCAAGGCGAACCTACCTGTTGCTCCTGCAAAGCTTTCTCCTTGTCGCTGGAAAGGTAAGTTGGGCTGAGTACTGTCCTCAGTTGCTGCTCCACCTGTACGATCTGCTGCCTCAACTGTTGTATTTCCTAAAAGTACAAATAGACGTCTCAGCCGTATTCTTTTCGAAAACGTAGAAACGATTACCGATCCTAATAAACCGATTACGATTACGACAAATAGGAAAGGATGTACTCTAGATTTTCGACGGATCGGCAATCGCCTTTCAAAAGAATACAACGAGTACTCGGTCGTCAGCGAGCTGCATAAAGCCCTCTAACCTGTTGATATTGATCGATTTGACTTAAACAAGCCTCTAGGGACGTCGTCTGTTCTTTCACGGTGTTATGAAGACTGTCCAAATCGGCCAGGAGTTCGTCTACCGTCTCGCCGATTCGACTGTCGCCGCCTATTCCCGACCGGAAGTGAACCTGAAGCTTCTCCATCGATATACTGATTTTCGTTTTCTGTATCGCGACGTCGCTGAGCATTTTCTCTCGAACGATGTGCTGGTCGCGCAACGGTTTCTTTTTACTCTGCGGCGATTCGAGGCTCTGTCTCGCCTTCTCGATCCACGTTTTCACTTCCTTCATCTTTTTCTCGCATTGTTCCCATTCTTCGCTGGTTTCTTGCAGCAAAGCGTTCTGAAAGGAACAAGTTCGAACTCTGTACATGTTACGCGCGCGCGCGCGCGTGCACCCCTCTCCGCTTAAACGATCGACACTAACCCTTTCCAACAGTTGACCCTCGACCTGAACTTTGCCCTCCTCCGCCTCGAGCAGCTTTTCGGGCAAGTCACCCACGCAGCAAACCTGACCGATACTCTCGAGTTCTTTTCCCATATCGCTGAGATTCTTGTTCATCTGCTTGCAGCTTTTCACGGCTGTCTGCAACGCGACGCGGAACCAGCATTTCAATTTTGTAATCTCGAGGGGAACGCGTGGGTATTCCGAATAGGTTTCAAACACCGAATTCAATAGCATTACATCAGCGTAATGCCAACGTTTGTTTCGGTGTTCGGTACTATTGAGAAACCCGAGCGTTCCAAGACCAAGAGGCGAGGTCTCAGGGTGAGACCGTAACTAGTAGGTGTCAAGGTACCGAAGAAGATAATAGAACTATTTGTAAGGACCGTGACACCTAGGATTGTGTAAAACCGCGGGTCCAGACCCTGGGAACTCTCCTTCCGAGTAGTCGTTCACGTACCGAGTACTCGTGCAGCCTCTGCCTGGTCTGCGCAAGAGTGGTGAGCTTCAAGGGCTCGACTAGGAACTGTCTCTTCTCCTCGGTCCATGCCTTGACGGCCTCGTACAACGACATGAATCGTTGCCAGCCGTCTAAGGTATCGGCCACCACTTGCTTCCTCTCGTCCAGCCAACTCCTGACCTGGTTCAACTGTTCGGTGACATTGTGAATGGTGCTGAGGATCAATTGCTTTTCGGTCTCGTCCCTCGTGTTCTCCGCGATAGAACGGCCGTTTCTCGTTAGTCGTTCGAGCTTGTCGGCGATGGTGGCCATCTCGTCCTGAACTTGCTTAAGCTGTTCCTTCAGAGGGCCAGGCTCGACCGACCTGTCCTGCACCTTTAGCTCGGCCTGGCGTATCCATGCCTGAACCTCGTCCAGGTCGGTCAGATAATCCGACCTGACGGTTCTGGCTCGTTTCTGTTCTCTCTGTTTCTCCTCCATGACCTGCGCGGTCGCTTCAGCGCAGAGCTCTAGGGCTGTTAGATGCTGGGCAAGATCGCTTGGGACCAGCTGCTGGCTAGCTTGGTACCGCGCCTTAGTGCTTCCTGAGAAATCCTTCGCGGCGTCGAGAAGCTCCTCGATGTCCGTGCGTAGTTTCTCTAGCTCTTCCTCGGTCGCGTTCTGATCCGGCCCGAACACGTAGAGGATCGAGGCGCGATCTCGCGCCTCGTTCAGACGCTTCCTCAACTGATCGATCTCACGCTCGGTGCTTTCGAACGCCTCCAAGTCCTCGTCCGCTTTCTTGGATTTCGTCTGCAGGGAGTCAACGAGCCTGCAAGGATCACCGGATACGTTTCATTCGCGGTTTTAAACAAACTATTAATAACGGTTCTACGAAGGTTTTTCGTCGAAACCTTGCTCGAAGGGATTCTGGCACCGAGGGCTCCAAACATTGTGTAACGATTTTCGTTAGCATCCGCGTTGGCTAACAAACCAAATCTCCTCGGAGTGTTTACGAATGTTTAGAGACCTTCGGAATACCAACGTCTGCGGTTAGCAAATCAACTGGCTACCTTACTAGCGGAAAACGAATTGCCCCTTAGCAGCGTACTTGTGCACGCCGCCGCGCCGGCCAGCGGTAAAAATAGATTTCGGCATATTTTCTGTGCGAACCGGTCTCCGATAATACGTGCCAGCCAGCCCGCGATCATCATCGCCTCGCCGACTATAGGACAAAGGTTAACACCAAGAGCGAGAGAAAAAGAAGAATACATCTCGAATCGATCGGCCGGCCTTAAGGAATTATCCGAGTCAGAGGTGCGACAAATTTAGAATCGGAAATGCGTGTCGCCGCTGGTTCGGCCGTAGTTGGCTTCACTCCAGCCGGAGCAGAGGACGCTTTGGCTAAAAGTAGACGAACGAAATGCGCGCGCGCGCGCCTCTATTTCGAAGAGAAGTTGTTCGAATCAAAATTATTCTTTCGCTCCTCACCGCCACTCTACGTCTATTTCAATTATTTTCAATATTTTTCTTCTCGCTTCTTCGAACAAAAATCTAACGAATAAGTTAACAAGTTCCTAGTTGGCAAAGATCGATTGCCAAGTATTCGTGTCCGGTCATCGTTTATTACTTGTATCGCGAACGAGAGAACGGAACAACGGTTTCGTCCAACTAAACTGCCAAGTGTTTTCATAAAGATGACAACATCGTCGTTGTATGTATAGAGAACCACGAGGAGTGTCGCAACGAGACGTCTTTTCGTTTGTATTTGCATTGCGTTTTACGCGATACGTGTGCTTTCGTAATTTCTGGTGGCGAAACAATGATATCGGTATTAAATCCACGATTTCGATTGCTCGCGGGAACAAAAGCGCGATATCGCCGCGGAATTTGCTCCGGCGCGTTGGCTTGTAAATAATTTACGAAAGATCTGCGTCGCGGAAACTGTCGCAGATTTTTCACGGACATGGACGACTCGGAATTCACTGTTAATCTTTCCGATAGTTGGTTGAAAAAGTATCACGTAAAACTATGCCGAACCACGTGCTGATATCACCGCGATGCAGCGTGATTTCAAAGTACAGGGAAGCTTCGCGATGTCAATGTCAACGTTTCGTTCACGTCACTGGTTTCTTTTCATACGATTACATCATCGGTGCTAAGAATGAACGATGTTTATCGCCGCGACGAGCCGGTGCAACGAACAATCGGATACACCTTGGTCTTCTGTGCTTTATCGATAACAATCTAAAGCTGCATCGAGCGTTGATCACCTTCGTAAAATGTTTACTAGACTCGTCATTATTCCGTATACGAGTGTACTGTTCGATTTAAATACCGTAACCGTTATTTAACAAACTTCTTTACTCGGCGATTAAAAATGTTGGCTGGCAAAGCGAATATTGTTTCTAAAAGAATGGATTAAGACGACCGTTATCGGCGCCGGTAGCGCGAGGCGGAAGTGTCCCGTCCACGTGATGCAATCCTTATGCGGGCATGTGACTCTCGATTCAATGTGCTCCGGCAACAGCATCGCGGCAAGATCACTCGCCGAGGTATTTTTGTACCATCAACCGAGCGGTCCACTCTTTACAAGCATCGATCACTAAGAATCACCGAACGACTACCAGTCTACGATCTAGAAAATGAACACAACTTTTCTCCGACACTCAAAGACGACTCTAGCGAAAGCCGGAAACGTTGGTTACCGCGTCAACAGAGGCTCGAGAATGTTTTGGCTTTTCCTTCGAATCTATCGGCGATCGTACCTATCCGAGGAGTATCGATTTCACGATCACGCTCGTTCTTTCCTCTATTTTCCCTCGAGTTGGTCGATTTATCGATGGTTTTCCCTTCGGGCTGTTTTGTCTTTCGCGATAATCTGATTGGAGTTCGCCGTGGAAATCGGACAACAGTATGGCGCGGCACGATCAAGCTAAACAGCAGCGTACGCGGTTCGAAACGTTATTAGAAGGGCGTATAAAAGCGTTAGCTTTGAATTTTCGTCTTGGCGATGCGCCGCGACGCATGCGGCTTAGGGTTAAACGCTGGCCAAGCCGGCCAGGAACGAAAATCAACGACAGCCGAAAAGCGGCGCACGCCGCGCCGTTCCTAAGAATAATACACCAGTCTTCTTCGCGAACGAGAGAACGGCTCGACGCGCGGGTTCATTGCCTCGAAGATCTTTGCCATCGTGCTTTTTATCCGTAGAGGCTGCCTTGCCAGACCGACCCCGTTCGATACCATTACAATGCAAATCAAAAGTTCCGTAGAGTAATTTTTTCGTTGCATTTTTCCCTTTCAGATTAATCACTATCTCTTGCAAACCAATATCGAACACCGAGTAAAGATCCACGGCATTAAACGAGCACGAGCTTTTTTTTTGCTCGAAAATAGTTCAAAGAGTTGAATGCACATGAGAGTGCCATTGAAACACTACTTACTGCTGGATTTCTAATCTGAATGCGTCATCAAGTATTGCGAAAATAACTAAACTTTGAATAATTATAAATCGGTTATGTAAATTGAAATGCTGAACACTATAGCAGGAATTACACTTCCGACAGTTTAAATGGAACGTATTGCAACCCAACTATGCAATTTATCTACCTTTGCGTCAAACACTAGAAACTTTTTTCCGGCGATTGAGAATCGACGCATTACGATCGATATCATTTTCTGGGCGAGGGAACTTGTTTTTCGACTCGTTAGATTTCACGGAAGACTACGCTGACAGGCACGTGCATCGAAACACGTTTTACTGTTCCGTCCCGTTCCGTTTCCGTATCGATTGGTGATAGAGGAGGCCCTCCGACGGTCATAATATTTAAGCCAATAACCGCGTACAATCCCACTAACCCAATAAAGGCGAAAACACCGATGAAAATTTCATCGTTACGTACTGCCAATCGACATGCCGTGGTCGTTGATGTCGAACCACGCGACAGATCGCGTCTACGTTCTTCACGGACCCCTGGGTGTCCAACTCTTGCACAACTTGACGCCAGATACGTTTCCGCAGTAACGGTTATCCTCACAAAAGTACGTCACGGTCGAAACAACGATTTACCGAACGAAAGAAAACGTTAACGCGATCGTAAAGCGCCGCGGCGTCGAGAAAAAGTGTTGAAAGTTCCTCGAAAATAGCGAGTAAATTCCGACTGCTCGAGACGCGCAACTGTCACGCGAGGTATTATACTATTATCACAGTTCCCGCGATACGTTAATAAACGAACTGCTTAAAGGACGCGCAGATTATTCTCGCAATAACGCGTGACGTGTGGATTTGCCACGACTCGTCATACTTTATTTCCAGTGTACCGTGCCGCGTACAACCGGTGACTGGCATGTAAACCGGCCGCGGATATTACGCTATGAAATTCAGAAGCGGGCCAACGTGCCGCCGCTACTGTCTGCTTCTCACTTTTCTTCGGCAAATCTATATTTAGTGCGAATTCGATCGACAACGAACGGAACCCCTGATTCGTCGGGCGAAATGCACCCCAATGGAAAGGGAGTTCCGAATCGTGGGCGTGCTACGTGTCTGGACAGAGGAATTGTCGTGCGATCGTTGAATCGATGGGAATCCGGGGAATCTTGCATTCTGAAATGTTCCTCGATCAATGACGCCCCGCTGCTGTAAATAATTCCAACCACGCGTCATGTAATATACGATCTATGTTTACAAACAGCGCAGAGAAGTCGGATAGTTCCGTCTGAGAAATGTGCAATTGCACTTCAGAGTAAAATGTCATTTCGTTATAAATTTCAATTTGCTAACTTATCTTGCTTGTATTTTCATTTAACGACCTCGTATTCTACGTAAAGATACGAGTTTGTTTGCTTGCACGTACGCGTCGCATATTTTAATAACGAGAAAAAAATGTACGACAACTAAACTCGACACTATTCGCGATTTCTTCGATTATGGGACTCTAATAGACGTGACTATCGTCGAAGAGCATTAAACTTTCTAGCGCGTGCCCTTCGCCGGCCTATTTAAATTCGTTTCTGATTATTAATTTCCTGACGCATAGTATCGTAAGACACGGTGCACAACTATTTACAAGGCCTAATTACGTCATGGGACTAATTTGGGTATGATGGAACGCAACGCGACACGTAATGCATGCTAAATCGATGCGTGTCGTAACCCATAAGGAATTTGTTCACTATCGAGAAACTTTTACGCTTATCCTTTCCCTCGCGTCTGCATCTGTTTTCATTTTTATTTCCCGACGCGTGACGCCATCGAAAAGATTTCGACGAACGTCTGATATTTAAACGAAGCGAAAAGTGCGTCGAGTGCTCGATAACTCGAGGCGGCTAATTCGAATCGAGAGAAGAGAACGGCGCGCTTAACGTCACTTTTCACAGTATGCTTTTCTTTTTCATCGACGATAGATGATAACTGAAAATATCGATTTAATAAAGTGGCCTGTAAAGAAACGTGCGTTAAAAAGAGAATCACATGAATAACATATTGATATTCGACGCGACGAAACCCTGAAACAGAACTTATAAAAGGGTGGTCGGAGAAGCAGACGTTGCCCCTCACTTTGAGAGGGATGGTACTATGCAAAAGCGGAAACACACGCATGCACATGCATCGTAATTGCACACAAACGCACCGCATTATTCCTTCGTCGTTGATTATGCGTCGTGACGAGCGATTCTATTTTTTTAAACAACGAACAATATCGATTACGTTCGAATAATTTAACAGCGAGGAGTAAGTCGTCGTCGCTGCAAGGAAAATTGTCGATTTATCGAATGATCGATCGAAATTGTGTTTCCATAGAGCTGCGCGCAAAGTAAAAGACAATTAGATACTTTTTAAAAGAAAAATAACGAAGCAAACGAACGCATTGTATTGAAATGATCGCGTGCAGCGTGGTTGCATAAAATTCTTCCGACTTTTGATCGAAACGCGTTCGCGAGCTAACACGCTCCAATATTCATAAAGTTTTTTAAATTCCTGCGGAGTAAGAGCGACACCAGTGCAGCAGTGTCTTTGGCGGTGATTCGGTGACTTGAAATAAAAGTAGAAAAATGCGTTGTGACTCACGATTCGACGGAATTCTGCAATTTGTTGAGCTTATTCTCGAGTGCGTGCGCCGGGGCTTCGGTGAATGCTGCGAGATAAGCTAGAACGGGTCCTACCAGAGATTTTACTTCCTCCGTCATTGGTTTCAATTTTTCAGCTTCCGTCACCAGTTCCTGTGCACAATAGAATACAAATTTAGGCACATATTCTCCAACACTTTACGAAATTTAATCGTTAATGATAAGAATAATCCAACTTACCAGCAAAGCTTTGATGGTGTCGAGCAAGTGCTGTCTAGATCGAACCACCGTATCCACAAGCTTGCTCTTCTCTTCGATCGCATTTACACACGTTTCGATCAGGGACCATTGCGCCTCCAACTCCTCCCAATGCTTCGAAAGTGCTTCGAGAGCATCTCTGCGACCCTCCAAACCGGATACCAACTCTTTCCATTCGGCACCGATCTCGGAAATTTGAGCCTCTATCGTCTTCTTGTTGTTGGCATTCGCCAAACGGAGGACTTCGTGACCCCGTTCGTTTAGGAGATCTAGTTCAAACTGCTGGTTCTGCGAAAATATACATTAAAAATAAAATTACTTTTATAACGATATTTAAAAGTTTAACAAATTAAAACTTTACCTGTATGTCGTTGAGCGCGTGGGTGATTTTCTGAATGTTAAACTGCAGACCGGCCAAAGTCGTGACAGGCTCGTCCGTGAACTTTGACCTCGCGACGACAGCTCGAACCCGTTCCAGGGTTTGAGCGTAATCTCTCCATGTTTCGGCGCCTTGTTCGAGTCTGGCGCGTTGCGATTTTGCGGTGTTAAGTGTGTTCTTCAACAATTGAGTGTGTTGTTGTTGTTCGGCGCTCAACTCTTCTTGCTCGGAGGTGGTCAACGACGGCCATATTTTATCTGCCGCCTGTTGGATCTGTTGAGACACGAGCTCTCGCATGGATGGCTCGCTGCTGAAGTATATCTGAAATAAAATTCGTGTTTATCGTACACGTATCGTACACAGGATCGTCGCGTACGAACCTTGTGCTCCTCCAGATCGCCGTGAATGTTTTCGAAATCGAGTCCATCCTTGTCGCTTTCCAGTCGAATCTCCGCTTCGCGAACCCAACCGCGTAGTTTGTCGGTGAGCGCAGCGTACTCCAGACGCATTTTCATGTTATTTTCCAGGTAATTTCCGCGCTCTTCCATTTCCCTCGGCAAAGAAGACAACAAGGACACCGCCTCGCTGAGCATTTCCTTCAACGAGCCGGGCATTCCTTCCTCGTACGGTATAGAATTCTTCAGGTTCTTGATTCTGTCGAGGTGTTCGTTGACAGCCTCGCAGAGTTCTTTGTGCTTCTGCAGCTCGGTCTCGACATTGGCTGGATCCCTTTCCAGAAGAGGCCTCGACTTTACCTCCTTCTCCTTATCCTCGAGCCAATCGAGAATCTCGGCCAGTTCGTTAGCTAATCTCTTGTGTTCCGCCGCTGCCAGTTCGTGTTGTTCTCTCTGTGTCTCCACGGCTCTCCTCAGAGCTTGCAGTTGTTGCTTCAAGGATTGCAATTGCTCGGTTATGTTGTTTCTGTCTACGGTCGAGCCCTCCGTTGCGATCTGCTGGCCTTTGTCCGTCGCGCTGGCCAGGGTTGCCTCGCACTCTTGGATCTTCAGGATCGCGTCGTCGTACCTGTCGAAGGAAAGGAAGAAAAGCTTTTATAACCGCGACAGGAACTTGTTAAAGAAAATAAACGTTCTAAACGGCGTTAATTAACCGTACCTCTTGATCTTCTCCTCCGTAGTCAGACCGGAGGTCTCGATGTCTCGAACGATTTCCGTGTACTTGGCGATAAAGGTGGTGATTTCGGCGATCAGAGCGATGAATTGCTGTCGCAATAGAAGCAATTGGCGAAGCTTCGCTATTTGCGACTCGATGGCTTTCATCAGGTCGTCTTGTTGGGTCAGCACGCCGTGGAGATCGGCGACGTTGACCGATCCCAAGTCCGACAGTTTCGCCTTGTTCTCTTTCAGGTCGTTCAGGATTCTCTCGTAAGCGTCCAGCATGGCTTCGACGTCTTCGACCCGTGCACCGATAGGTTTATTCAGTTCCTGAAGCTCTTTCTGTACGTCCGTCATGTACTGTACGGCCTCGGCAACTCGTGCCAACGATTCCTCGGCCTCGTCGATGTTCTTCCGAAGAGCCAGAGCTCTCTCGTTTATGATTCCAGCCACTCTTCCGTGCGCTTCCTTCATGTTTTGCAGTTGTTCGTTCAGTTCGAGTTTGTCAGCATCGCTCACAGTGGGGAGGATCGACTTTCCTTGTTGGATGATCTTTTCGATGTCGTCCGCGTACTCGTTCGCCTCCTTCTTTAGACGATCGTACTAGAACAATTAATAAATAATGAGTATGTGCAAAAAAGATGGTTATTAAAAGCTTAAACGGATCATCGTACCTTGGCAAGCTGTTCCCGCAGAATATCGATGCTGGACGATCGTAGATCCGAAGACGTAGCTACTTCGGCCTCGTTGATCCACCTTTGACACTTGTCTATCTCGTTCTCGAACGATTTCCGACCCTGAAGAAGATCCGCCAGTGCCGCTTGCTTCTCCTTCGCTTCGCTTTTAAGTTCCTCGTAGTCGTTGTTCAGCTCGTTCAAGATAGCTTCGAGCCTGGCTCGATCCTCGTCGTTGCACTCCTTCAGCAAATTGTTTCCCTGCTTCAAAGCGTCGTTCAGGTCCTTCTCGCTGAAGGAATCGATGTCGGCTTCCAATTCGCCGTGCTGTTCGATGTCCTGTTCGACTTTGACTGCCTTCAGAGGCAGGTAGCCGGTCAGTTTCTTCAAGTTGTTGCTCTTGGACTTGATCCAAGCTCTGGCTCGCTCCAGTTCATTCTCGAATTTCCGACGAGCATCGGCTGCAGCCGTGGCGCTGGAAATTCCTTCTGTCAGGATGGTGCACAACTCTGCCTGTTCTCCTCGCAAGGCCTTCGTCTCGTTTTCCAGCTGTTGCTGCTCGTTGGCCTCTAACTCGTTCTGCATGTTTCCAACCCGCTTTTCCAGGGTATCGATCACCATTTGCTTCCCTTCGGCTTCCTTCAGCATTGCCTGAAAATTATAAAAGTATTTACCAAACAGACAGAGAGTTTTACAGATGATTGGAACCAGAAGTATTAATTTATCAAACTACTTGGTTAAAATATGTACCTTCAGAGCAAGGAGTCTCTCCTCCGCCAGCTTGCTGTCGTATCCCACAGGCTCGGATAACTGTGCCTGCTGTTTCTTCAGCTGAATCCAATCCCGATTCTCCTCAATCTCCTGTCGGGTAGCATCGATGCCTTGGGCGGTCATGTCCAACACCTGCGCCTTCCTCTGCAGCTTCTTAGCGGTGTCGGCGTACCGTCTCTCGACCGATTTTATCTGCTCTTCTATCTGCTGAGAATCCAAATTGCTCACAGAGTCCATTACCTGGTCGCCCAAGTTCTTCACTTCGTTCAGTCTGCCGGGTCCCTGGGACTCGAACTCTGACGTGATTTCCTGCACGTTCGCAATCTTCTGGCCGATCGTCTGCCCGTTGCCTTTCTCGATCACGTCGACTTTCTTGGACAGCGCATCCAACCAGGACTGAATGTTCTGCACCTGCGATCGGTATTTCTGTATCAGCTCCTGGGCCGCTTGTTTCCCGGCGATGGCGTCCGTCAGCTCTGCCTCGAGTTTGTCCAGGCCTTCCTCGATGTCGTGATCGTCCTCGTGAATCGACAGCTCGGTCATGGCGTGAGTTCGTCGTTCTCCAACGTTTCCGAAGAGATCGTTCATCGCTTGCAGCTCGGCGTGTGCCGCCTCTGATCGCAATTTTGCTGGTCGGGACTTCCACTCGGCGCAGAGTGCTCGTTGTTGATTTATCCACGTGCGGAGAGCGTTCTTCTGTCGGGTTTGCTCTTCTAGCTCGTTCACAGCCTTTGTCACGTTCATCAGGTGTCCCTGCGCCTGTGAAAATAGAATTTTAAATAATTAGAAAACACTTACCATTCGACCATTCGAGTGGTTTAGAGTAGCTCGAATGCTCTGCCGTGTACCTGATCGATCAGATCTTCGAGTTTGGTCCGAACTTCGACCTCCCTCGCTGGAATTTGCACGGGCGGAGCATCGAGGGGACTTCCAGGCCTGGAAACGCAAGCTACCGCAGCCTCGCAAGCTTCGACCGCCAAGGCCAATCGTGTCTTCTCGGCTTGCAATTTGTTGTGCAACACACGAGCGTTCTCGAATCTTTCTTTCGCTTGATCGAGACTGTCCATAGGTGCTTCCATCTCCTGCGCGATTTCCGGCTCGTACGCGTCCAAGTTCTTCATGATGCTCTCGAGGGTGTTCTCGTACTCTTGGAACTTCACCAACGATTCCGCTAATCGTTTCTTAATCTGCAACACGATGTTCAACAGAGAATTGTAGCTCTGCTGCACGTTCAGTAGTTGAGATTCGATGACGGTTTTAATTTCTGGATTCGCGGCCACGTAGCGACCGATTTGGCCATTGCCTTTCATCTTCAGGTCTTCCAATACGTTCGTGTACGCCTCGATCTCCTCGAACAGGCTGTCGTGTTGCTTGATCTGGCTAATGGTTTGCTCCTTGCTCGTAATATAGTGAGAGTTGTGAGCCATTAACTGAAAGGATATCTGCAGCAACCACTTCTCGGTTTCTTGCAAGGCTGCGTAGTAAGAGTTGTACTCTTGCATCTCGTTCTCGATCAGCTTCTTCCGATCGTCTACGCGCTCGTTCAAGTCCTCCCAACGTTTCAACAGTTTGTTCGTTCGATCCAACGGTCTGTTGTTCTTTGCCAATTTCGACAGTTCGCTCGCTTCCTCCAGCAGATGATCCAGCTCGGTCTTCTTCCCGCGAACTTCCTCCTGGATGTGTTTGTACCGTTCCAACATCGTTTTCATGTCGCCGAATTCTCCCTTGGTATCCGGTAGTTCCTCCATGCTCTTCTCGGTTTCTTCCAGCCAGTGTTTGAGCTTCTCGCGAGCCTCAGCGTGATCGTCCCAGCGACTCAAGAGAGACTTGAGCTGAGCCTGAACCGTGTTCAGATCGATGCTGAGCTGCTCCCAACTGGAGCGCAGTCCAGCCATGTCCGATCTCAACTGTTCCTGTTGTTCCGGCACCGCCGTGTCGATCGCTTTGGTGAAGGCAGTTTGCAACGTCGAGAGCAGGTGTTGACCCTCGGTGATTCGCGTCGCGACGATCTTAATGGTCTCCAATTTATCCTTTGCCCATTCAGCGTCTCCGACACCCATGCAATCCTGTACCGAGCCGCGGGCAACGCGCAGCCAATCTTCCATCTCTTTCTTTGCCTTGAGGAACTCCGTATGGTCCGACAAATTTTTCTCCACCTTGGAAACCAAACCTTGCATGTCGGTCAACAAGGACGTGTAAGCCGATTGCAGTTGCACGGTCTTGTCGCGTGCCCAGCTGCACGCGCTCATCTCCAACAAGGCTTCGCACTTGTCGTTCAGGTCCTCGAGAACAGGCTTCTGTTGGACAGCTTCTTCCACCAGACTCTTGCAGCGCACCAAGTCCTCGGGGGTGTTGTTCTCTTTCGATTGCTCGTCGTTCACCTTCTTCTGGAAGTGATCTATCCACCTCTTCATGCTGTCCAATGCAGCAGCGAACTGGGACCAACTGGAGATGCAGTTGGACAAGGTTTTCCGAGACTCGAAGCATTGGGCTTGCAGGGACTTCCAGTTGGTTTGCAGCTGCTTCATGTCCTGCCTGATGGCTTCTTGACCTTCCGGACCGGTGCTGGAAATCACGGCGTCGCTGAGCTCTATCACTCTGGAGATCAAAGTTTCTCCTCTAGGAAGCGAGGCGATGATCTGGTTGACCTTGTTCTCCCTTTCGATGATCCGTTCCTTCTCACCGTGGGTGTCGCAGTGTTGATGGAGTTCCAGTTTCGCGTGACGGACCCAGTCGGCCGCTTCGTTGTGTGCTTGCTGGAATTTCTCGTGGTCGTTCACCTGCTTCTCCAAATTCTGCAAGTTGACAAATAAATCGTTGCTTAAAACTAACGAACAGTAAGGTTATTAAACTTGAATTATTTCAGTCTCTAAAGTACGTACGCGTATTTTCTCGGAGATGAGTTTATTCAGTTGGTCGTACTTTGCGAAGGTAGACTGGTAAGGACCGGCGGGGATGCTCGAGTCCTCGGCGAGACGGGCTTTCAGACGATCTACGGTATCGCCGTGGCCTTGGATATCTCTTTGAACCGTTTTATACTTCTCGAGGACCGCGCGTTTCTCGCTGAGATCGTTCTTGAACATCTCGCCCGGCTGTATCTTCCCCTCGATCTCTTCGATCCAATCCGTGGTGAGTCGATGAATCTTGTTGAGTTCTTCCAACGCGGTGGCTCTCGCCGACAGCTTCTGTCTGATCTCCTCGACGTTGACCAGCAGCTTCTCGAACTCTGTCTTCAGATTCTCGGTGTCTTCCTGAATCTTCGCTGCCCCGTTCTGCTCGGTGTTCATGATCACTTTTTCCTTCAACTCGAGAGCGTACCGTAGCTTGTTCTGACCCTGTTCCAGGGTCTGCCTGATGGTCTTGCAGGTGTGCAATTTGTTGTTCACCTCGACCAGCGTGTTTGGAATCTCTTTGCACTCGCCGAGTTTGTCGCGCGTTCGTTCGATCCAATCCTGACACTCTTGGTACAACGTGTTGTGCTGTTGATGTTCCTGAAACCGAAATAGTACACGTATCCTTATACGAAACTGACGTAAAGACTAATAGTAGAAATCGTATCGCGTTAAACGTTTCACCGTACTTGGTAATGCAGTTCCAAGCGTCTCATTATTTCTTTCGCGAGCGACAATAGCGCATTGTATTTGGTAGTGAGCTGCGTGATCGCGTTTGAGATTCTTGTGTCGGCACAGGTCTCGAGCAACATCTGAGCTTTCATGTTCAAACGATCGAGTTCCTTTTGCCAGTCGAACAAGGTTTGCAAGTGGATCTGGAACTGTTCGAGAACGTTCTTTTTCTCCTCCAGGCTGTCTTGCAATTTATTGAACGATTGCACCAATTGCTCGGTTTGCGTGAGCCACTCGGTAGCTTCGGAGAACTGGTCCTCGTACTCGGTCCACTTCACTATTCCTAGCTCTAGCAAACTCTTGGTGTTGTTTAGCGAATCCCTGGATCAAACAGATCGTTTGTTATCGAAATGCAAAATGGAAACGTAATAGTTGTATACTTACACATAGCTGTCGTACTCTTCCTGCAACAACGCTACTTCTTCCTCGATTATTTCCTTGTCCTCCTCGTCTGCGATTTGACAGGCAGCGTTGCCCTGTTCCAAGGCGTGCTCGAGTTTCTTTTGCCCCTCGGACAGCTCGCTCTGCAGCACTTTCAGCTGCGTAATTTTATTTGCCAGCGACTCCTTGTCACCGGTAGGCTCCGAGCACTTTCCGAGCCTCTCTTTAGCCGCGCGTATCCATTGGATAAATTCGTTCCCACTGTCTATGAAGGCCTGATGTTGCTCGACGGTCTCCTTCTGCTTGGCGTACAGCTCCTGCGCTTGTTTGCTCAGGGTTTCGTACTTGATCGAGATCTCGGTGGCCGGCGTTGCCTGTCGAAGATCTTCCGCTTTGGTCGTGACGGATTGTATCATCGGTTCGAACGCCACTATATCCTGAACGATGCTATTCGTTTGTCTCAAGTTGGCCTTCCTTTCGCCGATCGCCAAAGAACTCAGACCAGCCAAGCCTTTCCTAGCCTTGGACACTTTCTGCTCGCAAACTTGCTGCAACTTGGCCTCCCGGTCGTTGATCCATTGTTGCAGCTGCAGGTACGAGGAACTGTAGTCCGCCCACTGAAGGAGACTCGTCTCGAGGTGAACCTTGGTCGTCGAGATTTTCTTCACCAGTCTCTCCCAATCGTTCTGGATCTCCTTCAGTTGTCCGTTGATCTCCTCGCGACTGTCCGATCTGGTGTTCCGCATCACCTTCTCGCCGCAGTTTACGGTCAGGTGCACCAGGTTTTGGCCCTCCTCTCGCTTCCTCAGAAGCTCCTGGATGTTGTCCAACCTGTTCTGCAATTCTTCTCGGCTGCTGGTAGACGCTGCCTCGGTTCCTTTGCGAATTATCTGTTTCGCGTTCTCGATCCACGCGCGTGTCTTGGCCAGGTTCGCCTCGTACTCTTTGTGCTGGGCCAGGTTCGTCTCCACCTTGTTCAACACGTCCTTCGCCAGGTTCACCTGAACTTGATACCGCGAATTCAAATGACGCAGTTGGTTGTTTATGTAAGTGCCCAAGTGGGACGAAAGAAGGTCCGACGCTGTTCTGTTGAACTTGTCGATCTGCTCCTGTCCCTTCACAAGGTTCTCCAGGATCCCCTTGACCTCTTGCACCTGTTTCTCCTTCTCGGCGACGTTCGGCAACAGAGAGTTCTTCTGCGCCTTTATGAGGATGTCGTATTGCTGCAACCAATCGCTCAGTCTCTCGTATTCGTCCTTGTAGTCGCGCCATTGGCTCACCGTCTGTTCCAACTGGTCCTTTTGTTGTTTAATTTCTGAAATTTAGTTAATCGTTTTATAGGAATCGAACTAAACACGATGAAACAAAATCTTGGAAAGCATATTTCTTACCTTTGAACAATTCTTCGAAACTCTGAGAAAGCGCGCGCACCTCGTTCTTAATGATTTCCTGCCCTTGCGGACTCGTGCTCGCGCAAACAACTTTTCCAGTATGTTGCAAATGCTCGACGAGCAGCTCACCCTGAGCTTTCTTGTTCAACAAGCTCTCCAACGGCGCCACGGCGTTCTCGATGGCCAATTTATCGCTGAGGGGCCTCTGCTTCATCGACGGGATCTTCTCGCGAGACCGGCTCAACCAGTTAATGATATCGTCGTGCGCCTCCTTGTAAAGTCGATGATCCTTGTATTGCTCCTCTCGTTCAGCCAGCAACGACTTGATTTTCTCGAACAGCGCGTCGAATCTGTTCAAGATACTTTGCGCCTGGGAAGCGGCCAAGCCTTGCGGTCCGCTGGCGATCATTTCCGCGACTTTCATTTTCAGGCTGTCCACTTCGATGTTTTCGCATCGAACCTTCTCCTCCAGGGTCTTTATGCACTCCAGCTGGCACCTCTTCTCGGACATGGTCGTCTGGAAGGGTAAGAAATCGTTGAGAGCCGTCTGCATGTAGTCCACCATCTTGTTCATGGACTGTATCTGCTCGAGGAGTCCGGCCCACTTATTGATGGAGTCGTCCAGGTTGGTCTTGGCCTCCAACATCTTGGAAGCTAAGGCGCTCCACTGTTCCTGAAGCTTTCCAACCGCGTCGTTGATAGCTTTGTGTCCGGTCGGTGCAGTGTTGGCGAGGACGGCCTGAGCCAGTTCCACGATTCCTTGAACCTTGGCAAATCCGTCTTCCTTGTAGAGCAGCAGGTCCTGTACTATCTCCATTTTGTTCTCCAGGTCCTTTTGCGAAGACGCACCGAGGTCCGAGCAGTAGGCCAGCTTCTTCCTGATGTCGTCCAGCCACCTGGTGCACTCCGCCACTTGATTGTCGAACTCCTGATGAGTGGTGACGTACTGGTGCCAACGGCTGTTCAAGTCTTTCACTTTGTTCGAGATTTGCTGGTACTTGATGCTCAGCTCCGACATGTGGGTCGTGCGAGACGTGAGGTTTTTGTGCAGCTGTTGGGCCTTCTCCGTCACGGCGTCGATCTCCAGCTCTTTCGCGCGAACCTGCCCTTGAAGAGTGCGCAACAGCTCCAGCTGATCTTTCTTCTCCTGCAGCGTGGCCTTCAAGTCCACGGCGTGCAGCTTCGTGTCGGTTTCCCTCATCCAGGCGAGACATCGTTCCTTGGACGTCTCGAACTCGTTCCACTGTTGAAGCTTGTTCTCCAGCGTCTCGATGGTGGACTTGACGGCGGTGACCAAACTCTCCCACTCCTGCTGGGACGAATCGATCTGCGAGCGAATGTTGATCTGGCCAGACTCCAAAGTCCCGGGTATCACTTTCTCTCCCAGCGTTCGGATCTGCTGAACCCTTGGTTTGTCTTCCGGCAAACTCTGCAGGAGGTTTCTGAGACGATCGAGGTTCGTGTGCAGAGACACTCGTTCGAGTTCCGTGTCGCCCCACAATATCACCGCGTTGTGCGTTGCATCCAGCCACTCGTGAGTGTCCAGAACGGCTTTGCTGTATTGTTGATGATCGCTGACGATACCCTCGTATCTTTCGACGAACGCCGCGGCCCGCTTTAGTACCGCTGCGTGCCTTTCGTTCAATTTCTTTAACGTTTGGGTCACTTTGTCGGTAGAATCTGGCAGATTGTCAGCCTTGTCGCGGAGATCGAGCAAGTCCTGTTGGTGGGACTGCACGTCGTGCAGGAACGTGCGGTAAATCTGCAGCTGGGCCCGTTTCTCGTCCAGTGTCGTCTTCAGTTCTATTTCCGGTTTCAGCTGAGTCTCGATGCTTCTCAACCACTCTTCGAACGCCTCGTTCGACTCGTCGAAGCCGGACCATCGCGATATCTTCGACTGAAGCTCGCGTTCCGTCGACGAGATGCTGTCGTACAGTTCCTCGAAGGCTTGCTGAAGGTCCAACAGTTGCTGACGGACAATTTCACGGCCCTCCATGCCAGTCGTTGGGTACAATCGCTCTCCAGCCTCGACCGTGTTGTTTATTAAGAGGGTCGCCGAAGATTGCCGTCCCAGAAGATCCTTCAGGGTCGCCACGTTCGAGACTAGTTCCTGACGAGCGCTGCTCAAGTCGTCCTTGATGGATTGATAAGATGTTCGCGTGTTTGCTAGCCATTCCGAGCACTGCTTGTAGCGTTCTAGATAGGCGGCGTGGTCCGCCACCGCTTGCTCGCATTTTTTAACAAGTTCCTACAATTCCGTTGTTAATAGCCAAGTGAAACTCGAAGCAGGATCGTTCAGTAAAGAAGAGTTACGTTACCTTAGCGGTAGATTGTATGGATTGAAAACGAGAAGTAATCTGTTGAACGCTGGCGGAGAATCTGGTCTCGCCGCTGATTTGCATAAGTTCCGAAGACTCGTCGCTCATTCTGTCAAATTCTGCTTCGTTTTGTCGGAGATTCACTATCAACATCTGTAGGGTGAAACGCATCTAAGATGTACGTTACGTATGCGCGTTAAAATATCGATGTCTTATAGCGTAGATGCGTAGTACAAAAAAAAAAGAAAAAAGAAAACGCAAAAAAGTACTGTAAAACATTCTTTCGAGTATTTTTTTAAAACTAATCTTTCTTGCTTGGTACGTAATTGTTTTAAATCACACTGAATCGTTAACGAAAAAACACATAAAGAAGTATAGAAACAGAACGTAGAGTAAGACCAGAGAAGAAGAAGAAGATGAAGAAGAAGAAGAAAAAGAAGAAGAAGAGAAGAGGACAGTATTGAGAAATTTGTACAAAAGTGTCCACACGCCTCATGACAAGAATTTTCAGGTTTTCTCCTTACTTGATCGAGGTGGTCTCCGAGGGCCACCAGTTCCGTGACTTCCGTGTCCCACGACAAGGCGGTCTTTTGTAGTGCCTAAGAAAGTTTACCAAATACAATTCCTGACTTTATTTATTGTTTCGATCTCTCTCTCTCTCTCTCGTATCTTTTCCTCTTCTTGGCAAAGAAAAACGTGTTCGTACATCGTGGTGTAAAATAAGATCGCGTGCATAGTGTGTCTCCCTTACCATCCGAACCATTAATTATAGAAGAAACGATTTTAAAACGATACCTGGTACTTTTCAAGCTGCTCCTGCTTCTCATCCAGCGTGTTCTTCAAAGAGTAATTCTTCAAAGAAGATTCCGCGTCGGTCAGCCAGGCCAACAGGCGTTCCAACGAATTTTCATACTCGCTCCATTGCTGAATCCTTTCCTCGATGCATCGGACGATATCGTTCACAGCAGTGGCGAACTTCTTGTGTTCGAATCTGTCGGACAAAATAACGTTGGAAAGTTTCTTCTTTATCGAAGAACCGTTCCCTTTAAACAAGCTCTGATCTTTACCTCAACGTAGCTAGGTCTCTTTCCATGGTCTCTAGCGATCTCGGTGTCAAATTATGAGCACTCTGCGCTACGTGTTCGCTCAGAATGTTTAGCTTCAATTCCCCTTCCCTCTGACCGTCTTGGAGTTCCATGATTTTAGTCAACTGAGCCTGAAGAGCGGTCTTGTTGCCCGTGTAGTCGCTATAGTTGGCCAACTGTTCCCATTGCTGCTTCTGGTAATCCTGATAGGACTTTTGAAGATCGTAAAATTGTTGGAACGTGTCCAGAAGGGTCTCCAAGTTCGATATGTTCTTCTGCGACATGTCGACCAGGTCTTCGTATCTTTCGGAGACCGAGGCAGCCTTTTGCTGGGCGTCGGAGGGTGCTTGAACGGTGCACGTAAGCGCGTTAGCCTTTTCGGAGACGCCTTCGATGATGCGCTTGTAGGCCAAGATTTCCTGATGCATTGCCTGGAAAAGTTTCGTCAACGAACGATATATCTCCGGCGAGATTCGATTACTTTATTTTTAAAAAGAGTAACGTAAAATATAGACGCGATTACCTTGCTCTTGAGCAATTTAGATTTAATTTCCTGGAGGGAGGACCAAGTGATGGATGAATCCTGTTTCACGGATCTTTCCATGGCGTCCAGCCAAGCCAAGATCTGCTGCAAAGTCACCTGATAATTCGACCACTGCAAAGATTGAGTATCTTGTTTCTTTTGTTGTTCGACTATTCCCTCCGCGAGCTTGTCCCATCGTTCCCTAGCTTGTCTCAATTCGTGGCGAATAAGTTCTCGTCCTTGGGCCGAAGTGTCGGCAAGAATCCTCTCTCCGAAAGAAACCAGACCGCCCAGGCGGTGTTCTCCTTGCTCCTTCTCGGCTAGAAGTATTTGCAGACGCGATACCTTTTCTTCCAAATTTCTACCGGTCTCGTCTTTCTTCAGACTCGACAGACTTTGTTCCAGCTGAGTGAGCCAGCCGTCGAAACCTTTCAATTTTTCTTCGTAGGCTCGGTGGTCGTCGACGATACTCTGACATCGAGTAACTACCTCTTTGCTGAGCACGTGCAGCTGTTGATACCTATAATATTCAAATCCAATGATTTTTCATCAAGCCACGATTATTAATATTGTTGCGACGGACTGAAGATGCATCGTTGCGGCAACGTGAAGGCTGTTCCGCAACGATGTGAAGCTGCTCCTTCAAATTAAATAAAACTTCTTGTTTCTAGTAACAATACTATTCGTAACCGAGGAGTTTTAAAATCGCGCAGAATTCCGCGCTCTAAGAAAAGTGTACTTCTCTTTTCTACCGCTAGTTGGCAGCACTAATCAGTGCATGCCGATACGACAAAAGTGCTCGTACGTGCCTACATGCATCGTCGTTCTTTTTCAAAATACATACTTGTGTAATATTTTACGCATAATGCATATTGTACGGTCTTGTGATTCGAAAATTAAGTAATCGTATTGTTCAAGCATCAAGTTTTAAACTTCAAGATATTCGAAAGGACGAATAAATGGAGGAACTACGCTAGTCAAGTGTAATCATAATTTATCGCTTCGAAATTAAAACATTGGCCAGGTACTCTTTGTTTCTTACTTTTAAAGGTTGCATGTATCAAGAATGTTAATGAAAATACAGCTTCTAACGTGATAAACTTTTCTTATACAAGTATTAACAGCAATGGAAGCCTAACGTTGACTCTAGCAGTAACTGGACCCCATCGTCGACCACCCCCACCCCGCGCCTAAATCGACAGGCGCAGGTCTGGACTTGTTCCCTGGAAAGTGGCGCGAGTGGACGTGTTGCTGGCTTCTCTACTTTATAGGTACGTATTTCACTTTTAAATTCTTAAAAATTGTTGATACTACTTCCGTAAAGTCTCTATTGGTGCCTCAGTTCAATCTTAATAAACTTTTGGTTGTAAATTCAATCGACATTGCGAGAAAAATCAAATCGGCTTCGTGCTATTTTTTCGTTCACCGCCCCGTACCAATTAATACTATTTGTTAATTAAATCATAATCGTTTACGAGTTATTTTCAGCTAGATTTGTACCTAATTATGGTAAGCATGCGTTTGTTTCAACGAATATGTTTAAAACATGTTGTTCTTTTTGACACAGGTTATGGATACAAGTTCGAACGCGAGAAGGAGAACATCATCGATGTCATGGCGATTGCTGATCAATTCGAAAGAAATTTCATCGATGTCATGGCGATTGCTGATCAATTCGGAAGAAATTTCATCGATGTCATGGCGATTGCTGATCAATTCGGAAGGAAATTCATCAAACGTGAGTAAAATCTTTTAATTTGTCTTTTGGTTTATTCTGTAGCCACATACACGATGTACGAAACCTTTTTCTTGTCTTAAAGTATGTAATAATGTAAAATAACGTCGTTAATGTACTTGCATTAATACTGTAAGCATCGCGAGATTAGAATAGACAAGGAAAGCATTTTTCGATCGTTCTAAAAAACGCGAATTCTAACATATGTATGTCGCATCATCTAGCGGATGCAGCTGAAACTATTTTTCTTTTTAAACTCGGGCGTTTCATCGATAGTGGCACTAACTGCACTTTTAATTTTTGTTCGACGATCGGTATGTGGCTACAATCATTATCATTTTCTATTTTCTTTGTAAATATGAAACAATCATATATCAGGTACGTATCGTTATGTTTCGAGAATAAATTTATAATATAATATTTTTAAAATGAATTATGATGCATGTAAACAATATTTTGCATATTTCGTGTACTCGGTAAATAGACTTTTGCTTCTTTTTTCGTGATCTACGCATAGTAAATACGTTTGAATCAGTTACCTGTTACTAATTTGAGAGATCATCGGTTTGATCCGTTCAACGCCGCTTGCGTGGAGTAAACTATGAGATTTATCGACGAACTCGTCGATCGTGGATTCTTCCTTCAATATAGAATCGCGTTTTTCCTTCAGAGCTCGCAAACGAACTTCCTTATCTTGCAAAGTAGGTTGCAATTGTTGATCTCTGAACGCGGCCTCCATAGTGCAGAACCATTTGGTGTGCGCTTCCAATTTATCCTCAAAGTCTTGCCATTTTTGCAATGCCGCTCTTTGCTTTTGTTCCACCGATTCTGCAAGGCGAACGATCGATTAAATAAATTCGTAAGTAACGAATAGGATTCGTTGGAGGTAATTACCTATTTCGGCCAAGTACTGACGGAGATTGCCCTCGAGAACGGTGATTTCCTTATTGATGGCGTCCCATCCTTTCGGCGCGGTCCTCTTAGCCACAGAATCGCTCAGTTCCTTGAGCTTTCCAAGGTGTTCCGCTCCTTGCATCTGATCGTTCTTGAGCATCGCCAGTGTCGCGAGTCTCCTCGAAATGTCTGCACGTTCTCCGGTGACGTCGTTGCATTCTGCGAGCTTCTCCTTTTCGGCGTTCAGCCAATCGGAGAAGCTCTTCACTTGTAGATTGAATCGATGATGCTTTTCCACGCAGTCGGCCAGGTTCTCTAGCAAGTCCTTCGACTTGGCCACGATATTGTGGAAAAGCTGCTTGATGGAGGGCGGGAAGACGTTCAAAGACGTGTCTTTGGTCTGATCCACCAGTTGTTGAGCCTTGTCGCAGACAGACTCAACCAGAGACTGGTGGGACATTATCTCTTGATGCATGATTTTGTGATTCTGCAGCTGTGCCCTCTTTTCTTCCAAGGTGCATTTTAATTCCGTGTGCTGGTGTACCGCGCGCTCCACGTCTCGGAGCCAGGTACTCAGTTGCTCGTAAGACAACCAAAATTCTGCAAAGTGCATCAAGCATTGATCCAATTTTTGCATGGTGGTTTGAAGATCCTCGGAAAATCCATCCCAAAGCGTCCGCAGGTTCCTCAGCTGTTGTCTGATGATTTCTCGGCCATCCGGAGACGTGTGAACGTACAGTTTCTCCCCTAGATCGATCACCGATTCGAAACGAGCGTTTTCCTTAGTCCTGGTATCGCTGAGATCGCGAATTTGCTTTTGTCTGCTTTGCAAAACAGACAAATCGCCCACGATCTCGCTCTGCCTTTTCAACTCGGTCTGAATATCATTGATCCATTGCAACAGTTGCTCGTACTTGGCGTTGAACGTGTTGTGCTCCTTTACGAACTGCTCGTACCGCATCACGGCCTCCTTTATCTGATTTTTAATGGCCTGGTACTTGGTGGTTTGCCTGGAAACCCTTCTGGCCAGATCTGCTTCGGCTTCTATGCTCTGGCTCTTCTCGATCACAGCATTGAACTCGGACCCCTTCGCGATTATAGTCTCCTCCCAAGACTTGAGTTTCCGAAGATGGGCCTTCTTTGCCTCCTCGGTGCTTTTCAGACTCTGATCCTTCAACTGAGTCTCCATTTGCTTGATCCAGGCCTCCAAGCTTTCCACGATTTTCTCGAACTCGGACCACTGATCGAACATGTGCTTCAACTTGTCTCTGGCGGCGACGCATCTCTTGAGGAAGTCATCCCAAATTTTGCTCTGCTGCTCAAAGTTGGTCAGCAGGGCCGGATGACCCGGCAGAGAGGTTTGCTCGAGAACGATGTTCAGTTGTTGGTTGCACTCGAACAGGATTCGATCGCCCTCCGCTTTCTGCTGCAACAAATTCTCTATCGAAACGATTTTGTTCTGTGCAGTGTCTCGTTCCACGGAGAAATCCTCGATGATCGGCGAGCCTTCGTTTATCACGGTATTGATCCAATCGCGAGTCTTTTCGAACGTTTGCAGGTACGCCTCGTGGTTCGACACATGTTTCTCCGCGATGTTTATTCGCCCTTGGACCTCGTTCGATAGCTTCTCGTAGGCCTCGATAACGCTGCTCAACATTTCGCTCGCGTCGTCGTCCGGTGCTGTACTCAGCCTCTCTTGAAGCTGTTGGAGGATGTTTTTGTGAACGGTCACGTCCTGCGCGACGGCTCTGTACACGTGAAGAGCTAGTTTCTTTTCCTGCAGCGTAGGCAATAGATCCTGTTTCTCTCCCAATTTGTTCCGCGCGTCCACCAGCCACTGCTTCACTTGGAAGAACTTGTCCTCGAACGAGGATCTGTGCATCATGTCGCTCTCGATCTTCTTGTAGATTACGTTGGCGCGATCCGCCATAGCGTCCACGCGATTACGGAAGTTTCTCAACTCGGCTCTGATCATTTCCCGCTGATCCGGCGTGATCCTAGCGAACAGAGTTTCGCCCGCTTCGGCGGTTCGATTCAAGATCGCTTGTCCGACTTCTCGTTCCTCGACGAAACATTTCAGTTCCTTCAACCGCGATTGATAAAACGTGATAGGTTTAGGCCCGGTGATTTCGTCGAAGGCTTTCAACGTTTTCTCAGCGTTCTCGAGCCAAGCTACCAGCTTATTTTTGTTCGCCGCGTACTGATCCCTGTTCTCCTTTAGTCCCCGCAGTCTGTCCAAGTGTTGGGACAAGAACTTTACCACGTATTCGTATCGAGTGTTTAGATGCCCTATGTACTGATTCACTCTAGACTCGGAGCTGACTTTCGTGATGTCTTCCGCGAGGGCGGAAAGCTCCTTCAATTCGGTCTGATATTCCGTAACCGTGTTTTGCATATCGGTCATTTCAGCGATCTTTTCCTCGATGTCGTTGATATTGAGCAGCGCCGACGCCTCGGCTCTGATCTTGTTCTCGTTCTCTTTCAACCAGGACAGAACGCTCTCGGAAGTGAGCTCGTAGCGTTGCCACAGAGCAATGTTCCGTTCCAGATCGTTTTTAATCTTTCCGTAGCTGGACTTGAGGGACTCGAGATCGAGATCGACTCTATCGCGATCAGCCTCGAGGGCAGCCATCGTTTCGGCGCTCTCGACGGACGCTAAAAGCTTCAAGGAAGCATCGGTGTCCTCCTTTCTGCCGGTGCAGTCCATAATACCGGCCTCCACGTCCATCAACGAGGCCATTTTCACTTCGAGATTGTAACGATCGCTGCTCTGTTCGGGCTCGCACCAAGCAACTTTTTCCTTCAGGGTCACCACCATGCGCTGAAGAGCTCCGAACTTTTCGTGGTAGAGTTTGGTGAGGAACGCTACCAACGTTGCGATCACCTTGTTCGCGTGACTAGCCACGCCGTCCCTTCGAAGCTGCAGAGCTTGAAGTTCCTTGGGTAGACTGGATCGCGAAATGCTCGGATATTCCGTGGACATTTTCGTCAGGGTCTCTTCGACCTTGGACAGAGCGTAATCGCATTGTTCCAATTCGGTTTTAAGCTCCTGGCACTTGTTGATTCGACCAAGGATCTTGGTGTTTTCGCCAGTCAGGTCGTCGCATTTTATTATGTCTTCTCGGATCTTGGAGATCTGGTCCCCGCATCGTTTCATCTCCTGTCTGATTGCTCTCTCTCTTTCGTTCATGGTCGAGGTCAAGGATTCTAGCTTGTCCGCCGAGCTCTTGACCAGTTTGAACTGGTCGTCCAACAATTTCCGCAAAGAATTCAAGGTAGGAACGTCCGCGTCGTTGTTAAATTTGATCAGTTGCCCGATCTTTGCGACGACGTTCTGATAGAGTTGCTGGTAAGTCGGTAGTTCCTCTCGATATCTTACCAATCTAGCCTGGCAATTTTCCGCGTCGAGCAAACGATCGCAGGCAGTGGTCAGAGCATCGTTGGTATTGGTCAGCCACTTTGTCACTTCGGACTTTGACTCTTCTATCTGCTTCCAGATGATCACCTGGGATTCGTAGGCCTGCAATTTTTCACTTATGTCGTTGTACGTATCCTGATACTGGACTCGAACTTTGTTCAGGTCCGATTCGATCAACTCCGAATTAAACTTGGGCATCAGGGACGCCTCCTTCGTCAGCTGTTGAGCTTTCGAGTCCATTTTCTCCAAGAATTGTTTACCCTTTTTCAGCACTTCCAAAGCCTTCTTGTGCTTCTCCAAATTGATGTTTGCTTGGGTGATATCGTAAGGAACTCCCTTCACGGATTGGCAAAGAGTTCTTGCCTCGTCAATGAACTTTATCAGCCTCTGTCTGGCTTCCTCGTAAATCTTCCAATCCGTGTCCATGTCAGCGTACTTTTTCCTCTGCTCTCGAAGAAGTTCGTTTACCTTTTCCCAATTAGCATCGACGCAAGAGAGGACAACTTGGATGTTGGTCGTCGATCTTTGATCTTCTTTCATCAAGGAACTGCCTTCGAAGTGGAGCACTTCCTTTTCCTGTTCTCTCTTCTGGTGTTCCTCGATCAGTCGGTCGATCTTGTCCACGGCAGGCGCCAATTCTTTGCAGGAGTCCACGTTGTAAACCGTTTCCTGAAGAGCCGTCTGCGTGTTCAGTATCTTTTCCGTGATATTTTGCTGCAGCGTTCGGAAATTGGTCCATCTGGCGCCAAGGTTCTCGAGCCTGTCGCGTTTCGCGGATATCTCGTTCTTCAGAGCTATAGCCTTGTTCTCTAGGTCGTTCAAGAGACCCGAGGCCGACAACGGCTTCCCTTGCTTGTCGCGAATTTGTATACCCACGGCGTTGTCGGGTAATACGTGCTGTTTCCAGCCATCTATCTTATCGTATATCGATTGCAACTCCGAAGAGAATCTTTCCAAATCCGCGACGGTCGGCTTTCTAGCTTCTGCCTCGTACTTGCAGTGATTGAGCTGCCCGTTCGCGTCGTTTAACCAGCTCAACAGTTCGATCCACTTCTCCAGACCCTTCTTCTTCTCTCGCAGATCGTCTTCCAGTGCTTTGTACTTTTTCGCCAATGTAGTGTAGGTTTCGTCGAGGGCAGCCGCCTCGACGACCGATCCTCTGGACGAAAGTTGTTTCACTTCGTCGTAGATCGCCGCGAAACTGGGCTGCTTCTCCGAGTGTTCTTGAATGTAAGCGTGCACAGCTTGGAGGTTAGTGTCGACGGTGTCCACCGTAGCTTCGCTGATCTCCGCGATGTTCGATCTCAATCGCGACATCCAGTTCTCGAAATCGGTGATCTTCATCTGGAACTCTTGCCGCGCCAACAGGGAATCGGAAACCTTATTGATCTGTAATCTGACGGTGTCGGCCAGTTTGCTGACTCGGGATTTGATATCGGAGACTCGAGCCTTCAAGTTGGAGGCTCCTTCGAGGGACAAACCGTGGCTGATGTGATCGGACACTTGCGTGAGCGATATCAATTGAGCCTGGTGATCGGATATCGTCTTGTTGAAGTCCTTCAAACGCGTCAATTCCTTCTCCAGTACCGACACTTCGGGTGTCTGGGTATTAGGCTCTACGAGGACCATCTTTTCAGACTTTTCCAACCATTCGTTGAACTCTTTGATCTCGGACTCGAAACTGTTCCACGATGTGACCAGCTTGTCCAGCTTGGTGGTCGCCTGAACGGCTATGTCGTGTACAGCGTTCCAACGCGTATGCACAGCGTCTACTTCGTCCGAGGCTGACGTTTTCCCTGCGAGCCTTTGACCGATCATAGACAGCTCTTGAATTTTCGGCAAGCGTTGCTGGCATCGTGTTTCGAACGCTCTGGCGGTTTCTAGCATCTGGGCTGCCTGGGGCAGAGTCGTGGGTTTGCTACCCATCGTGGCTGCTTTCGATTCCGCCTCCTCGATCCAGGGTTTCAGCTCACGGATGCCCTTTTCGTATTCCTTCCATGTTTCTAGATTTTGCGCGGCCGTTTCCTTCTGAACCACGATACTTTTCTTCAGCATCTCGAGCGTTTTCTCGAGGTTTATGATGTCGTTGCGTAGCTGCCTGCCCGGCCCGCTCTCGCTGTCACCTAAACGTACAAACACGTTGACATTTTAAAATACACAACGAGAATAAAAATGATCGAGAAGAACGACGATTACCTTTCACGAGCTTCCGCGACTCCTCCTCCAGGAACTTGAGCGTCTTGGTCTTCTCGTGGATTTCCTTCTGCAAGCTCTCGGTTCTGTAAACCATCTCTTCCGGAGTGGTGGCCAAGTGTTCGGTGTCCGCGATCGATCGAGGAGCGCTTTGTTGAGCCCAGCTCTGTAGCTCGTTCATCTTTGCCTGGAATTTGTTCCATCTGGTACTGTGTTCCTGAAGATAAACCACCTTCTCCTGGACGATCTTCAATGTGGTCTCCATTCTCTTTTCGGTGTGCGTGATCTCCTTCTTGAGAATCTCTTTGCGTTCCGTTGGCGCGACGTCTGTTAGATTCGCGTACGTCTCGCGGAGCTTTTTAAGCAATTCTTCGGCAGTCTTTCTCAGAGTCGAGCCAAAGTCTTGTTTGCTCTGAAGGTCGGAAGACACTTGGGAAGCATCGTAATAGCTAGTCGACTCGATTTTCCTCAGTTCTTCTTCGGCTTGCTCGATCAACTTCAGGATTTCTTCCTTCTGATTCAAGTAGGTGTTCCATAGCTTCTGCGAGCTCTTCAGGGACTTGAGGGTCTCCACGCTTTGACCGTACGTGTCGTTCCAGCTGGACTCGAGCTGCTGAACTTCCAACGAGACGAAAGGTGGCGCGTGTTGGTCCTTTAGAAGATCCTTGCCGCGTTGCAGCATGCTCACAATGTTCGATCTCTGTTGTTCCAATTGACTGAGACGAATTTCCTGGTGGGATACCGCGCTATGCAGATTTTCGGGACTCTCGGATACCACGTCGATCTTTGATTGCTCGCGGACCTTGTGCAACAACGTGCACACCTCGCGGACTTCTTTCCTGTAGGTGTAGCTTTTCGAATAAATGTCAGTTTTCGTCATCGTGATCTCTATCGTTGGTATCAAGTTCTTGTAACGAGTTATCAGCTGTTCCAGACGATTCTGTTCCGATAGAGCTTCGTGGTCGAATCGGTTGGAAGTCAAGCTGTCCAGGCTTTGAACCAACCACTTCATTTCTTCGCGCTTGCTGTCCGCTTCTCGGCAAATTTTCTAAACAAAAAACATTACCACCTTTTCGTAGTCTGTACATTTTTAAATAGAATGTCGTCTACGGTTATATTTACCGTCACAAGTTGAACCTACGTATCCAGCAGAGTGGAATGCAAAAGTAAAATATACAAACAGTGGAATTTAAACGAGAGGATTTCGAAGCAACAGAAATATGCAAAAGTAAAACCGGGGTTTTTACCTGGAATATCGTTTTCTCCGTCTCGAATTCCTCCAAGGTGTTCACTTCGTGCAGTATGGTTCTGAGATTACTGTCCACGTGATCCATCCATCTGACCATCTCGTCGAATCTGAAATAAAACCAACCAACGATCGTCAGCAGACAGGAAACGCGGAAAATCTCTGAGTAAAGTTTCACCGTACTAACTTCTTTTTGTAAGCAGCCCATTGTTGAGGCACTTGCTTCAATTGCTCCCTCAAACTTTCCACTTTCTGAGCAGAATACTCCCATAGACGTTCGGCGTTTTGCGCTGCTTCGGAAAGACTGGTGTCGCTCGGTTTCAGATTACTATACGCGTGGCTAATCTTTTTCAAAGTTTCCAAACATTTCTCGACCTCCATCATCGTGCCACGGTTCACGAAAAACTCTCTGTTTCGATGGAGTATGCTTTCCACGTTGTCGTTCTTCATGAGAGCTTGCTGTTCGGAGTTGATCTCAACCTCGATTTCTTTGAGGTACTGTAGGAACGTTGTCTCGTCGAGACGGAACTCGAGTCTCATAAGATGAAGAGGCGCGAACGTGAGCACTTCCTTCCAGCGTTTTTGAAGCGCCTCGACCGCCTCGGCGATGGGAGCTTGCTGCCCAACGGGCAGAATATTCTTTAGATCTTGTCCGGCGTTTACAAAGTCCTGAACCCATTTCTCGTTTACGATGCTAAAAAAGTTCTTGTGATACTCTATCGAGCGTCTGTTATCCGTGTGCTTGTCGCTGATCATCGCCTCCGCCACCGACAGCCACTCGGAGACTTGTCTCTCGCATTCTTTGAACTTGGTCCAGCATCTGACTGCTTCTTGCAGTCGTTGATCCCAGGTCTGAGCAGCCTGGGACACTCTGTTGAACCGTTCGTTCAGTTCTCTGAGCGTCCTGCCACCCTCCGCGGTCGCAACGTCGGCGTGGCTGTCCACGGACTTTACGATACTGGTGAAAACTTTGTTCTTCGACTCCAGCATCGATTTGTAGTAGAGGGTTCTCGAGAAGAAGGCCTTGTGGCGGTCCAACTGAGCCAAAATATGCTCCCTGCCGCCCGAAAGATCCATACCGGTCAACATTTTCTCGGCTTCGTCCAACCAGGCGGCAATCTCCTTTTGTCCAGCTTCCAAAGACTCTTGCTGGACCAGCAATTGATGGTACAAGTGCAGCTGCATCGGTATCAAGGCTCGTACTTTAACCAGAGCCTCTTTCTCTTTCTTCAACGTGTTCATCATCTTGTCCACTTCGTCGCGAGACAAGTCTTGGATCAGAGTTTGGAACTTTTTGCTGATAATCTTGAAGAGATCCTCGATACCCTCCACCTCGTTGTGGTAGACTTGAAGTTTCTCACCGTAGGCTTTGATCTTCTCGGTGGTGGTGAGGTCGGTGGCTGCCAACGCGGCCTCGACGCTTCTTAGCCAGTTTTGCAGGGTCTCCACCCCTGCTCTGTAATCTTTTCTGTTTCGTATCAGGTCGCCAGCGTGCATGTACTGCTTGGCTTCTTGGAACAGAGATTCCCATCTCGACGTCAGATTCGTGTATCGTTGCTTGAGTTGCAGAGCAACAGGCTCGTCGGACGTGACGATCAGGAAAGTGACGGTGTCCGAAAGTTGTTGGTGTTTGTCCTTCCACACGCTTATGTCCTGAAAGAATTCCATTTTCTCCTCTTCGGGTAGATTCAAGGCAGGTTCCGCGCGAATCAGCCAAGCCTCGAACTCGTCCGAGATGATGTTCCATCGGCGCCAGTAGGCTACAACCTCTTCCAGCATGCTTTGCACGCAACGCAGGTCCATCGAGACGCTTTTCCATTTATCGCTGGTTTCTCGCATGAAACGATCGATGCTCAAGCTCTCCTCTTTGTCTAGAACAGAATACAAGAACGGGTTTGTAACGATACGATCATCCTCAATATGATTTGTTTACTCCGACTTACCAACGTTACCCTCGCGTTTATAATCATCGACGACTTGCTGCATGTCCAAATATGCCTTCTGGAACTCCTGGAAGATTCTGTTTCGTGATACAAAGTTTCTGTATTGTTCCAACATCTGGTGCACCTTCTCCTCGGTGCCGTACTTGACGCTCCATCCTTTTAGCTTCGTCTCGACTAGGAACAAGAAAGCAATAAGGCAGCACTTGTGCTCGAGGAACTTTAATCTGATCCTGCGCTTCGCGGCGCGATCTGCTAGACTCTCGAATCGGGCAGCCGTGTTGTTCAGCTGTTGAGGCTGCACCTGCAGCGCGAGCTGAGAATTTCTAGCCGCTTGGAACCTCTCTATCATAGGCGGTAGGTCGAGGAAGAACTTTTTGTGATCCTCCAGCTTGTTTGATATTATGTTGGCCGTTTCCTCCGTCATTTCCTCCGGTATGTCGTCGTCCGAGATCAAAAGGGCTTCGGCGCGTCGTAACCATCTGCCCAGCTCGCCCAACTCGCCTGGCAGGGTAGAGTCTAGGAACCAGAGCCAGTGCAGCATCTGCAAAATAGGTTATTCACTTAATCTTGGAACAAATGCTACGAGCGTTCGATTCTATCGAGGTTGCGTGGCTTACAAGTATTTCAAACGTCTTCCATACATTCTGTACGCGTCTCCAAGAGTCTCTCGTAATACTAATCATACTAGGCGTCTCGACGAGACGCTGCAACTTATTGTACACCACAAACTGCTGGTCAGCTTCCGTCTTTAAGGCAACGTACTCCTGAAAGCACGAGTCGTCGTAATGTCATAACGTGTATTTCCATTTGATTTTTTAACGAACGTACCTCGTAATTCAGTGGGAAAGAGTTGGTTCTGTCCAACTGCTCCAGGTATCTGACTCTCTCGCTGAGCCAGTTAAACAATCTATCGTGTTCCTGCTGGACAGCGGCGAACGAGTCGGAAGCGCTGGATCCTGGTTCCGGGTATTTGTGTAAAAATTGCGCGACATAGGTCATGATGGATTTCTCGTCGGGCTGGGGAACGTCAACGTCTTCCGGGTCGAGGAGTCTGGCGATGCCTAGTTCCACCTCGGCTACTTGGAAGGCAGTTTCCAAACGAGCCCTGTTGGAGGCTTCTCGCATAGCAGCGATGTTCACCAGATTCGCTCTAATCGCGTCGATGATCGCCAAGAAGGCGTTGCCGTCCCGCCAGCTCTCGCCGAAATCGCGAACTTGGATCCCGATATCCCTGAAATATCGAAATCGTGCGTGTACTATACCCACCCGTAGAGACGATGATTTTCGCGAATACTAACTTGGGTAGGGCATTGGTCACCCATTGGAGCAGAGTCTTCCTTGCTCCCTGTTTCCATTTCTCGCTGCTTATGCGTTTCCTTTCGCTGGCGGCCAAACCCTGGCTGCTCAGACTCTCCAGGCTGCTCTGGCTGCCCCACGTTTGTCCAAGATACTCCAAAGCACGCGTGTTCTCTTCGATCTAGAAAAAGAACGGACGATCGATAGATCGCGGACCAACGAGACCCGCGATGGACAAGAATTCACGGAATACATAAGGTACTAGCGTGCGTATTATCAATGTGACGCGTAAAATCATGCAAGTGCGTGCTATATTTTACTCTCTGCGTACAGAGACTTTCTCTCTACGGCTTTTCTGTTTCATCAAGTCGTACCAGTTAGACAGCAATCTCTTTTTATAGCTACTCACCTTTTTTCGATCCTTCGATCGTAGCTTGTTTTTATAGAATAAACACGGTTAGCAGAATCGAAAGTAATTTACTTCGCTCTAAACGAGAACTAATTTCATTTCTGTTTCGAGACAAGGTATTTCCCGATCGAACGATTCACGGTCCCTTTATAATGTTTACCGGACAGAAGCGTACGCGGAGGTGTAGTTGCTCGCGGGGACCTTGTCAAGAATTTTATTTAAAAAAACGATCGATCCTCGATATTCTCAAATTAATTCCCGTTGTAAACGATTGCAATGCTACCGCGTATGTCGTAGCATGTTTATGTAATTGAACGTTATACGTGGCTAGAGCGTCAGACTTAAGCAGCTACCGCATTCTAGATGTAACAGTGCTTTTTGCGTACAGCGTCGACTGTAGAAGTTGAAACGAAACAACGTCTACCTGGAAGTACAGGATGATGGTCCATATTAGGCCTAGCACCACCGGCGGTCTTCCGTCGACTAGATCGGACGAATTGATGTTCACTAATTTAATCTGCAAAGAGATCGGAACATGTTATTACTCCCAGACGCGTTACACTCTGTCGTTTGCTCACCTTTTTGCTCTGCAAGAACTGAAGCGCGGTATTGGCGTTGCTAAGAAAATGCGGTCTCTTCAAGTTACGGCCTCGTTCGACCGGCTGTAAACAGATAAACGCGTTTCGTTGTGTCGGAACGTTTCAAAATTCTACTATTCGAGGCTTCTTCATACACAAACTCACCAGCTTCTCGCCGGATAACACTTCGAGCAACGCGAGTAAGCGGGTGCCGTCTTTTAGGTCCTCGATCAAATCTACTACTTGAAGCGGTTGCATTCTCTGAAAGCAGACACCGTTTATTGAAACTAGTCCTCAGGCTGGAATAACGTTTGAAACGGATACCGGTGGATTAATCGGGAAGGCGGAAAGTTCGAAAGATTTCTCGCGATGACGGGATTACTCGTATCTTGCCAGGAACGAGAGGGTAATTAAGTCGAGTCCACGGAACGGGCTTTGAACGCAATGTCGTGCCGCTTCTGAGGCATGCATGTCGCGAGGAAGCGGGCTGGGATGTCTAATTCAAAGTTTCCAAGTATCCGGAAGTGCGGAAGTAGGGGAGCGGTATCGAGACTCGCGAGCCAGGCACGAGTTATCCCAGTTAGCCTCTGATATTCGTGATGAGAAGTAATTTCAGCGTTGCCTTATTATATGCATACGAAGGGACGATAGAAAAGAAGAAAGGTTCGCGTAACGTGACGTGGACGACAAAATACTTTTAATTATTATTATTATCTAGAAATTTAAAATGCTGTTCACCTTGGATAGATAGGAATTGATCCAGTTGACAAAGGTCTTCTTCTGTACTCGTTCCTGTTCGTCTGAAAAGAGAACGATATTTTCATTTCAAACGAATACCTGCGTTCCATCTTATCTTTTATATTTCGGAGACTGCAAAGCTACTGGCATTAATCTTCGATGCGTGTTTAATCTCAAGGTTCTCGTACCGAACGACTTGTACTTACGTGATTTAGTATCGCGTTGCCATTTATCGGATATTTGCATGAAAAATGTTAAGTGTCTTTAGATAATGGAATTATGTCAGTCGTTTCAGCAAAGATACCGCGGGAAAATAATTTTATCGTAGACAGAAATACACTTTACTTCGTAATAAAATTCTCCGTTACCTAGGGAGAAAAATACTCGCCAGTAAGCGAATTACATACCTCGTAAACTATATGTATATCAAGAATAATTCTGACAGAAAGTTCGAAAGAAAACTACATATATGATGCAATGATGTATGCAACGTTCTTGCAAGTGATTCAGTCTTGACTCGCATTACGTCATCGTCAATTGCGTACTCTCGTGATCATTACAGTGTGCGAACCGTAAATCGAGTTGAAAATGCTACATTTCGCGTTCCCAGAATGGGAAGTAGTAAAATTTCCACACATCGAAAGATTCATCGATCGATTCTTTACGGTGAATAGATCGCGGCAGAAGCGGTCGAAATCGGTTTCTCGCATTGCAAATTTAACGTGGTTTGATCGGCAGTAAGCTTCGATATTCTAGACTTAAAATACTCTTGGAGCTTATCGCACACCTGCGTCAGAACTTTATTATCTCTTTGACAAGAAAACGATCGTAGCATGCCAATTCTTATTATATGTATACGTTTATCGTTAAGAGTTGTCTCAACGATTTTTTTCCTTCGTACCATTCGTCTTTCGATGGAAATTTTTTTTCCAAAGCGTATTTGCATCTGAAAGCAAAGAATACGTATCCTCTTGTTTGCATATGTAGCTGCCATAGTGCCGCGCGTAAAATCGAACAACTACCGAGACATAGAGAGCGGAAGATGAAACGAGCCGTGTCATTGGCACGGAGACAGTTTTTAATAGCAGTCTACATGCAAGCATAGTAATGATCGTTACCGGTATACTATACGCTCGCCATATGATGTACGATAAACAGCTGTCCAACCCTGTTCCAACAGGCGGCGTCTGTTCAAATTTTATTTTTCGCGCGAGGTACCGTGCCATTCGAACGATTAATATCGGAGCTAGCATAAAAGTGGCAATAGTCCTGACCCAAACTACAATAATATATAGAATTTTTCGTCGTTGGTCATTTTTATACGCGACTGATTTACGACTGCACGCGAACTGCATATTAGTTGATCATTACGCTTAATTCTAACGGTATACGAGATATACCAGATCACCAAAATTTATTGGCCAAGATTCTCAGTACCTTGCCATTAAAAGCACCGATAAAATACCGAGTATGCATCGTCGTACATGCTGTAACATAATCGTTCGTTCGCACCTCGTTTTCATTCGTTTTTGCCTCTTTCCGTTTCGATGATCTACGAATCAACGACGCCTCGTTTCAACTCTTTATCTTTTTTTGTACCCGTTCCTCGCGCGTCTAGCGATCGAGACGAACAACTAAATTATATCCTTCGTTCGGAACGTGTAATTTCACGGCGCATTACGCGTGCATTTCTTCGCGACGCGTATCAATCATACGATCAACGCGATCTCCGATTGCATCATGAATTAATAAAGCGACTGGAGTTTACGTCTAGGAACTCCCTCAATTAGCAGATCGATGGATCGAACTCCGAGATTTATATCCTTCGAGGGCTCATTCTAAATTGGCTGAGATTCATGGCCATAATCATTTTCGAATAACAGAAACCATACGACCAAATTACGGAGATTTATCATTCAAATCAATTTGCGTTGCCTTGGTACTTGTATCATATAGTTTTTTCTACTTGGCATCATTTAATCTTGTCAAAGTCGGTATAGTTAAGTTAGTTTTCATTAACGATGCACCAGCATGCTATGTCTTGGACTCGAAGAGTGCTTTGAAAAAAACACACAATTAACAGAAACAATTAACGCGGCGAGTCGTTACTTAACGTGAACGCATAATAGTCGGTTTCGAGTTGCTCGATGGAAACGTGGACGACGCAGATCCTTTTCTCTTTGCCCGTTTTTCCCCGTTCGATCGTCGCTAACATTTAAAATTATCTCGCCTTTCTCTCCCCCACCAATTCTTTCTCCCTCGAAAAAGAGGTAGAGGCATAAACCGGACGCACATATAAATCTGTATTTTTAGCGCTTTCGTCTCTGGGCCACGTGATGTCGAAAGCAAAAGCCACCGAGTGGAAGGAGCGGCGATCGGCGATGTGGGACAAATTCTCGTGGATGAGCTCATATGCACGATAACGTCTTTCGGGGGAGAGGAAATCGATCGAGGTTCCTTTTTCTCCTGCTCCGAATTTTTGTCGAACTTGAACTAGTAAAAAGAGATCGTAACCACTGTACGTTCGATGCTCGCAAAGGATATTAAATTCATCGAGAGTAAACGATATCCGTGACGAATCTACAATTTCCTTTGGTTCATCAACCGTGGATTTCTGTGCATTTTTACTCGACCGGGTTACACTATATTTACGCGTCAGTGTGTTCCATTTGATCAAAAGCCGTCCGCGTGGCGTTTCTTTCATTAGCGAAACAAAGATCAAGAGAAATCTTCAAAGACAGCGTCCCTTCGAAATTTTTACGACGTCAGTTTTAGCTCTTCTTCGTGTATTCTGTAATTTATAACGGTATTCTAAATAATTGTGATCGCGAATGCGCAGCAATCCTATCGAAACGGATGTCGAATAAAAGTTTGAATCTCTTGATGATACCAGACTCGGATGCTTTTAATTACATCAATAAAATGTTTCATAATAAAACATTGTAACTAGAATTATTTATAAACGCTAACGTTGTTACGTTGGAATATTTTCGCGAACCACTTGTACTTACTCGCGTACGTTCATTTTTATCCGATCGATGAAAGAAATTCATGGTCATTGATCGTAACGAGTAAAATATAATGTATCTCGTGATAATGAAATGCAACCTTGACATTCGTCGCGCGATAAGAGAATTGATTCATTGCACAAGTAGAAAGAACGCATCGCCTAGAACGAATTTAACACGATGCGTGCATACGTAATTATTCATCGGCGTGAGCTTGTTTTATTTTTTCCAAATGATATCATTAGAGGTGTCCGAGAAACCTATGCCAGGGTGAAGTGCACGTACATTTAGTTCGCGACTGTTAAGCTCTGTTTTTAGCGATGATCGTGGCTTAAAATAGCCGGCGATTTCAGCAACAAGTTTACACAACGCGATAATAATGTTCGCTGCAACGACTTTCCTAAAGGGCTCGAAATTCGTAAGAACGTAAAGCAAACTTCCAATTATCGAATGCAACTGCACGCCATTTCCCATGCATGCAGTCGCGTATACACGCCGTCTAATCGACTGTTCGAGGATCGAAGTTTTTAAGGGGCGAAAACTATAATTAGCTCGCGTCGATCATTCATGCATGTTATTAATTGGTTCTGGAAGCATACGACTGCTCGTGAAATTAAAAGGAATCTGTCCAAGGATCGAATTGGCCGCGGTCGTCACGATCACTCTCCATTAAAAACGACTGACCGTATGTTTGCACGAGCGATTGTTTGTTAATTAGTTCCTAATGAGCGTTCAGAGGGGATGAGGTAAGATCGCATGCCACCGGGGAGCGCGCGTTGCTTGTCAAGCAAATTGGAGAAATCGAGGCATGCGAGCTCGACCATGCGAGCTTGAAACTCTCTTCTCGTGGTCGACGCGGCCCCACCCGGCATTCCCTCTTTTCCCGATCGCGAAACGATCGTTTGTTTGTCCTCGAATCGACCATAAATCTGACCGTACGTGAGCCGATTCGGATCGAGCCTAAATAGGATTTTTTTATCGCGTCGGAGTCGCAAGGCTTGAGCCGCGTAAAACCGGGACAGTTGCATCGTAACCTTTTCGGTCAACGCTCGATTCTCGGAACGAGAAATCGGCTATAGCGTCGTGGCTTTAAATAGAATCTATGATGCTTTCTAAATTGTATAGAGCCGGGTGTATTTTCTAGTGGAAATTTATCGACGCTTAATGTAAATAGCATTCACAAATTTGCAAATGAACTCACTTCCGCGACGATGATATAACGGTCTTTGAAATTATTGCGAAAGAGTATACATACTCTTTGTAGTTGTTACGTGGCAATAACGAAACGCCTCTCTATTCGTGTATGTCATAAAAGCGGTGAAAGAAGCATAAATCTTGCAAGCTCTGCTCTACGAACTGCAATTCGATCCTCTCGAGTCTCACGTGTAAAAAACTTTGTTTATTTTTACGTTTCGGTTTTCCTAGTTTTAGCAAAGGTTCGACCTACACAACGCGCAACTTGCTCGTTTTTGCTGCGAGTTTATCGTGCTTGTCACGTGTCTCGAGCATAGGTAATCACTTACTCGGTCTACGTCTGGTCTGATAACACGGTATCATTCAATTGTCAAGACATTGCAAGTACCTACCGGCGATAATTGCCAGCCGTTTATGAATGGAAACGCACCTGCACGCAATGTAACGATAATATAAAATGCTCGCTAAATTCTAGCGTGTTTCGAACAGAATTCGTTATCGTATTCGATGGCACGGAATTCAATGTTGGGAGCATCGATCAATGCACGACAGATCCGAAAGGTATGAGCGATGGCACGAGGAAACGTCTCGCGTACAGTTATTAAACACTTGCATCGACCTTGGATAAAAAAAATGAAATCCGATTACCCGGAAGCGAAGCCTACGTCGATGTAGCACGCGTCTCGAGAGGATCGGATCGAATTTGTCTTTCGTTCGAGATTAAAGTTTCGTAATATGAACGGCGTCTCGCGAGCTGATTATCGATCGACCCAATTTGATTGGCAGGTAACACCGATAACACTCGCCAGGAGGTCGTCTCCTCTCGTTAATTTGCGCGCTGTGCAATTTTACGAAACAATCCTCGCGCGGTCGATTTTCGGGGCTATCGACGAACGAACGATTCGTCTTTCCTCGTGTTTTATGACGTGATAATAAGGAACGACCAACAGGAGTCGTTTAGACGTCGAAAGTCGTGGAGGAACAAGGAAAGTCGGAACGAAAAGGTTCCAGAGAAGGCGAGTACGGTGGGAGCGGCCTTGAACTGACGCCCAATAACGTCATCGTTTACTATTAGCACGTGTTACCACATTACGCTTTGCACGCCATACACCAGACATCATCAACACATTCGATCGTATCAGATTTTCCAACGATTTGCTAATGTTTTGTTCGACTCTGTCCTGTTAAATTTAGAGATCGAGTTTAGCGCTGATGTAATATGTTTACAAGCGCGCCTATAAATTTAAACGAAACAGCATGAGTTTAATGGTTGGAAGGTTGTCACGCATTGACGAAATTCAAAGTCTTTCGGAACGGTGGCCACTGGTGACGTAACGATATAATAACTGCGGACTAGCGGTGACCTTGACCTCGCTCCCGCCACCGCTCTTTCTTAGCTTACTCGTTGCTGGTCTTATCCGTCTAGAGATTTTATTCCGTTCCCCTGCTTCCAATTAAAGCGGAGACCGGTCTGTTGTGTGCGCGGTGAACCGGACGCAGACGTTAGCAACGCTTTTAAATATTGAACTCGAAGAAATATATATATTTTTATGTTTTATCGCGTGCAGGATGCTCGTAGAAAGATTTTTAATTAAAAAAAAAGAAGGAACGCACGACGAGTGATTACAGTTGACACCGGGTGCGAGCAGATCGTTCGTACGGCGCTGCTCGTTATCTCGACCCAACAGGCTTCATTTTATTTATTCGCGTGGAACAGATCAACGGTTCGTTGCCCTGATTCTCGCTCATTGAGTAACCATTTACGTACGCAGTGCCGCGGTATCGCAGTGTGGGAGAACTGATGCCAAAATTGTATCGTGTCTCGTAGAATTCGGAGCATCGCGTTGCTCTGAACGCGGAGAATACAAAGCCCCTTTTCAGCCAACTTCTCCGACAACTTTGTTCCACTTTTCTCCCCATTTTTTAATAAGAAACGTCTCGAACGAGCCGTATTCACCGCATACTGTCCGTTACTATCGTCGACTTTCAGAAAACATATAAACCGCATCGTGATCGATTTCTTTTTTTTCTTCTTTCGCGTGGATTAACGTCGCGTCGGAATAGCACTCGGATGATCGATGTTGTTGGCAATGAAACGCCAACGACGCAGCCGTTTATCCTCCATCTGGCAACGAAATTGCTACTATCTGAATTTCAATCGGATCGTTTCAATCGTAATAGCCACGATGTCAATGCGTGTTCCATAGCACACGGAATCTTCATCACGGAAAGACGATCGGGACCAGGGGTATATAGCCAGGGTCCCGATCGTCTTTTGGATTTTCTTCGCGCCTGGTGCAAAAGTTCGAGGCGCGCGCCGCGGAACATTCTCGGGCCTTCGAGGACCGAGAATATTCCGCGACACGTGCAATCGATCGATTTTGCACCCGGCCCGAAACGGTTGCCCCCGGCACCGTTTCTAACGGACCTCACCGATGAGTAATATATGTAGAACATAGCAAGATTCCGTGTGCTATGGAACAATGCGAATATCTTGAAGCAAGCCTAACACACACCCGTAAGACAGTCTCGATTTAGACGAAGCGACGACCCTAGAACCTCGCAAACGATCCTAATTCGATTCGGTATATCGTGGACGTCCATATTTTTATAACCAGCCTGTACGCTAAACGCAAAGTAATTCGATCGTGGTTCGTATCGAAGTCATTCTCCTAAATTGTCCAGAAACGTGATCCGTCAATTACTGCGAGCACCGCCACTGCGTGGCATTAATCCTCGTTGTCCTCTACTCAGACCATGTTTCAATTCAACGCGTGTGTCTGTCTCGTTCGAGGCAAAAATATTTCGTAGCAGTGACACCGACCGTGGCCCTGAAAGCTGCATTCTCGACCGATCTTTCCAGTTTATCCCACGTAACGCACGCGAAGCGTGGGCAAACGGCATTATCGAACGCAAACCGCAAATTGATGTTATCGATCAAAGTGCAAGACAGATCACGCGACACGCGTTATTAACCGTTTCGTCCTCGTATGTTCGTGTACATGCAAGAACTGTTTCGAATCTGCCAAGATACGCAAGCTCTTTTCTTATCTTATCCCGGAGGATCAGTTTCCGGTCGTGTCAGAAACGAAGAGAAGATTCTGAATATCTGGCACGTTTCTCTCAGCAGAAATTTTCCGCGAGAAAAGGACTATGGTCCGAGGGAAGAATTGCTAATACGCTACTTAACGCCGACGAATAACTATTGATCGTGGAATAGGCAGGTTCTTGGACCGTGGTGCTTCGGTCGCCGAGTTAAAAACTTGAATGCAACTCGAAATCCGCGAGATTCCAGACACGGGAATCGTCGGAAACCGTGGAAACTGGGACAATTTGGCTGTATTAAAAAAGCTGCGAGGTCGTTTCGTCGCTGACGCGCAATACGTGACGCGAACTAAGGCGAATCTTGGCGTTCGGAGACGAACGGGAAGGACAGAGACGTCTTTCGAAGATAGAAATGGAATAATACCGCGGTATCGAGATCGTGGCTCGTCCTTGCAGACGCTGGAAACAGGAACAAGGACTGACACGTTGGATTCGTCCTTTCAGGCGAACGTGTCGCTACTGCCCGACTCGCCATGAAATTACGAACAAATACATATCTGCGTTGGCCGATTAAAAGTTCATTCGACTCTCGGACGAGGTGCTATGTAAATGCTCGGTACGAAGGCAACGATCCTTTCGAGTCAAAACTATTCTTCTCTTGTACATTTTACGATGCATTATAGTATTGTCCGTTGTTCGAGGAGCCGTCTAGTAGGTAGTATCGACGCGGTGCGCGTACAGTTTAAGGCAAGCTCGATCGTTCGAGCAGCGACAAAAGGTTCCTAGACTCCGTGAAAGGGAGACACAAGTACTTAGTTTACCTTTCGAACTAGAACAACTTGAAACCACTTCCCTCGTAGGAACGCGAAAAGAAACCAGACGGCGATGCAATTAACGGCAGATTAACTGCAATGAGAATTCATATTCGGCGAAAACAAAGAATCGTCGGTTATGTAAATTCGATAACACCTCACGTTTTTTAATTCCGTCGTAGCCAAGTTTATTTTATCTTGGACGTACTATTGGTCCCTCGTTTCGCGATTCTATCTTTGTTCTGTCGTTGGTTCAGGAAGTAACGGGAACATTGGAAAAATAAAACATACTTAAAATCAGGCACAACGCCCAATCGTTTCCCGATTATAGCGAACCCACCCCCTCGGGCGTCCCTCGGGCGTCCCTCGTCCGCCCTCGGCACTCGCAACCCCCTCCGGCAGGGTGAATCAACTCTTAAACCTTAAGCTGGATCCGCGATAAACGAATCAATACCTTTAATTTTAACGATGAGCGCATCGAATTCGTTCTTGCTGAGCACGCTTTCGATCTTGTCGGTGTTGTAGAAAGTCTGAGCATGATACTCTGCATACCACTCGGACGACGTTCGATCGTCGGGCCCCAGATGCTGCTGAGCGTCGAATTCGCTTTTGCTGTGCAGGTTTTCGATTCTGTCGGTGTTGTGGAAACCCGGAGCATTATGTTCCGTTGACCACTCGGACGGCATTCGATAGTCGGTTCCCAGATGCTGGTGAGGGCTACCTCCTCTCCTCTGCGACAGACTCTCCTCCGAGGGGAACCTCGTGAACGAGGTAACCGAACTGGATTTGCTCCCATGGCTGGCTGCGCCGTGGCTGTGGCTCTGATAAGCCGAGTCCTCGAGGGCGTGTTCCTCGCTAGGCGTCCTGTTGGACGCGGTCAGGACCCGATGGTGATGCGCCGTCAGGTCGTCGGTACCGATCTCCTTCACGCTCTTTCTAACGGTAATCTTTTCGAACTTTACCACCTTCGAGCCGTTCAATTCTCCCTCTTCTACCAATCTCTCGAAACTCTCCTCGAACGAGGAGTCGCTGGCTCTGGAGGAGGGCCTGGTGTTGGTAACCGATCGAAAATTACCGTGCTGTCGCCTGGCATCGATCTCGTGGAAGAGCTCCTCGGTGCTGGCCGCACGTCGGCCTGACCACACCTGCTCGAAAAAGCTAACCCTGTCCCGTAGCCGACCACCACGTGGTGTCCTCGGACTGCCGGGGCTGGTCCGGTTCCCGGCAGGACTCTCGCTCTTCGGTGGCGTCGACATACCTACCTAGACGCGAATCTTTCGAAATTCATGCCGGTGAACGCGGTGCGCTCCCCGGTTTCCGGCCTTTGATCGTTTCACGGTCGAGCTAAGCTCGTGGACACCTGTTCTCCGCACACCACACCCTACGCGCACCACCACCACGTACATCAACGGCTCCGCTGCGCGTTGGGAAACAACACGAGCACGACGAGAACCTTTATCGCGGTCTCGTACAACGTTCGATCGTGTTCGGTGAGTGTCCAGCGTGTGCAATTACGTCCAAGAAATAACGTACGCGAGCATATCGGCCGTTTAGAGGAGTATGTCCGATACGCGTCCACCGCTCACGGAATGCACTCTGGCCGCGCGCACCACGGCCGCCGCGCCGGTTCGATATTGCTGCCTCTCTTCCCGACCTCTCGCCGGGTCCCCACCTCGTTCCTCCATGCGGTGCCCTCCGTCCCCTCCTATACCCCCCGAGACCCGACTCGATGTGCCCGCGAGACGCATTGCACGATCGGCACGATCACGACGTCTCCGACGAACCGCCGAGCCATGCGCCGCGACGCGACGTTTCCACGCCGTTGTCCTCTATAGACCGGCTGCCGCGTCCTCTCCCTCTCGCTTCAACTCGTTTCTCCTCTACCCGATCCAACCTTCCTGATGGCAATATGCCGGCCGATCGATGCCTTTATCCTGCGTCCTTCTCCTCCAGCCGGCTAAATGTCACTTTGCACGGCACCGCGGCGCCGCGACGCGTCCCTTCGTTTCAAACCACGCGCGCCGGCACCGGCTCGGCTCGTTCCGCGTGTCATTCGCATTATGACGTAACCGCAGCTAACGGCTGAATTCGACTCGCTCTACGCACTTCTCTCCAATATGTTTGCGAAAAACTGTCGATTACGCGTCCAACGGTGGAAAAATCGTTGATAAGAGCCCTCGCGAATTAATAAAGTTTCACGACCGAGACAAGTACCTAATTGGAACCAAGTATTCTATTTCCAGAAGGTTGCGTGAATTGTCGTCGATAGGAGTCGCCGGCGAATAAATACAATTTTCCATGGGAAAATCGAAGGGGTCGCCCACGCGAAACTTAATCGTCCGGAGGATCTTATTAATCCGCGGATAAAATTTCGAAAAGCGAGCGCGAAACGCGACTGTGGCAAATATTATCATCGGTGCTAAGATTCGATTTGAAGCTTCGGTTTCTTGGTGCTTTAAAACGATGTAACTAAATAACATTTCATAGAAATGTTATCGTTTTCAGGATATAAAAGTCTGTAAGTACGTATATTGTCGGTAGCGTAATTCTGCGAAACGTTTACGTGTTATCGATCGTTATGTGTCACCGTTGCGTAATCCAAATTCAACGCGATAACAGTACGTAGTAAATAAAACAACTCGTAACTACTCGACGAACGTTTCCGAAATAATGTTTGTAACTCGATCGCATTTATGTACGTTCCCTTTTTCTAAGAAACGCAGGTACTTGTCTTTTTAAACGACTGCAGAATTCTTTAATTAAATATCTTTTCCTATCGTTCGATTCCTATCTAATCGTCTTCAATTAAATCGAACCCATTGTTCGAACCAGGGATTATTTAAAGTCCGCGGTAAGCTCTTTAATAAATTTATATCGGAATTATGTCGCTTTATCTGTGAAAAAACTTTTCTGTGATCGCAAGGTGGGTTAAAGCATTCGATTTCGCTCGATCTATTCCGATTGCAATACACATTTTGACTCGAAATCGATCGATCTTACCGATTATCTGACCATAACGTTTGGAGGTCGACAAGGTTTTGTGCGTGCAAGGAAAAAAATAGTTAATGGTGACAATTATGTACGTACACGTACCACGGGGCAGGTGGTCGTCACGTCTATTTATAAATAGTCGAGCTATAGTCTTTTATTTCTCCCGCACGGTTCACCGGATAAATATGCGAATCAGACACTCGTCCCGACTACCGATATCCATCGATCAGCAATCGATCCACGCGGAATATTGCGAATCAGGATTTACCGATTCTTTCGTAAATTATTTTCTAGCCTGATTTTTTGATAGCTAGTCTATTATATTTTTACAAAGTTGAGAAACAACTATCGTTTCTCTCGTTCGAGTTCAAGGGGCTGATTTAATTCAATTTGCGCGAACGCTTCGAAACGTCGAAAGCGTGACTCGAGCTGCAATTTGAATTGGCCGATTTTCATTGACTTGGTGCTTGCCAAAAATATCATGTAACCACAACGAACACATTGCTTTTTGTACGTGAAATGATCAACGTCGGGTGATCATTGTCAATGTCCGTCACGGACTGCACGGGAATAACATTTCTTGGCATTCGACGTCAATCAAACCTACATTTTCAGTCAAGTAAACGATCCTTATAGTCCAAGAGCGATCGGTGAAAGCGTTGGTTCTCAGAGAATTCTGTTGCATCGTGGACGATCTATTTAGTTTGTCGCCTTCGATAGGCATGGCTAAGCAAAGATAGAGCAGTTTTAGAAGACGGTACTCACTTTGAAGTTGCTGTATGGTAGCTTGGTACTCGGCGAGCTTCTCGTCGACGTAATCCTGACTCTGGTTGGCTATTATTTCTGCGGTGCTGGGACCACTGGCTTCCTCTTCTGTCTGCGAGTGATCCAACGGCACGCCGACGTATTCGTAATCGCCGGGTCTGTACGGCGAGATCATGTATTCCGGTGGTCCACAGACTAAAGGCGACGTTGTGCCACTTTCCATCGAGCTCTGTTTCAACGAAAAGAAATCTATTATCGGATGTGCAACGAAAGAAAAATTAACAGGAACAGGCAGGATTCGTTCTCTCGGTATCGAGAGTCACGATAGCGCTTGTTTGTCGAGCCGAATCGGCCGAGGTGAACGCGCGTCTACGTGAATTTTATCACGTTAGCAAATTACCGGCGTGCAATTTGCACCTGGCGTGCATTACAGAACCCGTTCGTTGGAACTCGCCACGGCCTACATTTTATTTAGGTCCTTATTTTGACCGACGTTTCGCGTTGCGTGGGTGGCGAAAGTACAAGCATCGCGCGTAGCGTCGAACGTTCTTCGCGCCAAGATTACACGTACCTTGAATGAAAAGTTCCGGACAGATCGTAAAATTTAACACGAGTTCGACGAACAATGAAACGACGCGACGCCTCTTGCCTTCGAGTATTCGTGACTCGAAAGAATTTCGACTCTGTCGAGTGAGAACCCTCGAAACGTCGAGTCTTTCGCTGCCACGTTCAATTCCGCTCGTTCTCGCGAGAGTTGACACGCGTTCCGTGTCGGCGAGCATCGTTTGACATGCAACGCCTCTCGGTTTCGAAATCATTTCGAGACGCTTCGAGACTAACGATTATCGACGTTCCTCGATCGATTCTATCTTTACGGAGACGAGCCAATTTAATTGCAATTCACGAGTAGAGATGAAAGTACGCGGCTGGTAAACAACAACGTACCTGTGTGGGTATGAAGGGTCTGGGTGCCTGACTTGCCACCGGAATCGGCGAAGGCCATCTGGGCCTTGGACACTGGATGTAGCCAGTCGGCGATCCAAAGACCGGCGACATTCCAGGCGAAATCGGCATCCCGATCGGTACCGGGCTCATTGGGTGCATCATTCCGGAATACGTCAAGGGGGACGTAGGATGAGCATGATGAACCGGGGTGGTGGCTGCTCCCCGAGGACGTTGCATGTGCGGCGAACTCGTGGGGCTGTACGGCGACGGGGGTCTGAAATGACCCGGCACGTTCGGTCTGCCGGACCAACCACCCCCCGGGCCGGGTTTTCCAGGTGGTTTCGAAGGTGGCTGCGACATGTTTGGCTATTTCGAAACTTCCCAATCACCTAACATCGCTGCAACCAACACAATCTCTCGTTCATACCTTCGTTATTCCTGTTAATCCTTTCGATTAAAACTATTAGTTTTTTATTTATTATTATTGTCCGGTGGTAATTTCTGGAAGCCGAAGCATCTTGGACGGTTAACGAGCTCTGGGTCGCGCAGTGGCAGTGAGCAAATAGATTAGGATGGGCATTCGTCCAAAAGTCTCTCGAAATAAGCGCTTAGATCGTCTGCCTTTCCGTCGACATGGCCATGCTGGCTGGCGTGTGAAAAATGGATAATGGAGAAAATCGTGGCGCCGCGCAGCATGCGTGACGTTACACAATGCGAAGACGTCGAAATAGAAGCGGCAAAGTTAAATGAAACGATTTCGCGATACTTTCCGCGCTTCTTATCGGCGAGATCGTGTACTTGTTCGACACGCGTACCGCTTGAAATTACGCTCGAGCACTCGCGTTAAACGATGCTTCGAGCAATACACGTCGATTAACTTTTCACGTTGAAGCAATAAAAAATAAGTTCTAGCAAAACTTTCCTCCGAGCATTCGATCGTAAAAACAACCTTCCTAGACGACACGACAAACGAAGATCCAAAAGAGAAACCCTAACCCTAAAAATAATGTAGCATCAGGAAATATTTCCTTTAGTTTCATCGAGAATATAAGGAAGTTAAGACAGTGCGGTTACACGGGTCGAAGGTCTAAAGATTTTGGCTGGATATCGAGTGTAGGCCGACTAAATATAGCGACAATTCTATTTTAGAGAGACTCGAGCAGCGCCTACAGACGTGTCCGACACGCCAGGTATATTTGCACCGACTGCGTCAGATATTTCAGAAAGTGACGCGAATATTAACACCTACAATTAGCCTTGCTGTCGCACGCGTGCGTCTAAACGAATGTGCGGGGGTGCATGGCGCCATCATTGTTCGATGCAACGCCACGCGTCTTCTCCTTTCATTCAATTCCGTCGAGGAAAAAATCTCACGTTTACCGCTAAAACCAATAATTTATACTCGACATTCGACCAGCCTATTCTCTCATAATACCGAGTCTTCGTTCTATTTTCGCTTTTTAAGCAACGTAATAGTGATTTGAACGTTACAAGCAATTTACTAAAAGATACGCGTGTTTTTTTTCAATTGAAAACGTGTTTTCTACGGCCAAGATTAGATTGCTTATTATGCACATTGTACACTGTTTCGTTTTCGAGCTGTAAAAATAAACGGGGCGAACGGTGCATCTGTTTCGGAAAAAACCGGCCGAGATTTATACAGGAGCTTCCTCTCCTCTAAAACCAACAAACGGTTGGTCAAAGGCACGCATCCATTTTGTTCTTGTTAAAGTTCACGAGCGCCATTACGGGCCAAGATTCGACGGCTCGTACGTTCGAGTTCGATACACCGATTTCAATAAAGCATCGAGAAGAATCAAGTGCCGGTCTATTTATAACGATCACTCGAGAACGATCTTGTACGAATTCAGACATAGATTCCGGGTGCTCGGGTTCCTTTTGAACGATACAAAGAAAGTAAGTGGAA